AGGTGGTTTTGCATTATATGCTGTGGGTATATCAATATGATGAGGTGGTTTTGCATTATATGCTATGGTTTCTTCATTATTGTGAGGTGGTTTTGCATTATATGCTGTGGGTATTTCATTACGATGAGGTGTTTTTACATTATATGCTGTGGTTTCTTCATTATACTGAGGTGGATTTGCATTATATGCTGTGGTTATTTCATTATGATGAGGTGCTTTTGCATTATATGCTCTGGTTTCTTCATAATGAAGTGGTTTGCACTATATCCTGTGGCTATATCATTATGATGTGGTGATTTAATATTATATGCTGTGGTTTCTTCATTCTGGTGAGGTGGTTTTGCATTATATGCTGTGGGTATATCAATATGATGAGGTGGTTTTGCATTATATGCTATGGTTTCTTCATTATGGTGAGGTGGTTTTGCATTATATGCTGTGGGTATTTCATTACGATGAGGTGTTTTTACATTATATGCTGTGGTTTCTTCATTATACTGAGGTGGATTTGCATTATATGCTGTGGTTATTTCATTATGATGAGGTGCTTTTGCATTATATGCTCTGGTTTCTTCATAATGAAGTGGTTTGCACTATATCCTGTGGCTATATCATTATGATGTGGTGATTTAATATTAAATGCTGTGGTTTCTTCATTCTGGTGAGGTGGTTTTGCATTATATGCTGTGGGTACTTTATTAGATGAGGTGATTTTTCATTATATTATGGGTATTTCATTATGATGAGGTGGTTTTTTTTTCCATAATTTGTTGTGCTTTTTTATCACGATGAGGTGATCATTAGGAAAACTCAAACTCGTATGCCAATATACTTAAAGCATGAACAATTTTTACCTTTTTAACTTATTCTGCATGTTTTCTTTCATCAAAATATAAAATGATTATTTCAACGTTAGAAAATTCTACCATATGAATAAGTTTTTTTTTTCATGATTTTGAAGGTGGAAACTATTTTCTTAATTCCTTTCTACTTTTTCCCGAGATGAACAGCCACTACTTTTCTAACATCTTATGTGCAATTCATGTATTACCGAATGATTATCAAATTTAGACATTCTTAGAGATGCATGACTTTAAATGTAATGTAATTTATTTTTTTTTGGGGGGGGGGGGTTCAAGCAAGAAGAACATTGGTAATAGGCTTGGATATTTGTATTGGTGGTACAGTATCAACCAGACCCAACCTGACACAAAGCAGTCCCAGAGCAGTCCCGGGGACTTTTGAAAAATTCTTTGTTAAATTTTGCCGAGTATTATATTTCAGTCATGATTATTTTCACTGACTTGCCAATTTGATTATCGTTAGATTCTCTATGTAACAGAAAACAATAACATCCAGTTTTAAGTGTTGTATTATATAAACGTTCGAGTGTACACCTGTAAATCACGCGAATGGAACCCTCAGATTATGTTTAAAATTAATTAATCCCAAAATAAATTTATATACATTTATTGAAACAAAGATTTTTTGCAGTTCATGGATTAAAAATAATGTCATTGTTGACCAGCATGTTCAGTGATGTGTAACACTGATACCATTCATTGACTTTCTCCTAATCATGCCCAAAGGCGATTGAAACCTCAGGTGTTGACAACACACAATTCCCGATATTTTCAAATGTTTATTTTTTTAAATAAATGTATTTTTTTTTAAATAACTTGTTTATAAATTAAAAACTAATTCATAAATAAACCCCCCAATACTTGTTCACATTGTTTATATGACGGAAGAATGGTAGAATAATTTTATTTCATAGTCATTTAATAAATTATTAGGTTTTATTTAAGGGCGGTAAAAAATAGCATGGAATGCCCTTTTTTATGGTTTTAGCTTTTTCAATTAAAAAGAAAAATCCAGTACAGTACATGTACGTCCCTCTGAATATCTTACAGTAATAACAAGTTTGTTTTTTTTTTAAATAGTGCTAATGCAAACTTTGAATACATAATTTGATAGCATTAATTAATTAAATAGGCCTACATATAATTTTGTTTCAAACACATGTATTAAAGTTTAATTTAAGGAATAAAAATCATCTCCTGACTTCCCTTTTTAACTACTTTCATTTTTTTAAAATTAATTCTAGACTACAATTGTGTATATTTAGAGCCCCTGAAGACATATAGTAATTACATGTATATCTATCTCTACTTGTTAAAATTTTGTAAGAAATCCTTGTTTATTATTTTTTTATCTTAAACACCTCTCTGCTGAAAGTAAACAAAACAACAACAGGAAGCCTGCAAATTCAGAATACACAAGGGGCGGAGCTATCATGTCACTCAGAACCTTTCTCACGCATGAGTGAACAAAGCAGTCCCAGGGACTACTGGGTCTGCTTTCTAGAGCAGTCCCACAGCAGTCCCATAGCGGTCTCAGAGCAGACCCACAGCGGTCCCAGAGCAGTCCCACAGCGGTCCCAGAGCAGTCCCACAGCGGTCCCAAAGCAGTCCCGGGGACTGCTTTCTGGGACTGCTTAGGTGTCAGGTTGGGTGTGGTTGGTACTGTATTTTCAGATACTTACATGTAGTTTGTCATGTATTGAAGTTATTATCGTCTGCAGTAAGACTAATTTCTGGAAAAAAACAATACGGACTTTTTAACGTTTTCAAAAAGTCTGACACATGCCTAATGGCATCTCATAATACGACATGTTTTACGTATCTAGAAGAAGTATTAAAATAAAGCTCCCCTCTAGACTCAAACTTTCATGCTGTGGAAAAGAAGCGGCCAAATACGATACTTGACCTAGCTCTTTATTAAAAGTAATGAGAAGTTTCATTTTTTGGAAATATAAGGAGAGAGAGACTTAAGAGGTATACTTGTAAAGTCCTTCAATCCTTGTTTCCTTAGTCGGCAGATTTTATCTTTTATAAGAATATCGTGGAGAATACAAGCATTTCATGGAGAAAAGAAATCTTAACTTCTACTCAGTATATCCTCTATAACGAACATTTTCGATAATATGCAATGATAAATTTCAAGTGCTTCTTCTAGAAAATAATATGAAGAGCTAGCTTTGCTTGAATTGAACACTTGAAAAATTTCACTCGCTTAAGCAACTGACTACAATTAAAACACAGAACTAATTCACTTGTAAAAACACTTCTTTCTTTTTTTTTATAATCTGCATTTTCTCCTCGGTGATTTCGATAATGATGAAAATTAAAACATCAAATCACAATGGGACAATGACAATAAATTTAATTAAAATTAAGTTTGAGTTTAAGATCATAGGATACCCAAATTTCTCTTTTGCTGTTTTTAGGTCCAAATTAATTTATACTTGGTAAAATTAGGTTAAATTTGTATTTAGTTAGTTGATTTCTATTTTTTAATGCTGTGCATTAATTTCAATATAGACAAAAGTAAAGAAATGGAAAGAACGAAAAAAATGTTATGGCTTGCTTGTTAAGGATATTTCATGTTATATATATATATATATATATATATATATATATATATATATATATATATATATATATATATATATATATATATATATATATATGAGAAAGCATGATGGCTTTGTCTTAATTTTACTTTTAATAAGATATGAATTAGGAATACTTTTTTCGGAAATCAAAGAAAATAATATTCGGTAATGGTAACCCGTCAATATTTAAAACTTCTGGAAATGTAATGCAGCCCATTTAAACGATAAAATGAGATCAGTTCTTTAAATTAAAATATGAATCTTCGTCAGGTGACTTTACAATTAAGCATGTGTATAACTCGTCATGTTTCCGATTTGAAAACTGAAAGGTAACTTGTGTTGACGTTCATGTGACTACTACGTTTATTTTTATAATCCCACAGACTTCAATCCGGCGACACAATTGTTTCTGGGCACAATATAGTTTTAGTAGTGTAAATACACGTACTACAATATTAGAATTGAACAATTGTTGGACAAATCTCATCCAGAATTATGCATTATTCAGTCCCGTAGGAAGCAATTTCACTTTGAGCGGGCACAACCATACATTTTCAGTGGGGGGGGGGACTATCAACTACCAAAATTCTTTGACAAGCAAAAAAAAAAAAAGGTCATCAGACGTTATTATTGAAGGGGCACAATCATATAGTAGCTATATTTTCTATAGTATTATATATATCGGCAAAATTATTGGGGGGGGGGGGCACGGCCTCCGTGCCCCCCCCCCCCCGTCCTTACGACCATGTTATTAACAAACAATAAAAATAATACGTTCTAGTTCACTCATATGATTTTACTCATTTCCTCATTCGATTTGATTCATGATCTAGAGAAGGAAATTAAACTCTATATTTATGAATGAAGTATGTTTGTCATCGACACTGAGCAAGTGTAGGGCTGTATTCTTCTCCAGATATAACATGTATTCAATTTTTAAAAAGGGAACACATATCCTATTGTTAGAATTGTTAGAATAATTTTTTTTAATTAAAAATATTTGCTAAATTACTACTATATTTGGCTTGAAACAAACGACATGTAAATTTTTTCATAAAAGCAACTAAAACAAATGAATCAATGATACATGTAATTGTCTATTAGGTTTAAAATCATTTTGAAAAGAAAAATTAAGATTTGAGTTTTGTTCAAACTCAGAATGATCGATAGTAAAAAATATGAATTTTGAATTATATGAAATCAGAATGACCCATCTGTTTTCTTCCTTCATTACTTAATTTGACCTCTATTGCAAGGTCGCATGGTATTGATTTCCTTCAGAAAGTTTAAACTTTCCTGAATAAATTTTATTTTAAAAAAAATATATAGAGCGTTGTCGTTTCCTCCGTACGCAAACTTTCTGGACTGTAATCCATACCCTACTCTTCATCTCACCCATTGATTAACTTGGTAACTACAGCTTGAAAAACCCGAAAAATATAAATAGGCCTGGAAAATTCAAAACAAATTTATAAAAGCATATAAACATGAAGGCAATTTCAGTGATAGTTTTAAAATGACATTGAACAATTATGGTATCGAGATGAATTTTCAAGAGTCTTGTTTTTATTACAAAACCCCTACATTTAATTGTAAGTTATGGAGAACTGTTGTAAAAATTTGTATCCACTTTCATCACTTGTTTTTTTTTTTTCATTTTTATTTTGAAATTCAATAAAATTCTTTTTTTTTCTTTTAGGGAAAATAGATTCACGATTAATTTTGTCCAGTAACCTTCGTTCTACTGATCGTGGTGCATCATTGGAAGTTGTCCATGTTGTTGAGAAAAAAACGAAATTAAGAATTGAAAAGCTGCAGTGCCAAGCAACAGAGAGTGAATGTCATGAAATTCACAAGGATTTGGAACCAACCCTGAAAGGTTTTTGAAACATTTTCACTCTCTTTTTTTCATTACGATAATTTTCTTAACAAACTTTTTACTCTTCTTAAATTTACGGCAAAGTTTTTGTTTTTTTTTTATCAAGATTTTACAACTTTTCGTTTATGAATATTGATAAAGGAAAAAGACCTAAGAGTCTATTGGTCTTTATAAACCCAAGAAGTGGGAACAGAGGCGCAGAAAAAATTTACCAGAGGAAAGTTCTGCCGATTTTTCTAATGTGTGGAGTTAAAACAAATGAATATGGTAAGTTTATCCGCAAAAAACATCCGCGATGTCTATTTGAAGAAAAGGGAATCAGAGACTTTGTGATGTAATTCTCATCCTAAGTTAGAATTATGTTTTTTTTTCTTTTACAGTGACAAGCAGACCTAATGAAGTGAGAGACCGCCTACTTAACATTAACCTGAACACATTTGACGGGTAAATGTCTTCCAGTGATCATTCCCCCTTCTCAGAAACTTTAGTACATTTCTCATTTTAAATCGGACATTCGCAAAAATGACATTTTTTCCCTTAATAAATGAACTGGTTATGTTTTCTCAGAGTGGTGGCTGTGGGTGGAGATGGGATTTATAACGAGGTCCTCTCAGCACTTCTGGACAGAGAAATGCGAAATAGTGGTCTTGATCCGAATGACCCTGACTCTAGACTTGTTCCAATAAAACTGCCAGTAGGAATAATTCCAGCAGGTATAAGCAATAGCCCATTTGACATGTTTATAATATACTGTTTTTTCTTTCTTTCTTGTATTTTGTCTTTTAATAATCAACTCAAAAGAGAATGTTTCTTTACAACCAAGAAAGCGAAATTACTGACTGCGTAAACCATTCTTTGAAAAAAAAATCCCATACTGCCTGTATTTTACCGGTTTAGAAAATCTGCATGATAAATATAAAGATGATGAGAGTGGTAGACTACAGGAAGTATATAGCGTGATAATGATAGGGACACCGATTTTCAGGTTAAGAGACAAGATTCTTACATTGAGTCAGAATGCGTGCTATTTGCTGAACAGTGCGGAAATTGCACACAGTTAACCGCTTATCATACTTCTTGTGCTTGAACAAATAGGAAACAATAAAAAAAAAATTTAAGGATATTAACGCAGTGTTGAAATTAGAAAAAAAAAACTTCAAAATATCTTAACAAGCATTTAAATAAAATTTATGTTGTCTATATATTCATTTATTTTGAACAAAGTCTACAAATGTTTATATCTGAAAGGATCAGGAAATTATACAGCTTGGTACCTAAATGGAACAAAATGTCCTAAAACGGCTGCGATAAGAATCGTGTTGGGTGACTGTGTTGCTACCAACATTGCAAGCCTTCATCAAGGCAACAAATGTTCGGGCTACTCGAGTCTTATTCTTGGTTTTGGTTTGTTTGGAGACGTTATGAGAGATTGTGAAAAATACAGATGGATGGGAACAAGCCGATTCAAAGGTAAAGATATTTCTAGATCTGTCGACTTTGTAAATAAGTTTTGAATACATCAGGTACAAGTATTACATGAAGTTATCATAAGTACGTAAAAAAATTGCATTGTTTTATTTTTGATAGTGATACCTGTTGGAACGGTGTTGAGCAGACGGCCTGTAAATGTAATCATATCGTATATTTCCGCCAAATCTGGCAACAATAACTCTAAAATAAATAACAGAGCGACAACCCTGAAACAAGAATTCCACCGCCAAATATCTGTTCCTGCTTTTAATACCAAAAAGGCTCGGGTGAATTTTCAGAAAAGAACAGTTTCTTCGTCTGACACTTTCGGAGCATCTTCAGGTAAAATTTTACTTTTGAAAATATTTGAGAATTTAGGTTTAACAATAATCTATTATTAAGATACGTCATCAAAAACGAATTTTTCTTTTATAGAATGGAAGACGGCGGAAGACAGGGTTGTGTATGCAGTTGATACATACCCAATTACTATGAAACCGAACGGAACAAAAATGGTGCCTCATTTTGCAGACGATTCTTTGAAGTTAATAATCACGCAGAAATGTAAGCTCATGGATCATATTCGACAACTGAAAGAAGTGGACGACGGGAAATCAACTTGTGTAAGTTTTACTTCCGGATTAAAAAAATCGTGATGTTGATGAAAAATACCTAACAAAAATTATTATTTAAAAATTTCGCCGTGAAAAAGGGAAGAAGAGAAAATAGAAACACACATTCTTAACTCTCAAAATCTGAAAGTTATACCAATTGAAAATATACACACTAAACTTGCATCTTATATATGAATAAACTAGAATAGAATCACCTTTCTCTTTTTTTTTCTTGTTAGTACGACTTCAACTTTGTCAGAACCATCAATGTACAGAGATATCGAGTTCGAATTTTGAAAAATGAAACCCAGGATTTTTTTGTTAATTGTGACGGAGAAGTCATTTGCCTCGATGGACCAGAATTCGACGTTAGGTAATTTGGGTCTTTTTAGAAAAAAATATTTTCATATGAAACAATTAGATTAATGACACAAAACATACGTGGACAAAGTACACATATTTACTTTATTAAAAAACAGAAAGCACTTTTTATAAACTCATTTCTGTGCGAGTAAATTACATAGTCTACTGCTTCAAATGTCCTAAATATTTTTTATTCTCCATCTTGCAGTCTGCATAAACAGGTCGTCAAACTGTATGGAAAACTCAACTAAAGAATGATCAAAATGGAACAGAACTTTGACTATTGATACTTATTTACATTTTTCCTTTACATTTTTATTTACATTTTTGTGTTCAAATCAGTATTATTATACTTATTAACATTTTTTCTTTACATTTTTATATACATTTTTGTGTTCAAATCTGTATTATTATACATGTTCTTTTTTATTCAATTTTTATTAAAACTTTTATTTTATTTTATGATTTTTTTCCTTTTAACGTCTGTTGGTTTTTTTCTAAACATCCTACATCACTTTATGATGAATTGATGTAAAAACAGTGGGCATTAATATTATGACTAAATGTAAACTATTTTGTACATTTACATAATGATAAAAATACATTTCTCAATATCTTATCCTGCGTTATTTTTATATATTATAATTTCTTGTAAATTAGTCAATCTGATTCGTCGAGAAATATTTGTTAAAAAGCACCAAAAATGCCCGCTGACTGATGAACCCACGCCCTCCAGCGTAGCAACAGTTAACATTGCTTGATGACGGATGATATTCCAAAAAATAGTGACTGCGCAGAATTTATGCGCGCAATGTTCACTGTTATATGTATTTGCATAAAACTTTCAGTATAATTTAATTAATATTGCATGTTGTTGAGTGTAAAATTGAAAATTTCACCTCTCGAAAACCATTTTGAACCTCGGCTGCGCCTCGGTTGACAATGGTTTTCTTGGGGTGAAAATTTTCAATGTTACACTCAACTACATGCAATATTTATATAAGAAGATGGACATATGTGTAACTTATGTTTCAGAAAGGGATTAGTGTTTTGGTGCTATTAATATTTTTGAAGTGCATACAAAGAGAAATAGAATTTATTTAGTTAACATAGAGAGAAAACCAACATTGATTTAAATAAAATCATGTATCTCTTCATTGACACAGAATGAGTCAATAACTATCAGGTGTTGGTTGGATTAAATTCTAAATATACATGTACCTACGTATTTCCGATGCAATTAAAAAAAAATAAAGTAAAATTTAAAAAATTCCAAAACTTTTAGAGAAAGAAAATCAAAAGTTGATTTTCTCTCCTCCTTTGTCTCGGGTACTGGACGCTGAACTTAAAAGCATTAGAAATATTGTGAGTCCAAGAGCTATAGAAATATTTGCACATGAACGTTGTGTGACGATATAATACATGTATTGCAACAAATTAGTTCTATTAAGGAAGAAACGACGTGACACATAAGATACCCTTAAGTGCAGTGTGGGAGGCATTCATTTATTATTAAGTCTATTTTAGATATACTGAACAGTGCTGAAAAATACCCTAAAAATTTAAACATTCTACCATACTGTACTTTTGGGCTATTTTAACAAATGTTATTAAAAAAAAAGAATCATGGTAAATATGCAAAACATATTCTTGATATTTTGGGGAAAAAATTGCTTCTATTTAATTTATAACAACATTCGTCATTTAATATATTCTTCTTGATTTTTTTTTTTCATTTTACTGATCACGAAAGGTTTACAATGATCAAAAATTCCTTCCAAAATCTAGGTCAAGAGAATGGGTTTTTATAAATATACATGATCGTATGCGAATGACTGAACATTTATGGTACGGATTCGAATTTTCCGGTTTTCAATGCAATAGCGTCAACTTTCTCAATAGATTTTCATATCCACTTGCTTCAATCGCTGGGATATACCATTCATCCAAGCAGGAAACGATATCATAACTATACGAATAAAAAAGGAATGCGGAAATTTAATTGAAATGGTTATACATTATATCCTTAACATATTCAACATAGTCGGTTCTCACAGTTATAAACAAATTCAGTCACATGAATGAGAAAACAAGGAAATGAAAAATTCTGTTGTAGGTGAATTTCCGGTATGTCAATGAGAAATTTGAACTTTGGCACTATTGATAATGAAAGTGTATATCAAAATACGAAAAGTATGACATAAGGTTAAATAAAATCAAAACAAAACAAAATGAACAAAAATAGACACAGTTTAAAAGTATGAACCATCAGCAAACTAAGAAGCCCCCTCCCCACCCCCTTTCAAAAAAAGGCATAGAAAAGTGAATCATCAGAAATTAATTCAGTTTCATTCCTCAAAATTACAATACTAATGAATTCTTACACGTAATCACTACACTGCTAAGTAAGCAGTGGTTAAGGTCAGATAGTCCAAAGTCATGTGCTTTTCTTCTGAACAAATACATGCAACCCAGCAATAAAAATATTTCTGAATTTAAAGATAACTAAAATTAGCAAGATGTGTTTGTGAAACACTGGTGCACCCGTACGTCAGCTCATGGCAAAGGTTAAAGTTTCTCAAATGCAAGTCAAACTCCAATATCAAGGTCAAGAGTTCAAAAATGTTGCTACCCAAAGAAAGGTCTTGTCACAAAAAATACACCTATGAAATATGAAACATGCAGCACCATTCCTAAATTATGGTCAAGGTAAAGTTTTTCAAAAGTAGGTAAAACTCCAAGCTCAAGATCATGAAGTCAGAAATAATAGTACCTAAGAAAAGGTCTTTTCACAAGGAATACATCTGTGAAATATGAAAGCTCTGGCACCAAGTCACACAAAAGTTATGGCAAAGGTTAAAGTTTTTCAAAAGTAGGTCAAACTCCAGAGTCAAGGTCAAATGGTTAGGAATTGTTGGTACCCTAAAAAAAGTTCTTTTCACAAGGAAAATACTGTGAAATATGAAAGCCCTAGCACAAACCATTCAAAAACTTATGGTCAAAGTTAAAGTTTTTCAAAAGTACGACAAACTTCAAGGTCAGAAGATCAAAATTATTTGTACCTAACTAAAGGTCTTGTCATAAGAAATACACATGCGAAATATGAAAGCTCTAGGTCCAACCATTCAAAACTCATGGTAAAGGTTAAAGTTTTTCGAAAGTGTGTCAAAGTTCAAGGTCAACAGCTCAAAAATAGTTGTATCCAATAGAAGTTTTTATCACAATGAATACATTAGTGAAGTATGAAACCACTAGCCTCAACGTTCAAAAGTCATGGCCAAGGTAAAAGTTTGGTAAGTTTGTGTAAAAGTGTGTCAAACTACTAGGTCAAGATCAAGAGGTCAAATATGGTGGTATCCAAAGAAAGGTCTCGTCACAAGAATTACACATGAAATATGAAAGCCCTAGATCCAACAAATCAAAGGTTATGAGCAAGGTTAAAGTTTTTGCAGACAAACAGACAGAAAGCCAAACAAACAGAACAAAAACTATATGCCCCCGAATCTTCGATTACTGGGGCAAAAAATAGTTACCATTATGTCGATTTTTGAATTACTAAGTTTTGTAGAATCTACAATTTGCATTTCCTTGTTGCATATAAACAAACCATACTTTCTCTAAATCAAATTGCAAGGATAGTCTCAAAAAGTCATTACTAATGTGAACGTATGTACAAGATTCATATAGTGTTTAGATACAAACAACGTTTCAAATATAGATATCATTATATTAGAAATTAAATAAAAAATAAACCTAACTATAGATCAATGAATAAAACTAAATAAATCATATGTTTGAGACTACAAATTTAGTCTCCATTCCATAAGTAGATTTAATGTTTGTGGCGAGAAATCTGACGGTTGTTTTGAGGCTTTAACAGGTCCATGATCGAGTTCAAAATGAAAAAAAGGACATTTTTTGAACTTCTATTTTTGTGGGAAAATGCAGCTTAAGCACCTAAAATACCTTTAAATAACGAACATGCAAAAATATAGCTCTTTACAGAAATAAACAGGTTCTTGACTTCCAGAAATTGTAGTTAAAACACAACTTCAAAACAAGAAGAAGAAAGATAAGTCGTACTGACTCCAAAAAATTAATAAAATGCATGAAACCTTTAGTTATTTGCCATGAATCTTTTACAACTATGATAGCATGCAAAATAAACATGAATAAATCCATGTAAGATAAATATTCTTTCAGAACTTGATTTGGTCGTGATCTCTGAACACCTTTTCAACAGGGTCCATGTCTAGGAGGGTTTCTAACCTTAAAAATAAAGAAGAAATATATGTGATTATTTTTTTTTACATCAATAAACAAAACCATTATATTATATTTTGTGCTGAATTCTCTCTTGAAGAGAATCTTTCTCGTTCTCTCTTACAAAGCATTTTATTCTAACTTAAACAAGATGTGTTTGTGAAACACTGATGCCCCCGTATGGCAGCTTATGACGAAGGTTAAAGTTTCTCAAATGCAAGTCAAACTCCATCTTGTCACAAGTGATACACATGATCCTGAAATGTAAAAGCCCTAGAACAAACTGTTCAAAAGTTATGGCCAAGATTAAGGTTTTTCAAAAGTAGGTCAAACTCCAAGGTCAAGGTCAAAGGGTCAAAGTTGTTGGTATCTAAAGTGAGGTCTTGTCACAAGGAATGCATATGTGAAATATGAAAACCCTAACATCAACTGTTCAAAAGTTATGGCCAAAGTTTAAGTTTTTCAAAAGTAGGTCAAACCCCAAGGTCAAGGTCAAAGGGTCAAACTTATTGGTATCTAAAGGAAGGTCCTATCATAAGGAATGCATATGTAAAGTATGAAAGCCCTAACACCAACTGTTTAAAAGTTATGGCCAAGGTTAAAGTTTTTTCAACAGCAGGTCAAACTCCAAGGTCAAGGTCAAAGGGTCAAAGTGGTTGGTGTCCAATGGAAGGTCTTGTCACAAGGAATACACACGTGAAGTATGAAAATCCTAGCACTAACTGTTCAAAAGTTATGGCCAAGGTTAAAGTATTTCAATATTTAAGTAGTTTAAACTCCGAGGTCAAGGTCAAAAGGTCAAAGTTGTTGATATCCTAAGGAAGGTCTTGTCACAAGGATTACATATGTGAAGTATGAAAGCCCTAGCATCAACCATTCAAAAGTTATGGCCAAGGTTAAAGTTCTTCAAAAGTAGGTCAAACTCCTAGGTCAAGGTCAAAAGGTCAAAGTGGTTGGTATCCAAAGGAAGGTCTTGTCACAAGAAATACACATGTGAAATATGAAAACCATACCTTCAACCAATCAAAAGTTACGGGCACGGTTAAAGTTTTTGCGGACAAACAGACAGACAGACGGACGGACAGGACAAAAACTATATGCCCCCGAATCTTCGATTACGGGGGCATAATAAATCTAAATATTGCAACATTCAGGCTAGTTAATGGGATATTTTAAGAAGCATCCACACAATTAAAAAATAACAAATCTATCTTTCAAACATTGTGTGAGGTTATCCCAAGGACTGATCTATTTTATCACTCTTTGTCTATATCTTTATTTTGCGCAGAGAAAACAGTGTTTAAACCAGCCTATCTTTAATTCTTATACACAAATTAGAAAGTAAATAACATAGTCATGTATAAATATGGGCGATATTCTATGTTTTCTGAAAACAGGAGTCACCTGGGTATAATTAGCCATGTTTTCGTAGAATCTTAAAAGATTTTTCTTCTTTAAATTTTGTCCCGAAATTATGGCCTCAACCTTACTTTAAAGGAGCTTGGATATAGATTTGAAGTAAATATTTTCTAAATTTTCAGTATAAAATCAAGACTTATTAGTTGCTATAGCATATTACACCGAAATATCATAAAAGCGTTTTCAGAACTTCTTTCTAGAAATTATTAAAACTACGAATTTCGGGACGCGTTTGACTGACACAGATCCCTGTAATTTCACAGAGTAATTTTTATCCTTAAGATTTAAGAAAAGTGGAAAATTTATTGTGTGTTTTTATTTTTTTCAAAGCAAGTGGTTCTTTATAAAAAGATTTTTTGAAAGAATACTATTTATTCCAATGTAAAACTGAACTCCTTACTAATGGGGGCCATGATTTTAACAGTTTAGAATCTACACTTTGTCAGAAAGCACACAAATTAGTTTCATCTCTTCTGGTGTAGTGGTTCTTGTGAAGATTTTTTTTACCTATATATTCCAATGTAAAATTTGATTCCCTACCCCTGGGAACAATGACTTGAAAAATTAAAAATCTACACTATATCTTGACTCTCCCACAAAATTTTCATCTTTTCTACTACTTGAGATTTCCTATAAATTCCAATGTACAACTTTGACCCCCTTTTGTTGCGTCATCCTACCCATGGGGGCCATGATTTGAACAATTTAGAATCTACAATACCTCAGGAAACTTTCACAAACGTTTCAACTTTTCTGGCCAACTGCTACTTGAGAAGATTTTTTACTGAACCACCTTTTTTACCTTCTCTTGAACATATCCCCTTAGAAGGGCGCTTGGTCCTTTATTTGTACAATTTAGAATCTTCTTAAGCAAAGCATGCTTTGTGGCAACTTTGTTAAAAATGGCTTAGTGGTTCTCAAGAAGTCAAAAATGTGAAAAGTGTCAGACCGACGGAGACAGACAGACACCAGATAATCCATCGATATCGATTTAGTAATCATTCAATGTTTTATGAAAGATGTTTGTTTAAAATTCCAAATATGCAGCGTTTTTTCTTTAAAAGCTTACGAGATTCTAAGGAAAAAATTAAGTGAACAGAAAGTTTAAAATTCAAAAGTTTAAATTCTAACCTATTCCTTATTTATTTGCAAACATCTTTTTAACTGTAAAATAATGATCACCTGCATATGGAGTTTGTTTCCTACTTGGTTCGATGTGCAAGAGCACGTTATACATACACTAATTTCTAGAACGATGCAGGCCATTGACAATTAAGTTGATAATACGAGGATATCAGTAATCTCGTTTAAATCCAACATCAGCAAATTTAGACATTGTTTGCAAATACAATTTGTCGTTAGGTCTGACGTCTTTCATACAAATTGTTAGGCCATTACTTTCACACAACATTGTCTACAGCTTTTTATGCTTACTCGATCATGACAAGGAGCACACAACGGGTGTGAACTGTCGACAAGGAATGCCTACTCCTCCATGGCACCTGAACCTAAGTCTGTGTTGGCTCTGTTAACAGTTTGTATTGATAAAATAGACTTTTAAGCATGATCACTGTTCATTATCTTCACATTTTATTAAAGAAAGTATATCATTATAAATAAAGATTATCGTAACGATATATCTTACTAAGATTTCAAACACTGGATCTACATTCATATTTACATATTGAATACTAGAAGTTTAACATAAGACAAGGGCCATAAACCTTATACCTTAAAAGAATTAAAAATCTAAATTTGATGAACCATATACCAGTGTTTTAGTGACCTTTGTATATACAAAATACCTAAATCCTGATTTTCTTTAGTGTATTTTTACTTAATTGGCCACCCTGAAAAAGTTGTTATGCTAACTACTCGCAGGAATTTTAGCATTTTCAAAACGTTCATGTATCCTTATAGATATTAACATGTATGATTTTTTTTTATATCTATGGATATGGGGGGGGGGGGGGTCAGTTTTATTTCCCTTTTTGCATTATTTATTCATTCTTTTTTTTCTTATTTATTTTTTGAAGGGGGAATGTAGAGGGGAGGGGATAATGTGAGGTATCTGCCAATTTAATTAATGCATATGCGAGGATGATAAAAATAACATATTGGTCTTAAAATAAATATACACTACATATGAAAATGTTAGATTTCAGACATGTTTGATTCTTGTATGAAGTGGGATTTTTACACGGAATACATGTATAATTTCTCAATTTTAATCCTACGTTTATTGGATGAATTTTTATTTTCATGAAAAATTTACAACTCAATTATTGAAATTTCCAGGGGTTCATGTTTTATGCCCTCTTTATAGATTTGTATTGTTTATAGATTTTTTTGAGATCGATCACTGTTCGTTTTCTTCACCTTTTTCATTATTGTTAATTCTTCAGTGCAACTTGATAGCACCATATGTAATAATTTTCTTGCAAAAATAAACAAGGACAAATGCCTTTTTGTGTATAATCTCTGAGGACTTACAAAAGCATACGCCATTGCTATGAACTCAACCTCAAATACGCATTCAACTATAATAAAGCATCAAATATATAATAAAGCATAAAATACGCATTCACATATAAACCAACATTTCAAATCAATTGATAGTTTTATAAACTTTGATTCATTGTGCCAATTTGCTTTCTAACTTAGTTTATTTAATATTACCTCTCCGAATTATCCATTCCATTGTCCATCAATCTTTTCGAAAGTTTTTCTTTCTCGTTCTCCTTGTCATAAGTACTAAGTACCTTTCTAAACAAGTCGCAAAGAAGTCTGAAATGAACAACTTCACATCTTTATTTAAATCTGGTTATACTTTTAATTACTAGTATACCTGTCCTTTGTTTTAGTATGACACTTTATGTTACTAAAATTTAAACTTTCAAATTTATGTTCACCCATAAAAAATATGACACCGAATTCCACGCATCACTTTTTAATAAAAGGATAATAAACTTAAACTTTGCAACATCTTGTACAACAACATTATATATGAAAACAATTCATGCAATTTGCCAGTGGTTCTAAATGCTCTCACATTAGATTAACTTAATAAAATTTCCATGTCGTAAAATTCATCTTCATTAAATGACAGAGCTGAGTAAAAGTTGTTTCAAGAAGTATGATAAACTCCTTACTTTGTTTCATATGGACTAGAACTATAATGGTGATCACAGGGCAACGTTTTTGATCGTGTTTTCACTACATTTACCAAATATCTCTACAATTAGCAAATCGGAAAATATGTTCTTTACAAGGAATATTGCATTTTTATCTGGCTATAAGCTATTAATGTATTGAAAATTCATTAACTGCTTCATACAATATACGATACTATTGATGTCTTCATTACTTCTTTTGAAAAATCTGCAATTTTACATGTTTGGCTGCTTATTAAGACAAAGGTATGTTCTATAGATTCCAATTCTATAATTTGATCTACATATTATTTTGTTTTAAAGTAAAAAATTATTTAATCACCTTGATGTCAACATCTCCCTCTTTTAAATCGGATATCAGGTTCCTCAAACTTCTAATACCATTCATCCAAAAAATGAATTCATTTTCCTTCGTGAGGTATTGCATTATTTCAAGTGGTATGGTTATATTCAAGCGACTATTTCTGAAAGTATAGGCAATCTTTGCTAGCCAAGGGTTTCTGCTCCGCTAGGATTTGCGAGGAGAGTAGCGGATCAGAAACACTTGACATGTTTTCGTGGTATGAAGACTACCTCGAATTCATGTATTCCACGAAATGTAAAATTTCAAACATGTTACAACTCAACATTTCTTCATCCATGAAATCAAATTCCCACGAACCAATATTTTTTCCTCAAACCATGAAAATCTGACCCCTAGAAAATAAGCAATTTTACATTGTACATGTATGTAAATAGCAATACCGACCTTGTAAACTCAAAAGCGTCCTGTAATAGACCTAACCTATCTACCTTTGGAAATACCTAAAATAAAAATTAAAGACCAAAATGATCAAGGATAAACGGGGTGTTTCTGAACCTGGTTCTTTTTCGTGATTTAATGCACATAGCTAAAGTATGCAATTTAAAATCTTTAACACCAGCAAACAGGTGACCCACCCAACATTTAGCGCTTAAAGAAAGCCCCCCTCACCCATTTCCTGATTACAATGAATCAAGATCGACTAAAACAGTTTAAGGTCTAGATACATGTCTCCAGATTAATTGAGGAATATTACCTGCGAATAAAGTTTTTAAATACTTTAGAGCATTCCCTATATCATCTATGGTTCAAGTAGAATTTTACTTTTAATACTTGTGTCCTTGAATTTTCAATTCAATGATTCGATAAGGATTTATATAACATAGCTGCAGGAACAGGCGATTGCTTGTCAAGGAATGTTTGCTTGGTAGACACCGCCCACCCCCCATTCTGAAAATGTTTGTTCTTGTCCCACCTTCCAACTGAAATTCTTCCCAAAGGCCTGTATAACATGATCTTTATTATTTATTCTTACAGTCTCTTTAGTATAATAGTATTCTACAAGATCGATTACTCAATTAACATTTTCATATTTTAAGAAAATATTTATAAAAAACTATGTTTACCGAATGATTTCTTTTCAACTGTTCAATTATTACATTCCATGTCTCCGTATCATAATCCACTCTGTAATATCCACTGCTGCCAAAGTTACCTTTTACCAATATATCACTGGTTTCCAAGTGTAAAGTTTCTTTAAAAAGAACTTTAATAATGCACTCTCTTGTAAAAAATATATGTGTGAAATTTGATGTATTTGGTCATTATGTAAAAATGACCGAGTTCCATTTTTGATACCTGATGTATTTTGAAGCCATATTCGATTCCGTGTCCAACTCCCATTCTTCTGTAATACACCATATATAAAAGGAACTTGCCATTTATAACTATAAAAAAAAAAGAATGATATATGTTTAGGGGATATAATTAAAAAAAATTGCAACAACGTCTTTAATCTTAAAAAAATATCCCATTTTTACATTATGCATATAGGAAGAGGAAATTATCAAATTTTTCATATTCTTATATTGCTTTTTCTTTATAATTTTGATAATTTAACAGGATTTGATAACCTGGCATTTGATGTAGGTGATTTGTTGAAGGTATTATGAATCTGTGAAATCTTCACTTCCGTTTCCTGTCGACTAACTGTTACAATAGGATATCCTTTTTGATTGGTCCATCCATCCATAGCAGATTTCAGATCTATTCTCTCCTTTGGTGACTGAAGATTCATAAGAAAGTAACACTTAGATTAAGAAAAATGTAATTTGTTTCATCATTAGAACAGTGTTCAAGATCGAGTTTGAATACAAATAAGCTTTTAATTAAAGTATCAAATAAGATACTTCTAGGCTTTTTAGACTCAGGTTGCTTTGATATACAAGTTAACACGTAGGTGACATTATCATCTGGTGGCAGATATTTACTTATAGTGGAAGACAAAAGCCTATGGTGACAGGTTTATCCTTACGGTTACATACAAAAGCTTATGATGACAGACATAAGCCTATGGGGATTGACATAAGCCTAAAGTGGAAAATAAATTGCTTTAATATCACGAAACTAGGAGAGGTTAGTACTGAAAATAACTCACTTGAACTTCTGAAATGGACTGCCATAAATCCTCAGTAACAACACTACTGTAGTTATATTTCCTCAAGTAGTTTTTTATCCCTGTGTCGAAATTTGCCTCTCCTATAAATTCTCTCACCATTTGTATAATTGAAGCTCCCTGAAGATTTGAAAATGAAAATTCTCCATCAGAACTAAACATTTGGAATGCATACATAGAGAATAGAATATGTCCAAAAGCCCTTCTCAAGTAAAATCAGGATTTATATTAATATTGTTATTTACTTTTAAAAAGTTAATTTACAGGCATCTAGAGGTACAAGCATGTTGCAGATTTGTATATCTTATACTGCTGAATGACATCAAATAAAATAGATTCCAAAGTCAGTATTAAAATCTTAATCTATATGGACCAACCTTCATGTAAATCGGGCAGAAATTGAATGAGGAAACATCCTTTTTATCGTTCACAGGTGAGACCACCGCCGAAGATCTTTTTTGGTCACATTTCATAGCAAGGGCTATAACTCTGTCATAGAGCCAGATGTCCTTGAAAAAAGTTCAAGTTCTTAGTCTTTTCAAAGTAGTGCATCCATACAAATTTATTGTAAAAAAAAAAAACTATGGCATGTCACACTTGCAATATTTGATCTTTTCCATTTGTATTGTAAAAATTCTTATTTGTACTGTATAATTTTTTTAATTTTTAATCTATATTTTCCATTGGTATTTTGTAATTTTCTATCTGTATTGTATATTTTCCACGTGTATTTAAAAAGAAATTCAATTGCATAATTTTTTTAGGTTTGTATTCTATATTTTTCGTTTGTATTTTATATTTTCCATTGTATTGTAAAATTTCTCATTTGTATTGTATAATTTTTTATTTGTATGCAATATTTTTTTTCATTTTCATTGTATCTGAGGGATTGTGAATTTGAGCCCTTATTTGCGTGCAAGTAAGGGGACGAACATTGATTCTGAAAAGGGGGCTGAGAGATTTTGGAATTAAATAGTCTGTCCTCAGAAATGTTGAAAGTAAATAAATAAATCAATAATCTGTCCTCCACTGGGAAGAAAATGAATAATCAGACCTTGACTGGTGGTACCTAATCCCACCCACCCTTCCCCAACAAAATGGAAATGCAAATTTTCTTCTTCTTCTTTTTTTTTTTTTGGTTTTGTTTTGTTTTGTTTTGTTTTTGTTTTTTGTTTTGTTTTTTGGCTTGTTTATTTATTCCAGGGAAGAAAATAAATAACCTGTCCCTGGTCATCTTGGAAATAAATATTTATCCTGCAAGAGCTTAAAAATAAATAGTCTAACTCGACACAATTTGCATTCCCCCTCCTCTTCAGAATTCAAATGGTCGTCCCCTAACATGCACTCAAATAGTCCAATTTGCGTTGAGCACCCTGGAGATTTCGCTCTTTTTCAACTCAATACAAACTGAAACTAGAACAGTGAAATCCTTCGTAACGAAAAAAAAAGAAAAATAAAATAAACAATCCATCGGATAAAATACAAATGAAAATTTATAGCATGAAAATTAGAATCAAATTATACAATATAAATAATTTTTTCACAATACAAATGGAAAATTTAGAATACAAATAAAAAATTATAGGATACAAAAGAAATTTATTACAATATAGATGAATAATTTATAATACAAATTAAAAAAAATTAGGGATGGCAATCGAATACAGAATTGCCAATCGGTTAACCGCAAGACGTTCCGACCGATTAATCGGTTAATCGTATCAAAACTTTTCGAGATATTTCTTCATTGTATAAAGCTATATTTACATAAACAAGACAATAAAAATGTTACATATAGTAAATTACCGGTATGTTTATAATTTATCAGATTTATACATTATTTCATTAAACATAATTTCAATTTTTAATAAGCCCCCCCACCCCCCCCCCACCCACCCCCACCCCCCCAAAAAAAACGGGATATGCCTGAACTATCAGTTACATAAAAAGAAATTCAGAAGAGATGCCGTGCAAACAATTCTGGGGTCTGTTTTACGAAAGAACTTATGACCCAAAATTTAATTCTGCTTATAACTTTCTAATTTACATTAAATTGAAAATGGTTTTTATCTTTTTACAAGGAATGTAGAAAAATATGTTTACGCTAGTAATTTTAACAGAATCATTCATTTTGCAAAATTTTACAATCAACTAAAGTTTTTGGTCTTAGTCGTAAGTTCTTTTGTAAAAAGGGCCCCTTCATTGTCAATATAATCAAAACTAAAACTGGACTATCGCTTAATTTACAATGTTTGTTCAATTATACAATTTGATGGGTAACTGCAAAGGATGGAAAAGGTAAGGTACACATTATAATCAGTTCGCAGTACTCAACGATCATTTAATTAAAATCATTAAAGAAACACAGGACAGATTGGGTAACGACATGGTGTTTACACAGCAGTTAACATCTCGAAAACTGACTAATTACCCACACGGTGTCCATCTGGAGAGCCTTAATTATCTCCGAATACACTTAAATAGATAGGTGAAAATGCTAATATTTCAGATATTTTTATATGTATCTTTTTAACTAAATTTTTTTGGAAATTGTGTTCAGATTTACACATATATTAATTTTTTCTGACTAACCGATTACAGATTTTCTAACCAATTACTATTGTTCCGACCGAGTAATCGGTTAATCGATTACAAATTGCCATCCCTAAAAAATATATACAATACAAATAAAAACATTTACAATGCAAATAAAAAAAAAGAATACAAATGGAAAAATATTTTTAAAAAAACAAACGGAAAACATAGAAAACAAATAAAAATTTATATAATACAAATAATTCTTTTTACAATATAAATGCAAAGTATCAAATATTGCAACGTTTAACGTGCAATAGAAAGCGTTAATAATCAGGGGATATCCTGTATTTATTGATTACACATTAACCAGTGGTGATCAGTGTAGTAATTTCAGAAAAGTTATATTACTACACCCAAGAAGAAAATTATCTTTTGATAATATAATGTTATTTAAACAACGTACCATCTCAAAAGACTCATTTAGTGCTTTTCTACCAAGGTATGACATAAATGTAGCTAATCCTTCGTTAAGCCATAGATCATTCCACCATTTCATTGTTAGAAGGTTGCCAAACCACTAAAATTATAAAGTGCTTTCTGTGAATTGCTTAAAACCTAGATATAACACAAAACAACATTCAGAGATATAGAAAAAACCTTCGACACAATGCGAACAATTTTCATGTCACATAAAAGCTTGATTTGCACCGAGTTTCAATTACATGTATACTGTTAACTTGTCATTCGCAGTAATTTATAATAATAATATTATTATATCCCTTTGAACTCGAAATAAAAAAAAAATATCACAGAGTCTGACACATCTGTTTCATATTGGGATGTTTTACTAGAAAAAGACCATTATTGGCAAACTTACAAAATAAAACATTATGATAAACATGATGACTTCAACATTTCTATCGTCAACTTCTCTTATTTATGTAGCAATATACCATTATCACCAGCACATGTCTCCCAGTTTATATATGAGTTTATGTCTCCCAGTTGATTAGATACACAAGAGCAATTTCCAAAACGAGACAAGCTATTGACAAATAAGTTGATGGTACAAAGATATCAACAGTTTCGTTTAAAGTCAATAAATTCTATGGTCGATTGATTGATTGATTGTTATTTTACGCCCCGTTTGAGAATTTTTCGCATAAAATGAAAATTAATCTTAAGATATTCAATTTTTATTCCATTTCGAATATTAAATAAATTTGAATATTAACTTTATTCTTACAGCATACAGATACATGCAAACAAGAAGCTTTTTTTAAAATATGTACAATTACAAACATTTTGTCTCCACGCATCCTTTATTATGTATAATTTACTACTTTTTCGAAATACAGCACAATTACAAGGTTGTTCATCTTAATTTGACCGTTCTGAACATTTCATTTTTGAAGAATTTGCCAAATATTGAATATTTAAATCAATTTAGAATTAATTATATTTTCTTCTACCATACCTTCCCTTCCTTTTTGACATGGTATGCACAAAATTTGAAACATTGTGCAATTAAAAAAAGATGCATTGCTTATAATTAAATGTTTCTTTCAGTTTGATATTAAATATTCTTTGTCGAGGACTTTATCACTGTGACAGCGAGTTATATCATTGTGATAGAACATTCAGTATGTACAAAAACATGACAGAGAACTTTGTCCGTTCGTTTGCTTTGTAAAGAAAATTATTTGAGAAATGTTACTGTTTTTAAAAAAATGAAGATTTCTTAATAAGGGCCCAGAAGATGGAAGGGTACATCTTTATTATTATTATTATTATTATTGAATCAACATTTGGAAAGTGTTTGACATCAAAATTAGTTAAGAAATGCAAAGATTAATCCTCATAATTAAGAAAATAGATAAAAATTAAGTATATCTAATATAAGATTTATCGATATCCTAGAGCCATGACAAAAAGACAAAATTATTAAAGTAGAAGGTAAGCATTTCCTACTATCAAAACTGATTACGTCCCATTTTACCTGATGAGCAAGTTCATGAGAGATCACTTCGGATACCCAATTCTTTTGCCGGATGCTAGTATTTGAACTAACCAGCATTGCTTCTTTGGCAGAAGTGATCAGTCCCCAATTTTCCATAGCGGCATAACAAAAGTTAGGAATGCTAATATAATCTGTAAAAATAAGTTAAAATTCCGGACTTACATTTTATTCCCAAAAGTAAGTTTTGACACATGTAAGATTACGATAAGACTATGAACAGTAAGGCATTGTAATCTTAAGGTATACCTTCAGGAGGGATTATACTTTAATTAATCCATTTTTTGAAACCATAACTTTAAAAGCAATATTTAATTATTTTGCATAGTTTTACCAAAAGCATGTCCTTTTCAAAGCGGGAATTTTCTTTATTTTTTCTTTGCTGATAATATTTTTCTGTATATTTACCTAGTTTTGGTAGTGGATAGGGGATGTCGAATAATCTGTTGAAGTAATCCAATACAATGACTATGACATGAAGAGCATATCGAGCATCGTTTATTCGGTCAGGCGTGGCATATACTGTCACCTTTGCAGAAAAAATTTATTCCAATATTGACAGTATAATTTATATTTATTTTCTCTAGGAAATGTTCTCACATTATTATCAAATTATTACCGATGCTATTATGGTAAAATATGTTATCTCTGTGAGAAAGAAAACTGATTGCCAATACAAAATACTTACGTTTATTTTTCTATGATTCTATGTTGGGTAAAAATAGTTTTCATTCAGACTGAATTTTACATTTAAAAACTGATGAATTTAGTTTATTTTGAATAACATGTCGGTGCGTGTTCGAATTGCTTACTTTTGTGCCATCTTTTGTGTTGTCTGTTATGGATGAAAAATCACACACGACAAATGTAACAAGATATGAGCTCATTGTGACGCTTTGATGGAATTCATCCAGCACTAAGTTTTCACTATATGCAGTTGAAGATCTAATGGGCATGTTGAAAAGCGAAAAGTAGTCTTTTTCCCTTACAATGGACACAGAGAATTTGGCTTTCATTGCTGGTTCGTCAAAACAGGGGAATGCTTCTCTGGCATGCATAGTTTCAAACTGGGTAGATGCTAATAACCTTAAATAGAAATTGTAGTAGAAATTCTATCAAAGTGTAGAATTCTCTAATTACACAATTTTATTTTACATTTAATTTTTTTTTCAATAACACTTAGTCTGATAGTAATATAGACATGATTAAAAAAAAATGTAATACATTTTCATTGAAAAAAATGGTTAGTTTCCTTTTTAAATTGAAAGAACTTACCTTGTTGAATTTTTCCTATCATCAAAATATGAGCTAAGATAAAATCCTTTGCATGTCGGTGCAAATTCTCCTTCAAATTTCATGTTGATAACAATATCAGTATCATTTGGTATTACATTGTCTACCTGTACATAGAACTGATCTTTTTCTTTCAATTCTAGATATCTGGTCACATTCAGTATTTTTGAATGAGTTGAAGATTTTACCGTAACATCAGAAATATTCAGGTCTTTAGAATGCAGCACAAGAAAATTAGTGGCTTGGACAACTCTGCATTTTATAGAAACTTTTCCGGAAAATGTTCCTTCCGTCAGATTTGGGTGCAGAAAGATATCATATTCTGATGGAAGAACTGAAGATGGAAGACGAAAGTGTTTCCAGGGAAGATGTTTGTCGGCAATAGAATCTTCCGAAGTAGTGTTTTTGTCCGTGGTAAACTCCATGGACTTTGCAAGATCAGATTTTAATCCGAAAGAGCGCAGCAAAGCAATGCTTGCTATCAAGAGTACATGTTTCATGGTGGTGAAAATTGCTCTTGCTACTGAACACTCAGCTTGACGGGCAATTTAAAGATTTTGAGCCGTTTGAACATTTGTCGTTTAGTAATTACAGTGACATTCATGCTTTTCAAATATCACTGACCTTTGAAACTCCTGAGTTTATCACCAAGCAACATAAAGCCCATTCACAATTACTTCATAATGGCTTAACAATTTGTATAAAAAACCGAACTGAAGCAATGCATCGAAAAAGCAATAAAAATTATATTTAAACACTATTCATTTCATCTATAGGAGCATCTGATTAATACATAAATTGGTAAAATGATAGTGAGCAAATACAGATTGCTATATGTAATAGCCTCCCTCAATATAATGCAGAATTAAACTTATTCATGACATTTTAAATTATGCCCTCTTACATAATAATATAATTATTTATTTAGGACATTTTTGCCTTCTTACATAATAATACAATTATGTAGATAAAATCAGATTTTATACAGTGGTGAAGCTTGGATTTGGCATTATTGAGCATTGTCGAAACTAAGTGTCTGCAATAGTGTAAAAGATGAATACAACGAACAGTGATCAAAAAGTCCAGGCAATTTATCATCAAACAAATTAAAACAGAATTTCTTTTGTTATAAATAAACTGTAAATCTAATAAATGCAGTAAACAAAATGAATCGTGACCAGGCAAAACCACGGACCCCTGGAAACACCACAGGTGAGATCAGATGCCTAGTAAGAGTGTGATACAGTACGGTAAATATCGTCTAGTAAGAGTGTGACACAGTGCGGTAAATATCGGCGATTTATACATATTGTCGTCGGCGACAATATGCACCTATCTTCACTGCACATATTGTTTTCCATCGACATATATTGTTGCCGGTGTCGCATAATATTTGGTCCGCCTCGTTTAAAGGTCCGGGGGGACCTAATACGATAACATATAAGGTCCGCCTTTTATAAGAAAAGGTCCGGCCCGTATAAGAAAAGGTCCGCCGAAGTTTAAAGGTCCGGGTGGTGCAAAATGTTTTAATCTTGATTTAAACACATAAAATTAAAGAGAGTTTGTTTACATCATATGATGAAAGATTAAGGATTTACTCTAGCTGTTGTGTTTATTATTTTGTACAATACATCTCCTAAGGCAGGAATTGCTACTCCATGTTTAGTGTGCTTTTAGCAATACCGTTTAGGGCAATGATTTAAAAAAAAATGTCGCATTTATTGGGCTTGTGTTTGTTTTTCCCCAGCATTTGCTTTGTGTAAATTAGGACGATGAAATCTGCCGGTGTGTATAGGCAATAAAACAATGGGGGTGTGAAGTATTCGTATACCTGACAGGTACTCGCAGGTAGAGCCCGCGGCAGATAGCAATGACAATGTAATGGTCATGTGTTTGCTTTAAATCAATAGATATGAATTCTCTATTTTAGTAAATTATGCTGAAGAACAAATTATAATACTATTATGATATTCATGCGTACACATCAAATTTGTGATATAATTATTTATAGTCTATTTTTATTACAATATTTAAAGAAATTTCTTATTCCAAGTGTAGAGTTTAATACTAAGACCGATAAAAAATAAAAGTATGTATATGCTTCCCTTTAGTTTTAACAATTAACTTGTTTTCAGTCTATAATAATATTTTGCCCTTTATTTGTGGATAGGGTAATATATAGCCTAATGTTGTATTCGATCTGTATTTACTGCAGAAACAAAATGCATGTAATGTTAAACTTAAGCTTAAAACAGGTAATTCAATATTGAAAACATATACATCAGATTTAAAGTATAATCATGGTTTGGATTTAATTCTTTCTTATAAAAATATCACTCTTCCTCGTCATAATGAACTACATATGAAATAATATTTCTTTTTTGTATTTTTTTTTTTTTTTGCCAAAAGAAAAGGAAAGAAAAAGAAATTACACATTTTACTGTGACTTTAATAGACAGACTGTGGGATAATCTAGCAGGCTATATTGCATGACCGATTAAAATTTGAAATCATTATTGTAAAATATTTTCTTTTATTACCGACATGAAGCATTTTGGGCAAAGTTGAATGTCCAGTTCTATATACAAGTCATTTATGTATCTCACGTCTGTATGAACGGAGGAAGGGGGGGGGGGACATCATTGATCCTCTTCCTTTTTTTTTGCGTATCAATGAATTTCTATTTTCTACATTAATTATTGCTATAACCCCCCCCCCCCAAATGCACCCAGAAATATACTGACTGATTGTTTTTGGGGATGTTGTCAAGCGTGCGTCATATTTCCCATTTCAAGCTACATGATATGTACATTTTCGTGATGTCGACTAGAAGCGTTTTAGTCTAATTTTAAATCAAAAATATATTTCTTTTATAAAACGCTGATTATTTATGATTATTTATTTTATTCATTTATGGAAAGTGGCAACTCACGGTTATCCGGAGAAAAAAGGTAATTCATGGGGTTTTCCATCATGAGAGTCCAAGCTGCAGACAGCTCAGTATTACATTACGCTACAACTCCATACCAAGTAGTCCCGGAGAATTGACACTGTATGGAGTATGACTGAGAGTCATACTCCATACTCTCCGGGACTTCTTTCCCTACGAATGATATGGAGTAATACTGAGCTGTCTGGAGCTTGATTGAGAGTGATCTCCCGTGTAGAATTTTCTACGCGGTGAAAACCAATAAAGTGTATTGTTTAGTACCACTACACCTGCTCAAGAGTTTTTGAAAAATTCTTTACGAAAGCTAGGAACTTTGCCAACCTCCTTAAATTATCCTTTTCGAAGTCCTCAGTCATTCTCCGTGGTAACCATGGAGGAAATAATACAATCGGTCTCATGTAGTCATGACAGAATTTTTGAAGTTCGATTTTCATAACACCTATTTCGTGGTGGTGATGGTAGGGTCCACGTTTTCTAAGGGGGCCCAAAGTCATTTTTTATTTACTTCAGTATATACTTTTAATAACTCTGCAAATTCCAGATGGGGCGGGTCCTCCCGACCCCCCCCCCCCCCAGATCTGCGCATGTTATATGAATAATTTCGATAGTGGCTGGAGAAATTTCCGGTAATACATTGCATCTCAGGTGAGGAAGAGGGGGAGGGGTGGCAATAACACCTTCTTTAAATTTCCATCTGCTCCTTGCGTATCAAACATAAAAAATAAACACCACCTGGTGTATTACAGATTTCTTTTTACTTGTCACACAAGGCATTTACCACATACATTATGTACGTAGTGTTGATGAACCCCTTTCTTATTTTTAAGGTGATTATTTTCCCAATTCATTGTATTAATACAGAAACAAATACTCCCTCTTTTTCATGCTATATGAATCAAAGTCTTAAGATACGGATACAGTACAACTAATGATCATTCTAACATAACATTTTTGTGATATACGTACATGGATAATAAATCTGAACATATCTTTTGATTGTATGTGGTGAATATATTCCAGATAAATATACATTGTACAACCATTATACATTCAGATTCGTCACTGCCTTTTATAAAAGAATCGTCCTACGATTTTCCAAGACCTTGACATAAAATGAGGCCCATGGGCCACAACGCTCACCTGAGTCAATAAGGCCCTGCTGTTTTTCATCAGCAAATTTATTCTAACATATCTTCCAATGTAAAACATTAATCACTATTGTGACCCCACCCTACCCCAGGTGTCATGATTTTTATAGATATAGCGCTAGCCCCACCCTACCCCTCGGGGACATGATTTAAACAAACTTGAATTTACACTACCTCAAGATACTTCTATATCAATGTGACTAAACATGGCTTTGTTGTTCCTGAAAAAAAAGGTTTTAGAATTTTTTTCCTATACATTCACATGCTAAACCCTGATAGTGCATTGTGGCCCATCCTACCCCTAGGGGGTCATGGTTTGATTGATTGATTGATTAGGGTTTAACGCCGAGTCGGCTATATTTCAGCCATATTCCGGCGGAAAATTAATTTTATATGACCTGTTATCATGGTTTAAACAAATTTGAATCTACAATACCTGAGGATGTTTCCATATCAATCTGACTAAGGATGGCTTTGCTGTTCTTGTGGAGAAGATTTTTCGATATATATATCCTATGTAAAACTTTGATCCCCCATTGTGACCCCACCCTACCCCGGGGGTCATGATTTGAACAAACGTACATCTACACTAACTGATGATGCTTCCATATTAATATGACTAATCATGACATTGTTGTTCTTAAGAAGAAGATTTTTGAAGACTTTTTCCTAGATATTCCTAAGTAAAACCTTTATCCCCCGTTTTGAACTATCTATTACAAAGAGAAAATTATAGACAGGGTTTTTTCTGAAGCATGAAAAATAGAGAAAGGGGCAGGGCGGACCTTAAAACGCAATATAATAAAAGCCCCGCCTTCTGTATTTCAGATATCGTACTATTACAAGGCGAAAACTTTGAACAGGTTTATTTTCGTAGCATAAAAACTAAAGAAAGAGGCAGGGCGGACCTTAAAACGCAATATAATAAAAGGTCCGCCCTCTATATTTCAGATATTTCAATTCAATTCAAGATATTTATTGAGTATTACAGGCCACCGGCCCAAAGTACAATCATATATTAAAATGATAGATTTACAATTACAGATCAGACTCGCAAATTTAAACATATATATGATGTGGGAACATATGAATTTATGCTTTTCATTTGTCACATATTAAATTTTCAATGAACTTTTCTCTCTCTTTGAAAGCTAAAAAAGAAAATTTTGCAATATCATTTAAAACTACATGTACATCATTTCCATATATAAAAATATTCACAGTGTTTTTATAAAATCTCAAGTGTTTCAAAATATTACATTTTACTCTAATATCCATATATAATTCACAATTTTCTACAAAGTGCTCTTCATCCTCAATACATGTTTTATTTGCTATTTGACAAAAGAGACAGTACCTGTTTTCTCTAGGAATACCCTTAAATCGACCGTGTTCTATTTCCAAACAGTGACTAGAAGTTCTTAATTTACAAAGTGATTCTCTAAAAGACGTATTGTTTATAACATCTATGTACCTTTCTGGTTCAAAAAGAATTTTGAATTTACAATAAAAATCTAATTTACTATATATATATATTTCAGATATCTTACTATTACAAGGCGAAAATTTTGAACAGGGTTTATTTTCGTAGCATAAAAACTAGAGAAAGAAGCAGGGCGGACCTTAAAACGCAGTGTATTTAAAGGTCCGCCCTCTATAATTTAGATGTCTTACTGTTAGAAAGCAAACATTTCGGACAAGGTTTTATTTCCGTAACATAAAAAACTAGTCAAAATGACAGGGCGGACCTTAAAACGCAGTATAATAAAAGGTCCGCCCTCTGTTTTTCAGATACGGTACTGTTAGAAGGCGAAAATTTTGAACAGGGTTTATTTTCGTAGCATACAAACTAGAGAAAGAGACAGGGCGGACCTTAAAACGCAATATAATAAAAGGTCCGCCCTCTATATTTCAGATATCTTACTATTACAAGGCGAAAATTTTGAACGGGGTTTATTTTCGTAGCATACAAACTAGAGAAAGAGACAGGGCGGACCTTAAAACGCAATATAATAAAAGGTCCGCCCTCTATATTTCAGATATCTTACTATTACAAGGCGAAAATCTTGGACAGGGTTTATTTTCGTAGGATAAAAATTAGAGAAAGAGACAGAGCGGACCTTAAAACGCAATATAATAAAAGGTCCGCCCTCTATATTTCAGATATCTTACTATTACAAGGCGAAAATTTTGAACGGGGTTTATTTTCGTAGCATACAAACTAGAGAAAGAGACAGGGCGGACCTTAAAACGCAATATAATAAAAGGTCCGCCCTCTATATTTCAGATATCTTACTATTACAAGGCGAAAATCTTGAACAGGGTTTATTTTCGTAGGATAAAAATTAGAGAAAGAGACAGGGCGGACCTTAAAACGCAATATAATAAAAGGTCCGCCCTCTATATTTCAGATATCTTACTATTACAAGGCGAATATTTTGAACAGAGTTTATTAAAAGTTATCGTAGCGTAAAAAAAAAACTCGTTAAAATGGCAGGGCGGACCTTAAAATGCAGTATAATAAAAGGTCCGCCCTCTGTTTTTCTTTTTTCCCACATACATGTATCTCACAAAGCAAAAATTATGGAAATGCTGTAAGTTCCTGTTGTTTTTTTTTTTCTTTGTTGGTTCGTGTGTTTTTCCAGGGTAAAAAGATAATTAGGTTTTTAATTTTAGGATGGACGCTAAATTAACTTAGAAAACTCTTGGAATGGCCTAATTGTGCATAAGAATTGCATATATACTACATGTAGTAGTGTACTTTTTTTCATTTAATATGCTGACAAAAAGACAAAACTTTAATGTCAATTAATTATCCACTCTATGTACGTTTGCAGGAGATGTGTCTACTGTATTGTATATCTATATGCAACCATAAATATCTGTCTGAAGGGACCAAGGATATATATTATTAATTAGTAATGTTGATGACGTGCAACAAGAGAACTATAACCCCCCCCCCCCCTCACACACACATAAATAAAAAAGAAATAGCCGCTTAAAGTCGTAGAAAATCTAATATAAACCAAAATCAAAATAAATATAAAAAATATTAACAAAAGAACACGACTTGGTGGTGTTTTATGAATTTTTATATCAGTCACGATCTCAACAGACACTTTCCTTTTTATTTTAGGGTGAAATACATGTCAAGTTGCTCTGTAAAACCCCTCTGTAAATAGTATGGGTGGATAAGATTCTCCCTAGTAAGAAGGTGGAAAAGGCGAAATTTCTGCACTGAAGCGTACTGAGTATTTCCTATGGTGGATAAAAAAGCCGGGGTTGTTTCTTCCAAGCTCGCTGCATGTCATTTCCGAAATTTTGCATTGCATTTCCGACATTTTTTTGATTTCATTCTACAACACAATCAACACTAAATCTAGTAAAAATACAAAGTTTAGTAATAAAATGCAATAATTTCAATAAAACATGCAATTTTTGATCGCCAAATTTTAATGCCCACTGAATTATATGTGTTTGAAAGCACCGAAAAACAGAATCTCCTCAACTTTGATTACTTTATTCCGTCAAACATAGTTTCTGTATGTCATAAATTCTATCATAACCTTTCAAATTCAGTATGATTATCTTGATTTGAAAAGATGAAGAAAAATTCACAACTTACACTTACATGTGTCCGAGGATAAAATCGTCATAAGATTCTTTTAAATATAAGCAGAACTTATTATTTGGAAATCAAGGAATTATTCTTGATTTATTCTTTAATTTTTTTTATAAGGGAAATTTCAATTTTGTTTTCATTGCCGGAAAAGTACTTTATGATGATAAATGTCAGAGATGAAAATTTTAAAACGTCAGAAATGAAAACTACAAAATGTAGGGAATGAAATAAACAATATTTAAAAAAAATTCCGGAAATAAAATCCTATGCTAGGCTCATTTTCCAAAAGGGGAGGGGTCTTTAAACCCAAGCTCGTTTTTCCTGGAAAAAATATTAATGCGGGAGGAAAGTCTACAACATCAGTACTTTTTAAACTATTTGACATGTAGCAGCATAATTTTGGTATACCCCACCCACCAAAAATACAACAACACCATTTATAATCATTTCCTTTTTTTGGGGAGGGGGTGTTTTATTGCTTAAAATGTTCAACTCGATTGACTTTGGTTTGATTTTGCCAATTAATGCACATCTTCCTTAACCAGTGTTAACCCAGGGGTAATATCAAGTAGAATGAAATAATCGTTAGTCTTTAACTGGATAAGAAACGATGGTTATAAAAACACGGGGGATATGCGACTTCAAGTTTCGTCAGGTGAGACAATAGGCCTACCCCCCAAAGCACAGACATGTTGTTTTAACAACAACGGGATAGGCTAGTACACCGTAACACAAGTCCCTGTCAAAGTGACCGTCCAATTATTTTATAGTTAGGTACAATATGAATCGTAAGAATTATGCATAATTATTATTAATGATATAATGAAATATCTCTCGAAAGATATGAAAATTCTTTTTGGGAAGTGGAAGTCGAACGTTGTTAGGAAAGAGACTGTAATGAAATGATCATTGTTGGACTTACGAACACCATATACTGAACAATGTGCCAGTGAAGGTATGCGTATTATATATATATATATATATATATATATATATAAATGTATTTTTTTTATTTTGCAATGATAATATTGATATCGCTTAAACTATAAAAGACACATGTCGTACATGATTTTCCCATAAGGTAACTCGATCAACAGATCTTTGCATCTTTATATTTTTTGTTTTGTGCACTACCTGGGAGGTATGTACTACGATAAGGAGCTAACAGTTAATCAGTGCTAACATCAAATTTTGAATAATTTTTTGATAGATAATTTGAGGTTTTGTACTGAGATATATCATAGTATTAGAAATATAATTAATTAAAATTGGCTAACGAAATCCAGCAACTAGCGAGATATCGCAAGACTTGATCCTTTTAGTATATATACAATGTACATACATGTACGTACCTGGAACATTTTGCTGGGAGGGACACTTTTATGACAACTATACCTTAAATAATTTAAAAAGATTAATAAAGCAAATTAATTTCGAATCAATAAAGGAGAAAGATCTGCATATTAAACCGAAGGCGGACCTTTTATTATAGAGGCAGGCCGGACCTTATATGTTATCGTATTAGGTCCCCCCGGACCTTTAAACGAGGCGGACCAAATATTATGCGACACCGGTCAATATTCTACGGGGGTCACTTTTTGTCGTTACACCGGCTGAAAACATTAAACATGTACATAATGTCGCTGGCGAAAATTAAACATGTACATATTGTCGCTGGCGACACTATGTGCCTACCCTCAATGCACATATTGTCGCCCCCACAGTGAGGGCTACTCAACAATTTTTTTGGTAGTTTTGTGAATGCAATTGATGTACAAATCACATTGTCGTGTCTCGTGGGCTATTTCATGTGACGGGTCGTCCTGTACATGTTGTCGCCGGTGACTATTGACAATGTGTACCTACCCTCACTGCACAAATTGTCGTCCATCGATACATATTGTCGCCAGCTGCTGCAAAATTATACATGTACATATTGTTGCTCCAGTATTAAATTTACGTTAATATGGATGGTGACGCCGACGATGATATTGAAAAGTATACAATTTTCATGAGATCGCTTATTTGTAATTTTATCAACTCAACTGAAGCAGCTGCAATGAACGCTATATTTATAATAAATGTGTACAAGTAATACCGCGAAGTAGGGAATAGTGCAAATAACATTTTAAAATTAATATAAATTCATTAAAAACACTCTCTCTCTCTCTCTCTCTCTCTCTCTCTCTCTCTCTCTCTCTCTCTCTCTCTGAAACTTCAATCAAACATCCGCTTTCTGTTAAAAAAGAAAACATTCATTACTTTCGGCTCCCTGATATCCAGTGCACTAAAAGTTATAACCGATTTCACAATACTGACGATATAGAAGCAGTTTTAATAAGATAAGAAGACTTAAAAATGTCCACATCTACCGAGTAACCCAAAATTATGTATAAGAATCACATAAAAATATAATCCAGGTAATTGTTTATTGTTACTACTGAACATAAGAATAAAGATCCAATCTCCAAATATACATAGCAAGAAAAAGTCTGATTTTTCAGGTATCTTGACATGTCTTACTGGTGTACACCAATCCTAGACACAATTTTTCTGTTCATAAATCTGAAATGAAATATGCGTTTTTGAAAACAAACACAAGAAACGTAAAAACAGAACAAATTTTTACCCCACCCTTCCCTCCCTCCAAAAAAAATAGATTTCCAAACTATGAGAGTGAGAGAGAGAGAGAGGTCATTACTGCAGTAGTGGGTATAGTTTTTTCCCTTCCATGTACAGCATTTTCTCATTTTTTTTAAATAATACTCTCCTGTCGTTTGACCACCACGTTCCCTTCTAATTTCCCAAGATAACTTCATCACTCTCCTTGTCCATTCATTCATTTTCTCAAGAAATATACTTATTCCTAAGATAAGTTTTATATACTTCTCTGTATTCTGAAATAAATCGTTTCCTTCTTCTCTATGAAATATCCACAGGGCAGATCTTTGTAAATTCCTTAAGCATTTTTCGAAGTCTTCTTTAACCAAAAATTAAAAAAAAACTTTAATATTGTTAATATCAATTTTGAACATAACCACAATCAGTAACAAAATACTTTAAATCTGTTTGATGTAGAATTGGGTCCAATTAATCATTGAAAGTTAAACAAATATCAAAAAAGCATTTTACAAGATTTAATTTATTCCTTGATATCAAGGATTTTGTCTTGTCGAAAATTATAAACAGTAGCGTGTAGAAAGTACATATTTCTTACAGAGTTGAGAAATTTCCTCTCTCATCGCATCCCATTTCCTCTAATTTTTTCTTTGATACATTAAAAAACTGTATCTACAATAATATAATGTAGTGTTAATACAAAAAGCTTACCATAATTTAAAATATTATACTTGCCAAACACAAATGATGGTGATAACAATTGCTTGTAGAAATGTTCTCAATACCCTAAACTCAGCAAAGTTTTCATCGTTTTCGTGATGGTCAGATAGTTTCAAACTCGAAATAGCGATGAACCAAGGGAGATAATCACTCTCATTTTCCAAATACTTTGTAATTTCCACAGCCACTGTTACATTAAGAAGTCCAGATCTGTAAAGGCTTACTATTTTGAAGGAGCATGACACATTTGTAATAAATAGATTAACATCTTATGTATATTGATTAAAATCGTAATAAAATTTACTAACAGTAGAGTTAAATCGAGCGCAACTGACCCGTATTATAAAAAATATTTCATAGTACAAACCTTGCAAAAGAAATGACATCATCTATCAACTGAGCCCTGTCTCGTATTGGGAAGACCTAAAAAAAAAATAACAATCACAAAACAGAGACATAAAGAAAAAACGAACAATTGGTTTACAATTGGCAAACTAAGCCCCTCCAGGCAAATTAGGGAACCATACGCCTACGGTTACATAATATGCTATTAATTAATAAGAACTTCGTTAATATTTTTAATCGTAACCGATTTTTTCATAGTGGTAAGTTGTTTTTAGTGGATTAACTGTTGTCCAGTGGTCAGCTGCTACGTAATGACCTACCTGGTGATCAATGGTCAGTTCCTCTACGATGGCTTTCCATGTTTCTTTGTCATAATTCACCCTGTAATATCCACTGTTGCCATAGTTACCCTTCAACAATCTGTCGTTGAATCTTATTTCAATAGTATCTGTTGAAAGGTCAAAAAATCGACAAACAGTAACGTTAATAATATTTTTAGAAAAATAAATAAAGATTTGAAATTCAATTTCTTTGTAATACCAGATTTCTCTTGTAGCAGCGTCATGTTGCTTGTGAAATTTCCTTTTGGATCCAAAATTCCATATATAAAAGGAATAATCCATCTGTAAATTTAAGAAAAAAATACCGTTCTAAAACATGAAATATCGTTAGCTTGAAAATCCCAAAAATATCCATAGCTGATTTCATAGATATAGACATTGCTACTGTAACCTGTCTGTTGAATGAGATCCTAGGTTTCTGGAAGAGTTGTTAGAGATGTATCTGCTCTGTGAAATGTTGACTTGCGAGCCTTGTCGACTGATTGTAACTACTGGATATCTTATATTCCTCATCCACGTATCCATTAAAAACTTCACATCTATATTATCCTTTGATAGCATAGAATTAGCATGGAATTAACAATATTTAAGCAGAGTATTACACCGAAAGGACATGAATATGAAAAAGGTGAAGAAAACGAACGTGATCTATCTAAAAAAAAAATCTATAAACAATACAGATCTGTTTACAGGGTATAAAACACGCACCCCTGGGATGTGATCAGGTGCTTATGAGGAGTAAGCATCCCCTGTTGACCTGTCACACCCGCCGTAAGCACTCTATTTTGATAGTGAATATTCCGTACTCAAAATCAGTATATAAAAAAGGCCTAACAATTGGTGCGAAACATGTCAGCCAAAAAACGACCCATTGATAGGTCATACATTGTATCTGAACTAGATGTGGGGAAAATTAAACAGAAGGGATATTAATATTTTACTAGGGATAAAGAAATCTAAACAAATCCTGCTGGTTGAGGGAACATGAAATGTCTATTGGAAATGGAAGGAAAATGGATATTTGAGTGAAAAATTGGATCCCAAAAAAGATTTTTACAAAAAAAAAAAAAAATTGGAATGTTCGAAGCATTCAAGCAGGTCGTTTTTTTTTTTTTTTTTTGGCTGTTTTCAAATGAAAAACGATTTAAGGAGTAAAATATTTTAAAAGTTCAATCTAAATCAAACAATGGATTTAACTGTCTAATTATGTTGTAAAAAGGGAAGAAAAAAGTCTTAAAATTAAAAAAAATAGGTAATCAGAGATTACAGAGCTCACCTCAACGAATGTTGTTTTTAAGTAAGGCAAAGTCCCAAAGTAATAATCTAGTAGTGTACATCCCAAGATGCAATATTTATGCAATTTTGATCTGATAGGGCTTGTAGTTACTTGGGAATAGACTTATCCAAACATCTCAAACTGGTCACTCATCCAGAAAATGAAATTCAAATCCAGCATCTGAAGCAAGTCTGAGAGTGTTCATCCCTTGATGCATCATTCATACAAATTTGGTTTGGGTAGGCATTATAGTTTCTTGGTAATAGGCCTGCACCCAAAACTTTAACCTGGTCCATTATCTGGAAAATGTAGATCAGATCCAGCATCAGAAACAAGTCCATTACTGTACATCCTTAAATGTATCATCCATTCAAGTTTGGGCAACATAGGGCATATAGTTACTTTGAAATGAACCTGCTCAAAAAAACTTTAACCTGTTCACTCATCCAGAAAATGTAGGTAAAATCCAGCATCCGAAGCAAACCTGGTAGTGTGCATCCTTAGATGTATTATCCATGCAAGTTTGGTCAACATAGGGCATAAAGTTACTTGGAAATGAGACCTGCACAAAAAACTTCTGTTCACTCATCTGGAAAATGTAGGTCAGATCCAGCATCTGAAGCAAGCCTGGTAGTGTTCATCCCTAGACGTATCATCCATGCAAGTTTGGTCAACATAGGGCTTAAAGTTACTTGGAAATGAGAGATGAGACCTGCATCAAAAACATGAACCTGTTCACTCATCCAGAAAATGTAGGTAAGATCCAGCATCCGAAGCAAGCCTGGTAGTGTCACTAGTGTACATCCTTAAATGTATCATCCATTCAAGTTTGGGCAACATAGGGCTTACGGTTACTTGGAAATGAGACCTGCACTAAAAACTTTAACCTGTTCACTCATCCGGAAAATGTAGGTCAGATCCAGCATCCGAAGCAAGTCTGGTAGTGTGCAACCTTAGATGTATCATTCATGCAAGTTTGGTCAGTATAGGGCTTATAGTTACATGGAAATGAGACTTGCACCAAAAACTTTAACCTCATTCCTTAGCTGAAACCTTGACTGGTACAATGAAACACACTAGAAGCATCTTCCATGCATCTCTGATTAATGTAGTGCACTGAAGTACTTAAAAAAGGAAACTGCACCAAAACCTGGGATGCCGAGGGTATCACATACGTTTCCTCCAACTTCGTTGAGGTGAGCTACAGAGGCTTAAAAATTAGCCTTTTGAATATTTTATTTGTGCTATATAAATTCCTACATTTTATTTCTTTATATTTTTCTCATTATGTTTCATTTCTAAATATTTGAATGTATATTTTACTTGCATATATTTTAATAAAGAAATCATTAATATATTGTTTCTATTTACATTGTATATCTATACTGTATACAGGGAAATTTTCGCCCCCATTTTGTTTTCGCCCCTTTCGCAATAGACACAAGCGAAATTAAAGCGGGGCAAAATTGTTTGCAATTGTAAAAGGGCGAAAATAACCCTGTATACTGTAGTAATTTCTATATTCTGCACTCACCTTAGAAATAAACTTTATATAAATTAAATAAGTAACAATGTAAGTGTGTATATTAGACAGACTGTGTTATAAGCCTAAAACTGAAGCTATTAGAGGGGCCTGGACACAGATATATTGTTTATTATTTTAAATGTCTATTTTTATTCAAAAAATAACTTCAGTTTTATGATTTGAACTTACATGAATATTCCAAGAATTCAATGACAAAGACATTCTTCATAACAGCACGTCAAACAGCTGTGTTTGTAAACAGGGCACGAGCTCTGTTATTGTTAGTGTTTACCTTTTACCGGATATATTCAATCTGTTTATTCCGCACATATCACAGAGCACGGACTAACATTACTGGTGGGTTGTTTTTGCTTTCTCGCATTTCTACTCTGACTTTTCTGGATTATAGTTTTCATATTTTTCATTAATACACAACAAAATTTTTACTTTTCTCAAGTATTATGGATGAAGTTTACTTTGTGAAAGTACAGTGATACATGAATGTGTCAATCAAACGCGTCCCGAAAATCGTAGTTTTAATAATTTCCAGATAAAAGAAGTTTCTAACACGCTTTTAATATACTTCGGTGTGAAATGCTCTAACAACATACAAGTCACGATATTATTTAGAAAAATTTTAGAAAATAAGAAGCTTCAAAACTGTACCCTAGCCCCTTTAAAAGATAACTGACACTTGTTACAATTTATAGATGTGTCCTCTTAAGAAGAAATGCTACACCGAAGCTTTATTTTATAGATCTTCAAGACTTGTTTTTTGAAATACGATTTCAGCATGGAAAAGTTAATATTTCAGCTCTAAATTATTTTATTTTATGGTAACCTAACAACAAAGCTTTATGATAAACTTCAACTTTTCAATCGTCAACTTCCCTAACTTATGCAACAATATAATGTCTCTCAGTTGATTCGATACGCAAGAGCATGCTCTACGTATGAACAATTTCTAAAACGAGGCAAGCTATTGACAAACAAGTTGATGAAACAAGGATATCAACAGTCTCGTTTGAAGTCATCTTTTCGCAAGTTTTACGGTCGATACAATGACCTTGTCAGCACATACAACCTATCATTGAGTCAAATGCTGACTGGCGTTTTTCATACTGATTGTTTGGCCATCATTTATACACTGAACTTTCTACGGATGTTTTCCTTTTTTCCGATCATGGCAAGGAGCACACGACCGGAGTGAGCGGTTGGCAGGGGATGCTCACTCCTCCATGGCACCTGATCCCACGTTTAAATTTTGAGGTCCGTGTTTGCTCTGCTCCAAATTTGTATTGTTTCACTGGACTTTCGAGATTGATTACTGTTCGTTCATTTTCATTTATATGAATATTTCTTTTGTATTTTTATAGATAATGTAAAAATTGTTTTATTTGTAAATAAGATGCTTCAGAGTTTAAAATTTGCCATTCATAAATGCGCAAAATAAATATCCCCTAAAACATGTCAAGTGTGTAGTATTCTACCTTATAGGAAACCCAGACTTACATTTGATAATGCTTGCCAGAGGTCGTCCGTTACAACAGTACCGTATTTATTTCTCTCTAAATATTTCTTTATGCCACTGTTAAAGTTATCGTCACCAAGCACATTTCGGAGCATGTACACAAAAGCCGCTCCCTATGAATTACGTAACATACATAAACATATTATTCAAAACTTTTTACTACATGAAGGACTATAAACAAAATGTCATGATCATTATATCAAATAATACATGTTAATCTGCCAATTAAACTTAAAAAGTTATTGAATGGAATGACTAACCGTTTAAAAAATCAAAGTTTAATCTTATCTTTACCTTAGCATACACCATACAGTTAAATTCTGTTTCGTCTGGAACCAAGACTGGATGAGCTAATGGGGGATAGGTTTTTACATATTCACAGTTCATTGATGTCATCCGTGCCATAAACTCATTTTCCTTGAATATATATAATATTGTAATTATCAATCCGAACATATATAAACTGCATGGGTAAAATTTGTAAATATATTAAGTGCTCTAAATGTTACCATATTCCAGGTGTCGTTCATCATCTGCATTCCTAAATAAGACATATAGGTGCTGAGTCCCTCATTCAGCCAAAGGTCATTCCACAACCGCAGGGTAACTAGATTACCAAACCACTGCAATTCAAATCTTGATAGATCTACCATTGAGACTAATATTAGTCTATTTCTACTTGTCATTGAGACTAATTCTTATTATGTCTCCACCAACAGAAAACATAATAGTTTCGGCATAACTGACTGTCTATCACAGAATCACACCAGCGAGAGAACTATTGAACGACGATTGTAATTGAATTTAATATGTTGTTGCCTAAGACCAGTTATGCCAAGATGTTGACTCAATGTCGTATCTTAGAGTTCAAGGTCATTTGACAATAAGATAACGAAATGGTGTCCGGTCTATAATTTTCAAATCTTAATTTTCAAACGTGTTTTGCTCAAAATCTAAAGGTTTATCAATACCTTAACTCAAGGTCATGATCAAGATTACAGTTTAGGAGTGAGGGACGCTTCTTTCATCTAAGAATGCTAGTACAACATATAGATCGGCTTGATTTTAAAATAATATCAGCATGAAAATGTATCACTTTGGCGCAATCTAAAATAGAAATTACATCAACATAAGTTCAATTTCAACGTCACTATATTCTTCGTTGATCCGATCCAGGACTTTTTTTCCTGGTATATGTTGACTTTAACAAAACAAATATGTTCTGCAGCCTTCAAAGCTTGATACGACAACTAATCGTTTATAAGAATTATTTGCTTATTAAATATTTTTTTCTTTCGGAAATAGATTTTATTCATTAAAAGTTGCCTTGCCTGATGAGCGACCTCATGTGCCACTACAAAGGTTACCAGATATATGTCTTCATATTTGGCGTGAAGCGGATCATACAAAAGTCCAGACAAACCGGACATTATCAATCCCCAGTTCTCTACAGCAATATCTTTGAGATGGGGAACAGCTATTAAATCTACAAACAAAATGCAATCATCCAACAATGAGAAAACAGATACAGTCTTTCATTTTGAAAAGGACAAAATTATCTTAGCGTTCGATAAATTTATCTAAAAACTTTTTTGTGAAAAAGAATGAGTTTAGCCAGTACGTTAAACTACTTTATCAAACTTGAAAAATCATGATTTCGTTAATATTGGAAACCATCTTTAATTATCAAATAACAATTGCTATAGTCTATTGCCACATTCATTTTGAGTAGCTTATTAAGCGTTTACATGGACTAGAAATTGCCAAACTGTGTAAATATTACTGAAAATAGAAATATGATAATAACAGGCCCGAATACCTAGTTTCGGAATGGGATAGGCAATGCCGAAAAGATTGCCAAAATAGTCCAGAACTGTGACAGCCACATGAAGAGCATAATGAGCCTGGTCGATTTTATGTCTCGGGGTGTACACTGATATCTACAAGAAATATTTTCTTGTTGAATTCTTGTTGACGATTCAGATAATTTTTTTTAAATATATCAGATTTTCTCCGCTCAAAATTTCCTTTTTCCAATTTAAGAAACTAATGTCATTGTCAACTTTTTTTCTTATTATTAAAATCTGATATACATTTGAGTTTAACAAAATCTCCTAAAATTTGATTGAATTATTTACATCAAATATACTTCATTTAAAAATGAACTCCTAAACTGCATACTTTGTAATTGGTTGTCTGCGAACTTATTTTATCAAAAACATTCTGATTCTATAAAAAGAAAATACTTCGAAGTTGATATTAAAAAGATGCTTGAGTTTCTCATCAACATTATTCATGTAGTTTTCGGAGACTAGGTCTTCCAACAATCTGTTGAAATTCCCAATGGTACATGTACTTGTTGTGCCCCGTTATTAGCAGACCTGTTTTTGCTATTCATATGAAGAAGAATTTATTCACAAACTTCTAATGAAAAGAAGAAGTCTTTTGCTGTGGTCTTTAATTCAACATTTGGATATATCGACGTTATTTTATCAATTAACAATATTCAGTTTATTCCTACGTTGATTCGATATATCCCAATTGAACTTGAAATCCAAGATACCACAGAGTCTGACACATCTGTTTTATATTTGGATGTTTTACTAAAGAAAGACAGTGATGGCAAACTGACAACTACACTTTATGAGAAACGTAATGATTTCAACTATTCTGTCGTCAACTTCCCTTATTTATGTAGCAATACACTTTTATCACCTGTCTATTTAGTTTTTATCTCCCACTTTATTCGATACGCAAGAGCATAGTCTATGTACAAACAATATCCAAAATGATATAAGCTTTTGGCAAATAACTTGATGATACAAGGATACAGACATCAACAATTTCGTTTTAAGTCAACATTTCGCAAATTCTATGGTCAATATAAAGACCTTGTTAACAAATAAATCTGTCGTTAAGTCGAATTTTGACTGACGTCTTTCATACAAATTGATAGGCCATTATTTTCACACTGAATTGTCTTCGGATTTTCCCGTTTACCCGATCATGACAAGAAGCACACGGCGGGTATGACTGGTGGACAGGAGATGCTTACTTCTCCTTGGCACCTGATCCCACCTCTGTCTTCAGAGGTCCGTGTCGGCTCTGCTCATAATTTGAATTGTTTAAATGGAATTTCGAGAAATGATTACTGTTCATTATCATCACATTTCATTTTCAAGATCAAGATTTTATTACCTCTATCAGTGAAAAAATTATCATCAAAAAATATAATAAAAATTCTCATGCTCTTACATTTATGCCTGTTTTGCTTTGACTTGACAGGGATGCAAAGTCACACACCGCAAAAGCCACTAGATATGTGCTCATCTTTACACTTTTCTCGAAAGTGTCCAAGAGAAGGTTTTCCTCGAATGGCGTGGAATGTATCAAAGGCATATTGAAAAGGGAAAGGTAGTCCTTGTCCCGAACTATCGACATAGAAAACATGGCCTTCATCTCTGGTTCGTCAAAACATGGGAATGCTTGACGGGCTCCTATTGGTTCGAACTTAGTAGAGGCTATTATTCTGGAAAGGTAAGAAATATAACAAATGATAATAGTTTTCTATCAAAGTAAAGTACAACTCACAACATTTTAAAGTTTATTTAAAGCTTAAAATTATTAAAGTACCTTGTTATGTTATCTGTATCAAAGTATTCAAATGCATAAAAGCCGTATCCATTCGAATTCTGCAGACTTCCTTTGAACTCAATTTTGATTAAAATTTCTGTATCTTGTAGTAAACTGTTTTCAACTTCAATGTAAATCTGATCAGTCCTATAATTGTAAAAGTATCTATCAACTCTGTTCGTTTCATTGGTAAGTAAAGATTCCACCGTTATCATGGAGAGCACCAAGCGCTTGGAATGTAGAACAAAGAAATTTGTTGTGCTTCGAACTACACATTTTATTTCCACTCTGCCAGAATATTCCCAGGTTGTGAGATTGGGGTGCAGAAATATGTCGTACTCGATTGGAATAATTGATTTTGGAAGTCGGACATTACTCCATTGAATTTCCTCACGATTTGAATTCAGTTGGTGTCCTGAAGATGTGAAAAGTGCATCTCTTGATTTCCGCAATACTTCCGGTTGGACAGCACAGACTATGAACCCCAAGTAAGAAACAATAATCAGAAAGATAAAGCCCACCATATTCACCTTCTGGATCTCAACACAGTCTACGATTATGTAGTAATTTAACACACTCTACTCCTATAACATTAATTTAATTGACTGTTATTAGTATCCGACTGGTAAAACAAAGTATACAGTGTACTTACATATTACCTTATAATAAGATAAAATTATAGACAGATTTTTTTTGTGTGTGTGTGTGGAAATTACACATTTTGAAATTTGACGACAATTTTGTTGTGACATTCCATGAAACAATCTCACGTAGATCATTATGCTCTCCCAGGAACAATCAGATTGCACTTTTCAAATTCATGTCATCATGTTAAACTAGATAACATATTTCCATTTCTATTTGTTTTCTCTGTGATAACTCTTTGAAAGTTATGGAGAGTTGATTTCTCGATCATTTTAAAGGAATGCAAATTTTACCAAGCGAAAGGTAAGTAGCTAAGAAGGCCTAATATGCATGTAATTCCCGTGCAGCTGTCTTTGTGTCTGACTCTAAGGAGGCCTAATATGCATGTAATTCTCGTGCGGGTCTTTGTGTTTGACGTCAGTGGGCGGGGACTATTGAAATTGACATGTGAGGCCTCGTGTAATTTAAATCTATTAGTCTACATTTTTAAATTTCTCCAAAATATAACGGCAAAATAATGATGATGCCTGAAGTTTTCTGAAATATTAGGATTGTAAAATGATTTCATGTAATCTTTAAACTATATTAAATTTATCTTTCGAATAAGTGTGTCACATTTCCTGTCCAAATTGCCATCATTATACAACTGTCTCCTTGTATATGTACGATTTCGGAGCCAATTGTATAATGATTGCAGTTTGGACAGGGAATATGATATATGAAATTCTTATGATTTCTTAGGAAGGTGTGGCTGAAATATTCTCATAGAGATTTATCTGTGTATGAAGTTTTTTTGATTTAATCTTTTCATGAAATTCCCTTACATTGTAGATAAACTAAAAGGAAAATCGGGAAAATTAAGTTCAAAGCAAAAGGCAAGGTCTAGGCAAAACATTGCTCCAACAATCTGGATCAGTGAAATTTGATGAAAATATCCTAACAGTTTCTTTTGAACTTTTGTAGACTAGTGAGGTCAAGGTCATAGGTAAGGACAAAGATCAGAAATTAATGACATAGTTGAATTGCTTTTACCAATATACATCTTGGTAATAATATACCCAATATGTATACACCACCCTGGAGAGGGGGGGGGGGGGTAAAGAATCTCAAAAGTATTTTTTTTTATTCAGGTTAAAAGAGTTTAAGATACAATAACTTTTACTTTGCTGTCAATTAATTGAAGTAAAGTTTGTTGCTATCTTCACAGATAAAATTGTGACATACAGTATGTCCATCACGTTTCCAAAATGATTATTTCTAAAGGTTTATCAAGTGTTGTGTTCTCAAAGATGAACATATTTGTAATTAGATTTTCTGAATGGGGACATAAGAACAAATTACAGATTGACTGTGTACTCCTGAATTGACTCTCAAAACGCAAACAGATGAAGAGAGTTGGTTGTATCTTCATGTAGAGGAAACGGAACACAGCATTTCTCTTTTAATATATATAATGAAAAATAAACACAGCTTTTTTTGTAATAAGCATAATATTAAACATGAAAACACATTAAAAACAAGACAACATAAAAAAAACAACAACTGGAGATTTATATTTCTTTTAAAACAACGTTTTAGAGATTTTTAATATATATATATATATATATATATATCATAATTATTGACAAAACATGTGTCATTCTAATGTTGCCTTTAAAGACTTTTTTTTCATTCTAATAAAATTAAAATGTACTCTTCAAAGAGATAAAATGGTATATTGCACTGCACAAACTTGACCAAAAATATCATTTCTTCCATCCATCTTTCTAAGGTCATACACTAATTGACCTGTCACAGACTTTTCACAAAACACAAATTATAATTATGTATCCCAAATACAAAAGCAGAAGCATATTTTTTAAAAACAAGTATGCATAAAGTTATAAATGACATATACAAATTTTAAATTTTAAAAGATGGATTTGTTCCTAAATATAGAGAAGAAATGTGACATTTTCTTTTATTAAACAAACATCAAAGTCATTAGCAAAATTTTTTTAAAAAAAATTGATTGTAGGAATATGATTTGAAATATATTGATTGAAAGTAACAGGTAAGTTATCAAGAATAAAAAGAAAACTGGTAAACAAACAATAATTAACAAAACATGTACAAGATTGCAATAGTATTTTAGGGATAAGAAAAAAAATTGCAAACCAAAAAAAAAAGGAAGAAAGAAAGAAAAAATAAACAAACAATACATATCAGCATATAAAAGAGATAAGCAAACATTGTCAGCTTTGGCTAATATTGCACATCAATCATTTCATCCCAGTCCTCTATAAAATTGGAATGTGGAGTGTCTTTGAAATAATATCAATATTAATACATTTAAAGTTCAAAGCAAGTACCCCAGAAACAATAAATTTGAACAAGCCTACCATTCTTCACCGAATTCCTACCCCTACTCTTTATTATAGTTATTGAACAGTTCAATTCAACTAGCTCAAATTTTGACAATTTACTGAAAGGTTGTATAAAAATATACAAAATCAAAGCACTCATCTTCAAACACATTGAAATTACTTATTTAATCAAATTATTTGGTAGACAGACAGATTGCTTCATAGCTGTCTCTCTGAAACCAGGGGAAAATTGCAAAATTACATTCATCACATGAATGCAAATATCATAACATGAAATGATAAACTTCCCTCATCAAAATTCCACTGTTAATTTTCTCAGAAATGAAATGGTCTATGCTCATGTAATTTTTTATTATAATAATAACTGTTGAATCATCATTGTTTGTGGGAGCCCTTAATATAACCACAATTTACATCCCAACAACTGATACATGTATCTTAAAGAACTTATTGGTCACTGAATCTTCTGTATATACATGTACAAGTTACCCACAAAATGCATGTCCCCACTAACCAGTAAAATTTGAAATGTCAAACATTGACCCCCACAAATTCAAATGATTCCACAGTGTCACATATCAATTAACTATATGTAAAGACCTATTTAACAAAGCAGTTACAGTTGAATTATCAATGAAATTGCAAAAAACAGTTCTTGAATATAAGAATATACATGTATACCGATATATCAAATCAGTAATACTTTTTTGTTTTAATAAAGGATGAATTTGTCCATATAAATAAGTATTAAACTAATCTAATTAATTAAAATCACACTCTCTATTCTTTACAGAACTAAAGTCTGAATGCCTGCCAATGCATGGAGTACATGTTGTAAAATAGTGTATATAACAAATTGATTTTAGAAAGACATACATGCATCAGATGCCACATTTAATTTTCTGTCATGGGTCTCAAAACCAAATAAGCTAGGAATTGGCATTGGGGTCCCTGGCATTGAATTTAAGCAGACTGCTTACCCTTAAAAATACATTAATCAATCTCAGTGACATTGTTCTTGTACCAATCATAAGAAAGAGATATCTGAATAATATTGATTATTTATTTATAATAACAGTTTTTATTAGAGGTACTTTCAATAATTTCACTTCAATATTCTTGGTTGTACCTTTTGGCTTATACATGTATTTTCATTAAAAGGGGGGGGGGGGGAGAGGAGGAGGAGGGGATCACCTTATTTTAATTCTTAGCTTTTTAATACATTTCTTTATTTTCTATGACTTTTATTGTGTACTGTGAATTTCAATGCTCAGAAATTTTCAGCCCTTCTAATGCTTATTAAAAAGCTTTTCTGAATCAATTAATGCATCATGTAAAACACATAAAAAAAACTTGCACTTTCTGAGAAGTTTTTAGCCCAAACAATATAATCATCTAAGCATAGTTATAATAAAGCACTTCCTATTCCCAAACTGTTTAAAATCAATTACATTTTGCACATACTTATATTTAGTAATATTTAAAGTTCAGTATCTTTGATACTTAAGTACATATTGTTAAAAGCAATATTAAATTGATGATCAACACCAAATTGTACATACTATACATGTTCATATAGAATGCAATAAAACAAATAAATCATATTACATGTACATGTAGTTCTCAAAATACAGAAGTAAGAGTATTTACTTTTGAACAACTAAAAACAAGTTCAAATAATATTCCCATCAGATCTTATCTAATTTATAGTTAACTATGGCTTTATCAAACCGTTCAGTTTAATGAACAAGTTATGTAGACACAACCTCTTCATTACTTTCTATATGTTGACCTTTTTTCTGAGGTAGAACTCCTATCTTGTTTTCGCCTGCAGCCATGTTATGACAGTTTCACCATTCTGCTCTAGCCACTGTATGTTCATCTGAATATTTTCTAGCGCCATCTGTACTGACCTTGTTCCTGGTCCTGCATCATGTTCTTGGAAAAATTTCTGAACCTGTCAAATTTCAGATGGTTTCGGTTCATTAATGTTTGTAAATAATTTTTTTTCGTTTGCTTCTTTTGAGGAGTAGGTGGGGGCATACACTGTTTTTTTTTAACTAAATCTCCAAAATGTTCAAAAAACAAAAATAAATCAGACTGTATAAGCAGAATTTTTAGCAAGCTCGGGATCCAATTTTGGCATTATTAATGAGGATTTTGAGCATTAGCAAAACACTTGGCAATGAGTAACATAATGATGTCACATGAATGTAATTTTTGCCTGTTTGATTTGCCATAGAATTCTCAACACGTCAGTTTGTTTGAAATAAGCCTAATAAGCTCGACGTTAATAATAGCTTGAGTCCAAGTAAGATTGACAGCAAAATAACAACAGAAGAAAAATGAAATAACTAAATAATTGAAGCAGTGATTCATTTTAAAAATGGTTATCATGGGTCCAAAGGACCCCTCTTAATGACAACAATGAGTCCCCTGCCAAAATCAATGCGTCCAAATCCAAGGGGACCGTATATTAGATGTTACAGAGGAAATTCTGGTGAAATAAAAAAAAGTGTATTGCACGAAAGTGCAAATGTTTTATTGTAGCTGTGAGTGATTTATACTTTTACTATCAATTGTCCAAGTAAGAGTAATGATTTTGTGTCATAAAAATAATATATTGTCCACTGTGCACTTTGGTTCTATTTTTAGATCGTACATACGATCTCACACATTGTATCAGTCATAAAATGCACAGAAGCAGAAAGAGGTTAAAAAAAATTTAAGAAGAAATGACAAATAGTCAGAAATAAAAATGATTAAATTTTATACTTCTTAGCTTGTAAGGAAAAAACGAAAAGAAAAAAAAACAATGATACAGGTTACAGCTTAAATACGAAGGTACAAATGTATAGTATTCGCTTCAGAAACGTTCCACTGTATAGACATAATCAGTGATAATCGAACTATGCTATCTAACTTTCAAATATTTTCTGACAATTGCTTTTAACTTGAGTTGTGAAATCTGACCAGTTGTTGGCAACCTTGTAGACCTACCTGTTAAAATCGTTCATGCATATCGTTTAACACGTGGATATGATGCAATCGGTCAAGTTTTGAATCAGATTATACCGAAATAATTTAAAATAGTACATGTCCTTCTATAAATTTATTGCGTCCATTGGGATGCACATTTATTGAAATAATGCGTCCTGGGCAAAATTTGTGCGTAATTTACGCAGGACGCACATCAAAATGAATCACTGATTGAAGGATAAAACTTTCTGAGAACTAAACAGACACTTGAGAGGTGGGAAAACCCCTTCTGAAGCTTTCTTACTAAGAAAAAAGACTTTTAAAGTCTTTCAAAATGAGATCTCATTCAGAATGACAATTTCTGACCATTTTATTTATCAATTAGATATTCATTATAATAAAATAAAAAGTGCTTGTTTTGGAGGATAACAATTGGAATTGTTGAATGTTTTTGTTTTAAACAAATCTTACCTCTTCAAGATCAAACTGGGTAGAAAATTCACTTGTGCTGCCCTCTATAATGCTAGAGAGGGTGAAAGGGACATCTCCAAACCTGAAATAGAATGCATCCTCTTGAAGATCACCTATATCACTGTTTAAGCAAAGAAACTTAATTTAATATCCATACTTTTTTTGTCACTGGCTGCAGCCATTCAAAGTTGATTCCATCCAAATTCTACTATTTGAAGACACATTACACAATGGACTAGTTTGTTGCTATGTATATAATTTTTAATTCAACATTATTTAATTAATTTTTAAAATGTGCTATATAATTTTTTTAATGCATTTGTTTTGAGTTTATTGATATGATATGAAGTACAAAATGTTTTCTTTATGTGCCCATAATTTTTTTTTTCTGAAGGGAAAGTATAGTCATTTTCCATTTGGAAAAAGTTAATTTGAATTAAAACGTTTTGGAAAAATACAAATTGCATTTAAATGGTATTGGCAAACTTAATTAAATTTGTTCATGACTTTTTTCAACCTTTGTGTACATTTCTGTGCTTCCTTTTCTGTACAAAAGATAACAAGGACAAATATATGATTTATGCCCCCAAATTTCTCCCTCTAATGGAAACTTGTCCCCTTCTGTCCTATATCCCTCTCATTTATATGTAAATGTGACTTCAAAAAATCTCAGTAAAGATTCCTTTTCCTGTATACATGTAATTTCATTGGTTTATTCCCCGAATTTCTACTCACTAAAACAACTATTTAATTATCACACTCAATTAAGAGGCCCTCTAAGGGGTCCAGGTAGAGTTTACCTGCTTTACCTTGATTTAACAAAGTAGTCTAAATGAATAAATAATAATATTTACTAATAAAATTGTGTACTAAAGAAGAGATTTATTTATTAAATACTTGCTATAATTGAAGGCAATGAACAAATATTTTGTAATATAATTATGATAAATATTTTTTAAAAAAAACATTTAATATTAGTAAAAGAAATATTACAGCACAATAGATAGCATGTTTATGAATTATTTTCAAATATTACTTTTTTAACCTAAGAATTTGATGCACTTGATGCATTACTTATATCACATTTTGATATGATATGCCCCCCCCCCCCCCCCCCCAACTACTTTTTGTTGCTGTAAGGTCAAGCGCTGGCAAATTCCAGCACTTAAAAAAAAATCTAAAAATCTAAAACAGTTGGAGAAAGTCCACCCCTGCCCAGTGCCCACACACAAACACACAAAATAGGATTTTCAGGGGGTTATATTTTTATTCTTTTAATTTTACTTGTCAGATTTCTTTGGGAGGTTGCCCCTTCCCCTACTGTTTAAACCATAGCAAATATCTATATGTTAGCACCATTTTATTTACATCAAAGTTCAGACACGTAACATATCATTTTTGTAAAAGGGGAAGGGGCCCGGGCAGAAAAAAATTTACTTTTAAAAATAAAAATATTGCTTAAAATCCAAATTCAATGGGGGGTTTAAAATTCAAAATAAAGGTGTTTTTTTTTTTAATAATCGTATTTACTCTTTTTGATAAATTTTTACCAAAATAAATTATTTAAGATCTCTTTCGGGGGAACACACCATTTCATCCCAACCATTTGAATCGTTATAAAAATGAGTAATATTTCATACCATCTCCTTAGCTTCTGCCAGTTCCTTTGAACAAATCTCCACGCCAAGAGTCGGCCATCTGTATTTCCACCTACATAATTTATCACTGTTGCAATATCTTGATGTTTAATGATTTTACTGTCTAGTGCATAGTTCAGGTACCTGCAAAAATATAATCACTTGTAAACTATATGTATTAATCAATAAACTATATTGTATTAATCAATAAACATGTACATTTATTTGTCATTTTTAATGGAATTCAGTGGTTCTTCAAATATTATGTAATACATGTAACACAGTTTTAAATACTTTCTCACAGATATTGAGTTCAATCATATACATGTACCAAGTTATTCACAATGACTTGCATGACCACATGCCAAATTTATTCCAATATACATATATGTTTTAGACACAAAATCCAGGTAACATTCAAAGATTCTACACTAAAATTTCAATCTATACAACTTCCTCCATATAGTATAAATAAATTTTTTTTTTTTCAAATTGAATATTGAATATTTTCCTCATAATTTTTGGTAACAATCTTTTGCGATCATCCTCTAGGAAATTTAAATGAAATCTTTAGAGAAATACCTCGTAATTGTGGTAAATACTATACTTCTTACAGAAATGATTTCTAGCTCTTGATTGATGTTCATCTTACCTTGCAAGTATGGAGTCATCTTTAGATTTTGCCAGAGCTTTCATTAACTGTTTTTTCTTTGATGGCACCAGGATAGTTAAATATTGGTTCTTAACAAATGTCCATTCTGTTTCTGAACCATACATAACACCTGCATCAAAAATCACATCCTGCAATTCTGGATCGATTCTGAAAATGAAAGTGTAACATTTCAGAGCACTACTGAAGATTTAAGATTTATAGCCATTATATGTCTAAAATATTCCCAAATGAAATTTGTTTTCTCTGTTTTTATCAATTAATTTTAAACATTAGCATAAAAACACTTTTCCTTCTTGTACTTTTTATATTTTTTTATTTATCATTTTTTGGGGGGAGGGGGAAGGTGTGGGGGTGGGGAGGATTTCAAAGTCTGGTATTACGTTATTATCAAGCTTTAAACTGAATGATCGCCTACTTTTCCGTGTTTTGCATCCACTTTTTAAATTGATCTGTGGCTTCCTTCACAACCTCAGCATCTCCATATTCTAAAGCAACATATATAAGTAGGGAACGAAGGCGTCTAAAATGAGAAACAAAATACTTTGAATTCATCTCAAACTCTGCATAGAAATAGTTACTTTCTACTGCAAAGAAACATGAGGAACTAACTCTATGATCAAACTAAAGTATCCACAAACAAATATTATAATTTACATGTATTTTGATTTAAAACGGCAATATTAGATTACAAGAAGTGCTCCCTTTGTTTTTTTTTATTAATTAAAAACCAAAAATATACATTCCATTGATAATTAATGTCACTTTAGGAATACTTTTCAAAATCATAAGTTTTGTTTTTTTTATTTTGAGTAGTCATACTTTTATTTTCTTATTTTTATGAAATGCTTAAATGGATGTCAATTTTGTCATTAATTCATATTCGAATATTCATCATATTGAGTCGGTATTTGGAAGTAAAATTGGACGTAGACTTTTGTAGGTAAACTATAAGGAATTCTACATTTGATATTTGTCAATGTTTAAAATAAATAATTGATTTAAGTGTATACAACTGAAATATAATTTTAACTAGGGATGGCAATTTGTAATCGGTTAACTGGTTACTCGGTCGGAACGATGGTAATTGGTTAGAAAATCTGTAATCGGTTAGTCGGGAAAAAAATTAATATATGTGTAAATTTGAATACAATTTCCTGAAAATTCAATTTAAAAAATACAAATAAAATTTTTTGAAATGTTAGCATGTTCACCTATCTATTTAAGCTGATTCAGAGATAATTAAGACTCTCCAGATGGACATCGCGTGGGGATAATTCTTCACTTTTCAAGTCGTTAACTGCTGTTTAAACACATGTCGTTACCCACCCTGTCCCGTGTTTCTTTAATGATTTTAATCAAATGATCCTTGGCTTCTGTCACCCTTGCAGGTTAATGTAAACTAAACTGTACACTTTTGCATCATGTATTTAGTTTGATATTGTTGTTGTATTTTCTCTATGTTGTTTTACACAATGTAAGAATAAATTCAATTGAATTGATTATAATGTGTACATAACCTCTTCTATCCTTTGCAGTTACCTATCAAATTATATTCTAAATCAGACATCCGAAGATAAGCGATAATTCAGACTAAATTATGATTATGGTGAAAATGCAGAATGACATCTTTTCTGAAAATTTTTTAATGCATCTGCGACCTCATGATGTTTCATGGGTTTCTTATTTTTTTTTTCTCTCTCTCTCTCTCTCTTTTTTTTTTTTTGCCCATTAAAATTGAAATACAATATATGTAGTATTCTGATCATATATAAATATAAGCATAATATTACTACATGAACATCTTTATAGTCTTACTTATTTGAGTGTAGCTATGTCGAGAATTTTTGATAAGATTAACCGACTAATCGGTCGGAACTTTTTGCGGTTAACCGATTGGCAATTCTGTATTCGATTGCCATCCCTAATTTTAACAAATGATAAGTATACAGGCTCAAACTGAAGAACTAGTAATCTTACCAGGGGAAAGATTGTCGTTTATTCTTCAGTTTTAAATACACGTAATTAAGTACAATTATCTGATTAATAAGAGATATAATATAATGTTTGATACAATGTTTTGAAAATATAAACAAACACTTCCATAGACAATCCTCCTATGTCATTAATTTCCTGATAATGATTTTAAGGAGGCTGGGGGGTTAACCGTCAGATACAACTTTATTTTACAGATATGATATCTTAAGCCCTCAACTGTCATTTGGCAAAGGAAAATTTCGTACATTTTAGTTTTTAAAATTTAATCATTTTTGTATATCTTTATATGGAGCTCTCCTTCTAAAGGAGATCAATATAGTCTAACAATGGCCACAACCACCCAGCCCTCTTAAAGTTTAGGAATATATAGTCATCCAGAGATAATCAAGTAATTGATGCATTATTCTGAAATTGAGCCCTTTACAGTATTACAGGCTGATTCTATGGAAGGTGTATTTAAATGATCAATAAAATTTATTTTCATAAGTACACTCTTCACGTCTTTTAGACATTCAAGAAAGGTTTCATTTCGTTGTCCTCGATTCTAGATCCGATCATATTAAACTATTGAAAGTACTTTTTGTGTTATACATTAATAATGCTTGTTTATTTCTTTTATACTTACTCAAAATGAATGTGTTCTTATTAAAATTTATAATTTTTTTGTGAAAGTTGAAAAACACCGAATATTCGAATCTTAAATTCAGATTCGAATATCAACTCATCGAATGAATATTCAAACGTTCGAATATTCGTTGACATCCCTAGTTTTAATACCTTGTTAAATACGCTCCTTCACTTTTCCACCCAAGCCTGGTCAGTTGTTTTTTCATTAATTTCAAAACATACTTCTGTAAAAAATATTTACAAACACAAGAATAAAAACAGCATGTTACAAGCCATGTTTCAAAATAAACTGCTGTGATAAAAATATTCATATAAAAAGAAAAAGGTCAATTAAAATCAAAATTTAAATGATTGTAAATCTCCTCGCCCACAATTTTCTGACCTTGAGGAGCATGACTTCATCTCTGTCTTGTATCCTCTGTTTTATATAGGACAGACCAGAAATAGCCACACTCCAGGGGAGGTAATCTTCCTCATCTTCTAAGTATTTCGTCATTTGCAGAGGAATCGTGACATTTATAAGTCCAGACCTGTAAATAGTATCATGCAATTATGATCTTAAAATACACAGAAATGTTTATTTTTTTTAAACATCAGAAGTTATGTAATGCTACTGCTAAAACCTTGCATAATTTACTAGTGTTTTTTTATGCTATATTGACTATAAAATCCTGATAATCATTGTGTATGCATGAATAAAAATGAGCTTACCTTGCAAACTCAAAGGCATCATTTATCAACCCAGCCCTATCTCCTTGAGAAAAGACCTGAAAGATGAGAAAGGAACATATCTGATATATTTACACTGTATTTTAATTAATTGTTAAAATCTACATATTAAAAGAAAAAAATTGTAAAATGAATATAAATTAGTATTTTTCTTTTCTTTTATCTACAAGTATATCTGTTGTAAATGTACATTTCACATTTTGGCTGTCCTCTTTTACATCTTAGTAAACTAGGATAAATGCATGGAATTAAAAAAATTGATAGATAAACATACCACAGCTAAAGTGCTCAAAAACAATAAATGGAAAATCAAGATTTTTCACAGTTTTTCTTATTTCAACAAGCAGAAAATCAACACTTATTTCTCAAAAACAAATCTTATTACATGTACAACCAGACTTCATATTCTATAAGATACATATCTTCACCTTGTGATTGCTGGTTAATTGTTGTATTAATGTCTGCCACATAACCGTGTCATAGTTCACTCTGTAATATCCGCTGTTGCCATAGTTACCCTTCACCAACTTTACTCCGTTATTCAAATTTATAGAAGCTACCAAAAAAAAAAAATTTTTTTCATAATGTTGCATAAAACCTTGTGATAATTTCAAGAAAAAAGGCCATTGTACCTCAATAAATCTACAACAAGTGCAGATAAATATGTCTTAAAGTAATGAAGAGGTTACCCATAGGCAGGCATATTTTTTTTCATTTGAGGTATGAATTAGACAGAAATCAATTTTTACTTTGTGTTATAATAAAGTACTTGTTCAGAATTACAAGATTTTCATTTGAATGTCTGGTTTATATCACCTGGTTCTCTAGAATTACTCTCCTCAGCGAGGCTATATAAGAGGTGAATAGTTGTTTAAATACCAACTTAGGACGACACACAAGATATAAGTTTAAAAATTTTTCATATTAAGATTTATTTAATCAAACTCTCTGATGTATAATTATGTATTTTGTACATCTGACGTTATATGGATGTGTCATGGCTGATTCCATATATAGTATGTTGTTGTTTATTTTACTTTCTTTTAAAAGTAATGAATGGATTTTTATAACAAGAGGCCCATGGGCCACAATGCTCACCTGAGTCAATATGGCCCTGCTGTTCTTCGTCAGCAGATTTCTTCTCCTATATATTCATATGTAAAGCTTTGATCGCCTGTTCTAGGCATACCCTACCCCCAGGTGCCATGTTTTGAATGAAATTGAATCTATACTTTCTGAGGATGCTTCTATATTCTTATAACTAATCATGGTTTTGCTGTTCTTGAAAATGGAATTTTAAAGATGTCTGCCACCCTACCCTGGGGGGGGGGGGGGGGGGGGTCATGATTTGAACAAACTTGAATCTTCCATATCAATATGACTAATCATGGCTTTGTTGTTCTTGAAAAGAAGAATTTTAAAGATATTTCCTATATATATTCCTTTGTTAAACTTTGATCCCCCATTATGGCCCCACCCTACTACTGGAGGATGCCTTGAACAAACTTGAATCTACACTACTTGGGGATGCTTCAATATCAATATGACTAATCACGGCTTTCCTGTTCTTGAAAAGATTTTTAAAGAATTTTCCAATATATTCCTATGTAAAACTTTGATCCTCATTGAAGCCCCATCCTACCCCCGGGGGTCATGATTTGAACAAATTTGAATCTACACTACCTGAGGATGATTCCATATCAATATGACTAATTGTGGCTTTGTTGATCTTGAGAAGAAAATTTTTAAAGAATTTTCCAATATATTCCTATGTAAAACTTTGATCCTCATTGAAGCCCCATCCTACCCCCGGGGGTCATGATTTGAACAAATTTGAATCTACACTACCTGAGGATGATTCCATATCAATATGACTAATTGTGGCTTTGTTGTTCTTGAGAAGAAAATTTTTAAAGAATTTTCCTATATATTCCTATGTAAAACTTTGATCCCCCATTGTGGCCCCACCCTACCCCTAGGGGTCATGATTTGAACAAATTTGAATCTACACTACCAGAGGATGATTCCATATCTGGCTTTGTTGTTCTTGAGAAGAAGATTTTTAAAGAATTTTCCTATATATTTCTATGTGAAACGTTGATCCCTCATTGTGGCCCCACCCTATCCACGGGGGTCATGATTTGAACAAATTTGAATCTACACTATGTAATGAAGGTTTCACATAAGTTTCAACTTTTCTGGCCCAATGGTTCTTGAGAAGAAGATTTTTATAAGCTGACACCAAATTTTCACCAATTCTTAATTATCTCCCCTTGGTAGAGGGCGTGGCCCTTCATTTGAAAAAACCTAAACCCCTTCACCTAAGGATGCTTTGAGGCAAGTTTGGTTGAAATTGGCCCAGTGGTTCTGGAGAAGAAGACGAAAATGTGAAAAGTTTACAGACGGACACACAGACAGCTAGACAGACAGATGGACAGACGGACTATGGACAAAATGTGATCAGAAAAGCTCACTTAAGCTTTCAGCTCAGGTGAGCTAAAAAGAGTACAAGAGGCCCATGGGCCTTGAATCGCGCTTCTGATAAACTGTACAACCTATCACTTCTATTTGAAGCTTCGGAGTATCCTGTATATTTACATAAACCCTTGAAATTCCAATTCACACTCTGAGAACCCAAGATGATTCTATGCCAATTAGTACCTGAGAGTTGGTCATGGTGACCTACTTATCACTTGTCATTCTCTGAGGACCCATCAACTAAGTTTGATGATTCTAAGCCAATTAATACCTAAAATGTTTTTTAAAATTATAATCATAAAATTTTATAAGTAGGTCAAAGTGACCTACTTTTCAATTGTTTTACTCCGAGGACCCAAGATGCATCAACTGACAAAGTTTGATGATTCTAAGCCAATTAGTACCTGTAATATTTAATTAAAGCCATAAATTTTTCAAAAGTAGGTCACCGTGATCTACTTTTCAGTCAACCTACTCCGAGGACCAAAGATGCATCAACTGACAAATTTTGACGATTCTAAGCCAAATAATTCCTGAAAATATTAAATACAGCCATAAAATTTCAAAAGTAGGTCACCGTGACCTACTTTTCAGTTGTTGTACTCCGAGGACCCAAGACGCATCAACTGACAAAGTTTAATGATTCTTAGCCAATTAGTACCCGAAATATTAGATTAAAGCCATAAATTTTCAAAAGTAGGTCACCGTGACCTACTTTTCAGTTGTTGTACTCCGAGGACCCAAGACGCATAAACTGACAGAGTTTTATGATTCTAAGCCAATTAGTACCTGAAATATTTTATTAAAGCCATAAATTTTCCGAAAGTAGGTCAAGGTGACCTACTTTTTAGTCGACCTACTCCGAAGACCCATGACGCATCAACTGACAAAGTTTGATGATTCTAAGCCAATTAGTACCCGAAATATTTAATTAAAGCCATAAATTTTCAAAAGTAGGTCACGGTGACCTACTTTTTAGACGACCTACTCCGAAGACCCAAGATGCATCAACTGACAAAGTTTGATGATTCTAAGCCAATTAGTACCTGAAATATTTAATTATAGTCATATAAATTGAAAAGTAGGTCACGGTGACCTACTTTTCAGTTGACCTTTTTTGAGGACCCAAGATGCATCAACTTACAAAGTTTTATGATCATAGGACTTAAAATGTCCAAATTATGCCTCTAAAACGCTTTGAAATCGAATGCCTGCAAAGTTCAAAAAGTAGGTCACTGTGACCTACTTTTAATAAATATGTTTTATGGCCCCAAGATGCATCATCTTACAAGATTTAATGATTCTTAGCCTCCCCGTATTCGAATTAATGACCTTAATTGTTTTAAAAAAGATTAGCCATAAAATTCAAAAAGTAGGTCAAGGTGACCTACTTTTTAGTTGACATACTTTGAGGACCCAAGATGCATCAACTGACAAAGTTTGATGATCATAGGCCTTAAATTGTTCAAAATATGCCTCTAAATCATTTTGAAAAAGAATGGCCGCAAAATTTAAAAAGTAGGTCACCGTGACCTACTTTTGAGTCAACATGATATGAGGTCCTTAGATGCACCAACTGACAAGATTTGATGATCCTAGTCCTTATAGTAAGCAAAATATCAACATTTTAATAAAATGTAATTTTTGGTCAACTTTGAAGTGACCTTGAGACCACGCCCTTTGCCCCAGGGTAAATCCCCGTGCAAATTTTAATCTACAACATATCCTCATCCTTTTGTGTAAGTTTGGTGATAATCTGCCCAGTGGTTCTTGAGAAGAAGATTTTTTAGCAACCAGTACTTTTTTTTCTATTATCCTAATTATCTCCCCTTGTTAAAGGGTCACAACCCCAGTTTTAGTAGAAAAGGGAGCCCTTGGGCCAAGGATACCCTGTGACAAATTTGACAATAATTGGCCAAGGGGTTCTTGAGTTATGGCCCATATTCTAAAAAGTTTACGCACACCGCACACCGCACAAATGGCCATAGCATTAGCTCTTTGAGCCTTTGGCTCAGAAGAGCTAAAAATAAAACCTGATGTCATGTGGAGCCATATTTTGTTCTTGGCAAAATTTCCATTATTATCCATCACACCATATATAAAAGGCACATGCCAATTGTAGCTGAAAAAAAAATCGTACAAAATGCAATCAATGTGAAAGCAAATATATAATATATCAACGACTCTTCAATTGCAATTGTCATTTTTTGCATGTCCATAATATAGAAGTGGACTAAGTGCAGGAACTGAAAATCGTTCACCAAAAGACTAACAACACTGAAGAATTTTGAGGTTGTTCATCATATTGTGTCTATACATACATAAATCAGATAAATCCACAGTGCAAATAAACAATAAATACATCAATTATCCTAAACATGGAAGCCAGCACAAGATATGTCAAAAAGAAAAAGGTATAGCAAAACTTTTATTGACTATGTTTTCGGGCAAAATACATTTTGTCAACCTTTTAAACCAAACGGTTTTCCTTTGGCCTAACAGCCTCAAGCAAACAGTTTGGTTCTTGGGTCCGACAAAATGCACGTTGCCCTTGAACCCATTCAATGAATGTTTAATGGTCAACTTTTTTCTTTGCTGAAAATAAAATTGATATACAGATAGGTCGTGTGTCAGCTTCAAAATTGGGTTCCTTACCCTTATCCAATCATTTTATACTTATGGTAGTTTCTTTTCAACAAGTAAGAAGACAGTAAAATGTAATGAAACTGAAGCTGTCAACAAGCTACAACCTGAACGGTGACTGAAATTCTTCCTTGATGGTGGAGTTGTGGAAGCTGAGATAACGACTCTGACTGATGCTGACCTTTGACCCCTGTTGACTCAACGTCACAACAGGGTATCCCATCTGCTTTGTCCATGTGTTCATCACTGATGTAACATCTATTTTCTGCTTTGAAGCCTAATTCATGAAAATATTTAAAACATTTTGAGAATCCCACATAAATACTGTGACATAATAATGTAAAGAAAAATATACACAAATCTAACAAATAATATTTATAATTAAAACACTTTCCTTCCATATTGTTAAATGAATAAAAATGTGAAGGGGAAATATGTTTTTTATTCATAAAAGTAGTTACACCAGTAACTTGGCTGAATCTGACATCAAAGTCATTTTTTAAACAAATTCAACCAATTCAGACTATTCTGAGAACTTCCATCACACACTAAACATAAATATATTAACCTCTGACAGGGCCTGCCACAAGTCATTAGTCACTGCATTACTATATTTATACTTCTTCAGGTAATTGCTAATACCACTGTTGAAATCAGTATTTCCAAGAAAGCTTCTCAACATTCGAATAACAGAAGCTCCCTAGAAGAGAACAAGGATATGATGATAATATGTAATATTCAGCTTCTAGTAAAGTTAATATGATGATATTTAGTTTCAAACTAATATTTTTTAATGCTTTTCTAATGCACTTTGACTTGGAGTCCAAATTGAATTAGATTTAAATAAGAGAGAAGCTTTGTAAAGATTTCAAGTTTCATACATATTATGCTGTCCAAAAAGAAATCATTAATTTGGTTTTATATCAATGTGTTCTACAGAACAGATAACAACTTTAATTTTTTTCAGCATTAAACACACATGTAAGCTCAAGCAAGCTTTGTGTCTATGGCTACAAACAAGTTCTACTGCATAAAGGCTTGTTTTTAATCAGTGATAACTACTTGTACCTTAAAATATGAAATGGAGTCAAACAAGTCATTAATCTGGTCCGGATTATGAACAGGTGTGGCTATAGGGTGGGAGCTCTTCAAACTATCCCGCTTCAAAGCCGGGGTCAGTGTCAGCTCAAAAAACTGATTCTCCTGAAACAGATTCAGATTTGTACTGAAACCTTCCTCTCATATCAAATCCACACTTCTAATTAATAATCTATAAAAAAAAATTATTTGAATGAAGAATTCAGATTTCAAGCATCTCACCATTGCCCAGGATTCATTCAGTGATTCTGTTCCCAGGAATTCTACAAATGTCGCAAATCCTTCATTGAGCCACAAGTCATCCCACCATTCCATTGTCACCAAGTTTCCAAACCACTGTCAAAAGTTCAAGGTTAGATATTACACACAAGGTCACTTACAATATAATATAGCAGTGGCTATAGCTGTGTAATTTTCTTTTGTTTGTAAATACATGCACTAATGAATGGAAAAAATATATTAGTCTCTTCTAAGGGCAATAACTCTAATTCTGAAAACACTATCATTTCCTGTATAAAAAATTCATCTTCAGCAATTAGGCCCTACAGTGTATACTTTATTTGCCTGAATTTTATTAATCTCCATTTCCTGTGAGAAAATTGTCTTAACCACACAAAAAATTCCAGTTTAGTGAAGTGTACTTTTCTTCTTATACATTATTCTGTCACAGTATTGGTGTATACACATGGAATTAAATGGCATTTTTAAAGAAAGATTTCAGTGATCACCTGATGAGCGAGTTCATGAGCCACCACTATGGCAACCCACTCCTTGTCTCGAGTTGAGGAGTGTTTAGGATCGTACAGCACTGCTGTCATTCTGTATGTTATCAGTCCCCAGTTCTCCATAGCACCAGAAGAGAAATCAGGAATGGCTACTAAATCTACAAAATGAGGAATATTTTAGCATTAAAGCAACAGGATTTCGACCTACAAGTAATATAAAAAAGAATTTATGCACATTATGCCAATTTTTATTATTTTAACATTAAGATATCAATTTCATGTTAGGAAAGACTTCCCAATCATCTACCTACTTTTAACATACATGTATACATACATATTTTGAGGAGAATATAGAATAGATTAAAAACTTTTTCAGACTGAATATTTAAAATCAAATAAAATCAGTTATAGTACAAAAATTTTAATTTAAGATTTTGAGTCACTTTAAAATGAACCAGACTGAGTGTACCTTGTTTTGGCAAAGGGTATGGAATGTCAAATAGTTTATTATAGCATTCCAACACATTGACTGCTACATGTAAGGCATATTGAGCCTCATCTATCTGGTCTCGAGGAGCATACACTGTCACCTGTATGTAGACAGCAAAATCAGTCAGTCTCATTAAAATGTCTGCAAGTCTGATGGATACCGGTAATAAATTCATATATACACATATATACATAGAAATTGATCCATAGTTATGTTCCCCAAACGAAGTTGGGGAACATATTGTTTTTACTCTGTTTCTTATTATTATTATTATTTTTCTTCTTCTTCTTCTTCCTGGGTACTTTTTTGTCCGCGAGTGATCTCGTCAACTACTCATCCGATTGAGGTAAAACCTTTTTAGGGTTAATAGGCATGTTATGTAGATTTGCGGAATCAAGGTCATTTTGCGCGCACGTGCATGCACGTGCGTGCGCGTGCAATGCGTAAAATGACTAATATACTTGATATAGCTGTAACTTTTATATATTTTGATGAAATGCTTTGATACTCAAAATATAAGGATATATTAAAAGTGTAAACAAGATGACATGGTCAACATGCACATGCATGCACGTGTGCGCACGCGCAAAGCGTAAAATGACAAATATACTTGATATATTCGTAACTTTTATACTTTTTGATGAAATGCTTTGATACTCAAAATATTTATATATATTAAAAGTGTAGACAAGATGACATGGTCATCATGCACATGCATGCATGCATATGCATGCACGTGCGCGCGTGCAATGTGTTAAATGACCAATATACTTAATATAGCCGTAATTTTTATATTTTTTTATGAAAAGTTTTTATATTAAGAATATACAGATATATTAAAAGTGTAGACAAGATGATGTGGACATCATGCTCATGAATGCACATGCGCGCGCGTGCAATGTGTTAAATGACCAATATACTTAATATAGCCATAACTTTTATATTTTTTTATGAAAAGCTTTGATACTAAGAATAAACAGACAAATTATAAGTGTAGACAAAATGGCATGGTCATTAGGAACATGCATGCAGGTGCGCATGCATGCAATGCTAAGATGACCAATATACTTGATATAGCCGGAACTTATTTATTTTTTGACGAAATGTTTTGATACTGAGAATATAAAGATGCATTAATAGTATAGATGAGATGACATGGTCATCCTGCACATGCATGCACGTGCGCGCGCGTGAAATGCAAAAAACGATCAATATACTTCATTGCCTTATTTAATGAAGCTTACAGGAAATAAGACACCAAGAGGGTGTTGGGGAGCGTTTGGGGAACATCTGTAACGGTCCCCGTTACAATTAATACTAGTTAATCCATTAATACATAAAAGTTTGCACATTTGTGATACAGTTAAACATGGTTACAGCTAAGTCCTGGGGACCTGCAAATTTATTTTGCTGTATCTGTAATTCATTATTTCCGCATAACATATTCGGTAAAGTATATAGAGCGAACTCACAATATAGATTTTTTTCAAGTATGAGTAAAAAATGAATTTTGGGAAGAATTAAATAGAAAAGTTTCCTTGAGTTCTAAAGTTTTCACATCAATTGAATTTCAAAGGTAAATATCTACCAAAATAATATCAGCTAGTTCAGTACATGTACATGTATTTTAAAAATTGAGACATTTGAAAATTTGTTATGAAATATGTGAAGTTTTTTTTATTTTTAACCTCTAGGGGACACAAAATAAGCTCCCTATATCTGTAAATTCGCTATATCTCAGTTCATCATATCCGTATATTTTACAAGGAATAGTTAAGAATTTTGTCAGGGATTAAAAAAAAACTTCGCTTTATCAATAAATTTGCTGTATCCGTGTTCATACTAAATGAGTTTAGATGTACACATAAATGTCAAAAAAGCCTTCTTTAAAACATAAAATAAAGGGGCTGGGGAGCACTGTACTTGCAAAATTTGGCTCTAATGTCAAAGGTCAACTGCAAGTCTTGCCAGTTTTATTTGGGGGGGGGGGGTCACTATTGTACATGAAACACTACCTTACCTACAGAATGATACTATCACATCTCAAATATTACTAAATGGGATACAAGTTTAAAGAGTTCTGGGGGTCGTAACATAAAGGGTATACTTAAGTCTAAGACCATGATTAAGTACAGTCTTAAACTTAAGACCGTAACTAGAAACATGCTAAGATTTGACAATCTTAGCAAAACTTAGGCGGCCAGTAGAGGTGACTTATAATAAGTATATCTTAACTTTCTTAAACATATATTTAGAACTATTTAAGGTTGAATTTCTATGTTAAAACATTCCTCTATTTATATTATGCATTAAAGAATATATTTCTATATTTAATATACTGGTATAAGAATTTTAGTTTTTCATCGGAGGGGGGGGGGATTCATCACTGATTCCGATATCACTCTCTAAATGACATATACATGTACATGTAAATGCAAAATATTATTTTTGGGATACGTTTGAAATATTAATTGGACTTAGGTTATAAACACTAATCATTATAAGTAAATTGTATACAGTAATCATGGATTTGTTTGTTCACTGTGAAAAAATGAAACGAAATGATTTTAAAAATTGTCGGTGAATTAAAGGATGATGACTAGAAAACAAAGATTTTCTGTAAATTAGATTGAATGTAGAACGCAACAAGCGAGGATTCAGACAGTATATAATAAAACGTCTGCAGTCTCTGCTTGCTGATATGGGAGGAAAAAATTCAAAATGTCCCTATTGTTTTGCACTTTTTTTATTAGAGTTTCAATTTCAAGTACATAGACATTCGGTTATCGTGCCATGTCTGCGAGAATGACAATTTGAAAACAAGTGAACATTTGTCAAACGAAAGAATGACAACAAACGGTAAACTGAAAACATCGCAGTCTCGAGTGATATACAATATTCACTCATTTACAATGAACCACTAGTGCCATTCTATGACCGTGCAATATTTGTTTTCAAATACATTGTTTTTTGAATAATTTAAACAGAATTAACTTTTAATCAAATACGAAATCTAATCTATCCTAGCTAAAACCGATAGGTAAGGACGTCAGCTTTAATATATATGTGATTAAAAATGAACTAAATCATTTTTACAAACATATATATATATATATATATATAATTATATAAATAAATTGAAAAACTAGGATGATGCATAACAAATATTTTGAACATACATGTTAGTTTGACTTAGCTAAGACCTACCTAAGCCCGTTTTATGTTACGGTTAAAGACATACTTAAGTAGTACTTAGGCAGGTCTTAAGACTGCACCTAAAACATACTTATGACTCTACTTAAGTCAAAAACTTAGCAAGCTTTATGTTACGACCCCCTGGTTTGGACAAACTTGACTTGGCATTATGATAAATTAATTCTAAGGTAAAATGTCATAATGGAAACAATAATTGTTTTATAATAGAACTCCAATCATACACTACACATCAAAAGCTTGCATGGTTATAAAAAAAAAACAACTTGGGATCTATATTCACAGTTTTTAAAAGAGAACAAAAGATATATCAAAGAAAAAATTGAGTAAAACAACCGCATCAACAAAAGTATAATTGAAATTCTACACATAATATTCTGAGGTGCACTTACTTTAACTTACTTTTTTCATAAACATGACACAACAAAGCATCATGATTTGGTTAACCATATAATAAAGCCAATCAAATATACAAAAAAAACCCAAGATTATAGTAATTTTATGTAAACCCCTCATGATAACCAAAATTACCATGTTATATTCATGTATCACTAATTCATTATTTTTCAGTTAATAATTCCTTATTTTACTGTTCTTCAGGACAATTTTCACTCTGCCTGTATTTCCTTCAATTCATTTCTACAACATCCAGTTGAACTTCGATATCTCAAACACTAATATCTCTAAAACCCAAGGATATGCCGAAATCCACTTATTCTTTAAGACTTTTACCTTTGATGTCTCGAATCATCGGATATCTCGAAATTTTTTCTCAGACCCAATGAGTTAGAGATAGCGAAGTTTGACTGTATATACATGTACTTACATCAGTCCCTGCCCTGGTTTTATTTGTAATGGAAGCAAAGTCACACACGATGAATGCCACCAAGTATGTGCTCATCTTAACAGTCTGTTGGAATTGGTCCAACATTAGGTTGTCATTGGTGGGTTTAGAAGATACCAGGGGCATGTTAAACAGTGAAATGAAGTCTTTATCTCTCACAATAGACATAGAAAACTTTGCTTTCATGGCTGGCTCATCAAAACATGGAAATGCTTCCCGGGCTGCAGTGGCCTCAAACTGTGTGACAGCAAGATACCTGGAAACATATTAATAACACATTAACTCCAACACCTTTCATTTTAATGCAGATAATTTCATGATTTTGATGCTAAGTACAAAAGCTTAAAATTTAATACATTGCCTAGCTGCAGCATTGCTCTTTTCATCAGTTCAAATCTCAGTTAAATACAAGTATTCTACTTTACACTCAGTTTCAATTATTTTATGAACTCCTCTTTTTACAATCTTTAAAAGTGCTTGAAAAAATGTTCCCTATATGATTTTAATACATTTGCAGATATAATATTGGTTTTTTTTTTGTTGTTTCTTGTTTTTGTACTTTTTTAAAAATAATAATTGACTCAAACCTTGTAACTTTTTTGCTATCTTCATATGAACTCAGATAAAATCCAGATAATTTCTTTACCAACTTTGCCTCAAAATCCACTGTGATTAAAATGTTTTTTCCAACAGGAATGCTTGACTCTAATTTTAAATATATCTGTTCATTTTTAATATACTCCAACTTCTTTGATATTTTCTTCTCTATGCTCTCAGGTAAAACTGTCAGCGAAATCTTGGAAATGGTTAAATCTTTGGAATGTAACACAACAAAGTCTGTTGGTTTTACAACTTTACACTTAATTGTCACTTTTCCTGAGAATTTTCTTTGTGTGAGATTTGGATGAAGATGGATATCATATTCCAATGGAGAAACTGATGTTGGAAGTCGTACATCTCTCCAAGGAAATTTTTCCCCATTAGTAGCAATGTAATCTTCAACCTGAACAGACGTGGATGTTTTTGATTCTGTGGATTGATCAGCACAGGTCCTAGATCCAGATCTCGCAAATGCAGCAATTAGTGCGATTATGAGTATAAAAATTCCCATCATTACTACAAAGACTATGGCCTTCCTTTGGCTACAGACCAGTTGTCGATATCGCTGGGGAATAGATGGCTCATACAAGGACTTCCTGTTCAAGGAGTCACCTAGAAATACAACATTTACAGTGTACCAAAAATTACTACTTCCAGTAGTCTAAATACACATTTCTGCATTAATTAAGAAATAATGTATCATTTTTAAACATCTATCGGGATATAAATATGGGTTGGTACGAGATCAAATTCCATAAAGCCCGAAGGGCTTTATGGTAAATTTGATCTCGTACCAACCCGTATTTATATCTCGATAGATGTTTAAAAATGATACATTATTACTTATATTTACATTTATGACTTATTCATATTTTATATTTTCCTGATTATAATCTTTAACGCGTGAAATGTTTTATTTTTCAAACTTAACGGCAAGTATTTGATCCATTCATTGCGCGTCGACCCTTTATGACGTCACAGAGAAATTACGTCCAAACGTTTAAGACGTGAGGAACCGGTGTTTACACGGATATAGATACACGTTGTTTATAATAGTGTTATATAAAAGAAAACATTTGCAAATGTAAATATAAGGAAATAATAACATTTGAATTGAGGTGTAGTACACTGATTGTCAATATGGCAATTATACTCAAATGTGACATTTGTGCTTGTAAATAACTAATATATCAAGATAGATGCTATAATAACAGACACAGTGCCAGCTGTTCAGTAGGAGAGGTATATATTAACATACCTTGCCCTCAGCATTTCATATTAACCTATATGACAGATATTTTTTCTGTAATGGAATAAACTATCCAAAACATTGATAACTGCTTTAAAAAAAAAAGAAGTTCTGTTGAAATACAATCAATTTACGTTTAAAAAAAAAAAATTCTCCTATCAACATGATTGAGTTAACATCTTACACAATCATGCACGTTTTTATTCAATACAAAATTACAATACTGGTATTGATAAAATGTAATGATTATTTACATTCCTTCAGACTGAAATGTTGCATTTTCATTGTTTAAAACATATGATTTGTGACTGCCGTGTTAATTTCTGCAACCTGCAGATGACAGACGTGGTCAGTTACTTTGAAAAGTAACTGATTAAATTACAATTACTTTGAAATCTCATAATTACAATTAATTTACTTTTTATTTGTATTATAATTGATTAAATTACAATTACTGTTTCCAAAGTAATCAGGATTACTTTTGAATATTTTGATTACTTTATCAGGAAATGTTTTGCTAACATATATATATTGTACGATTATTAACAATTTTAGGAACATTATACTAGGTTTCAACATATTTTATTTATTTTTTTAAACCTACATGTGGCAATCTGGCCAATGCCTAGACATCTCCATCAAAACACCGATTGTAGTATTTTAAAATTTTGCAACAAAAATTTCTGACACAAAAATTGCAGCTCAAGATGCCTAAAATCAAACCATATTATGTGAGAAAAACTGGTGATGTTGTATAAATCATTCATCATACTGTCACAAATAATAGACTTTTCCCTCAAACATCTTAAACATTGCCTCATTCACACAATGAAGCAAGTAAGATCTATCAGAGATACTGCAGGTCACAGTATGCTCTGTGACTTATCACTAATAACTTATCACTAATGAATTGCATTGGTAAGGCCATCATTAAAAATATCTTTGTTTCCCCTAACCCAACCTTAAAATCTCAAGTTGGGTAGGTAGGTAGGTAGGTAAATTATTTTTTTCCGACAGCAGTTTCGAAAATACATTCTGAAAAATTAAATAATATCTTTATAAACAAGAAAGAACAAAAGAAACCGATTTTTAAATCATTATATCATACAAATGAAGCAACATGTATGGTAGATTAGTTCACAAATATTATTCATTTGAACTTGTAAATTTATCGAAACCGAATATTTACAAAAAGACAAGATTCGCAAATATTAAACAATTGGACATCCGAGTATATTTTTCAAACCTACTATCATCTTCGAGTACTTACAAAGGCACAATGTCAAGGGCCTCGCGTGGCGCAGTGATTAGTGTTTCGTTTTGGAGTCACGACGTAATTCAGAAGCTTATTCCAAGTCACAGGTCCCGACATGGGGTGTGCAGACTGGTCAGTCGAATGAGACCGTAAAAAACGTACTGTAGGTCAAGTGTCACAGTATACATGTGATGTTGGCACGAAAAAGATCCCTTACTGATGCTAAATGATCAATGGCCATAAGTGCCGAGTGAAAGTCTAAATAAGGAGCCCTCCACCAGGAAGGTGTTCAAATGTTGTAGGCCTAACAATTTTTAAAGGTATTTTAAAGCAAAGAAACAACATCTTTTCAAGGGCCTAACTAAAGAAAAATACAATTGACGTCTCAGGAAGCCGTACATTAAGTCAATTTTAAAGATTTCAACACTATTTGGAAAGAGTGTACATGTATAAACAATATTTAATTCAACCAAACCATATCTAAAATGATTAAAGTTTCATATATCTAATGATATAGTCACGAAGTTTAACCCCATAAATAACAGGAATGAAGAAACGACATCTGAATTATATTTATCAAGATGAAATAATTATACAAAGACATAATTACAACTCCTATGGTCCTATATAGTAAAAATAGGATCATACATGAAATGTTTATTAGATCGAAACAAATGAAATGCAGTGAAATTTATTGATATGCGTAAATAAGGTGGGTCCCTGATCTGCTCATGAGGCAGGATTTGCCATGCTTACTATGTACGTTAATTTTAGAAGACACATTTGTAAATACCATCTTGACACTCCTTAGTCGTGGTATATTTAATTCACGAAATGTTTCAAGAGTGAAGGATTCTAATAAGTTAAAGATATATAATAAAATCGATACGTGTTTTATAACAGGAACTAACCCTCTGTGGCCACATGTTGTGGGCACCAAATGAGCGTAAAACAAAAGCCGTCGTTCTGATAAAAAACGGATTTTGATGAAATTGTGTTTTATAAAGTTGATAAACAAACAAAAAAATATTTGAGTAATCTTATTTAAAAAACTTTTCAGTCGGCATGATATAAGTGGGTCGGTCGCGTTAGGGGAAACAAAGGTATTTTTTATTTTGGCCTAAGCCATGGGTGTTTGGTCTGCTTTGTTTGTTGGGTGGGGGAGGGTGAAGTACCAGATGAAAAACTCTTGGCTTGCAAAGATTTACACATTATTTATTTAGTAGGTAACCCCCAATCATTTTTTCAGTTACTGGTTAAAACGAATCACTTAAAATGAATGCAACAAAAAAAAAAAAACCTGTAATGAAAATGGGTAATTAAATGGCATTATGGTGTACTTTTGAAGACTTTCCAGTAATTCAAATTCTTTGATTCAGAAAATATTATCATACCTTAATTACCAACCAAGTACAAATTCACAAATGGACTGTCACATTCAGCAGATTTAAGAAAACAGCATGTATTATATACTCAAAGTAAAACCGTTAGTTAATTGATTTAAAGGATGCATCCACACATGTAAACACACATGTACTCACAAGCTGATCAATGATTTTCACATAAATGCTTTAAGTTGCCTACCTATTCAAGTGAAAAAAAAGTGCTGATAAAAGCAGGGACCTATATATAAAAGTAACAAATTGCTAATGTAAATTTAAATCAATGAGGTACAAGTAATTGTTGAACAAAAATTGTCATCATTCAAATAATAATATTGACATGGATTTGAGTTTTAAAATTTGAACAAGATTGAACCTTAATTTAGGTCTACATTATTTTGTTAATTATAGTATTTTGCCCAGTTAAAATCATTTTGTTGTTAATAATCAATTATGGAGAAAATTGATGAAATTAATGGCAAGGAGAATTGGGAAAAAGAATTTTGATTTTGTTCTTGGTAGTTATTTCCATTTTTCCTCCATCTTTAGGGAAATACACTGTACACACGGGATTAATTGACATAACAAATAAAACTAGAAATTATAAGCCAGTACAAGCCATATATCTTCATTTGACCATATGGCTTAATTCAGCTACTTAAAATGGCTTGATTTAACTATTTAAACACTTTTTTCTTACATGTGTATTTTTTCAGCATGTAAGAAAGTTGCAGCACAGCTAGGGGTATCTTATCCGCTCCATTCTCTACTACACATATAAAATGTCTGGTAGAGAACAGAGTGGATAAGATGCCCCTTTGATGTAATCATACACTGCACACAAATTCATTTAATATGTTCTATTTCCATTAGTGAACTCTTCAAAATTAGAGGCACGTCTGGTCGTCTGACTGGGACAGCATGGCGTTGCGCATACTACAAAACATGCCAATCTCAATCCATTGTAAATGTTACATAGGCGTCGGAACGGGGGGGCTAGGTCGGGCTTAGCCCCCCTCCCACTTTTTTTCAAAGATAGGCATAATATAGGCATTTAAAATTGGGGCTTACCTTTTTCCGTTGGTTTAGCCCCCCCCCCCCACTTTCAATTAGCCACCCCACTTTCAATTTGCTTCCGACGCCTATGTGTTAAATGTATTTGTCATTCCATTTAAAGAATAGAAGAACTAAAAGACATATGTAAGAGAGCAAGAACCCTAAATTTATCATCCATTAATAAAAATATGACATTTCCGAGGCATTTGTATTGTATTCAGATGTACCATACGATAAATAGATACCGTACATACGATCAACAATAGATATAAATTGATATCGTTGTCATTCCTGCTCTTGATGTATATAAAGTCCACAACAATGAAATATTTCATTAGCATTTTCTTAGGATTTGTTCATCGACATTCAACATATTGTTTACATGTTTATGTTACGTTTGTCCCAGAAATCCCGTGAGATTTGTACATTTTCCGACTTTTTCACAAAAGAGTGCACTAAGAAGTATAATTCTTCCATAGTGGAAATAGAAAGTATTGGTGTGTAGTTTCCCAAACAATTAAAACACATCTCCAAAGCACAAATGTTAAATCTGTCTTTGATTTGTATATGCTTAGTATATATACAATGAAGAAATATAAGTACATGTAGTCATTTAGTTGCAACATTTTATTTTAATTAAAAGGCATACTTCGGATGGGACCTTACCTACATACTTGTATAAAGGTCCCTGGCTTAATCAAGCATTTTTGAATAGGCTATCAATTAAAGCTTTATACACTGTAGCTAATTAATGCACATAGCCGAATGAAGAGATAGTGTTGGACCTGTTATAAAATGTGTATGTGAAATCATCAGAGACATTAAATATTTTCATAAATAATAATTTATTGTAAATCTTCCTGTGATATAATCTTGATGTCAAAAAATCAATATTGTAGAGTTATGATAGCGAGAGCTAAGGTTGTCCCTTGAGCATTGTATACATCTGTCACATGGATCAATTTTCATTTAACAGCGGCTGTAAAAAGGTTCTACACACGTTTAAGTGCTCTTTTTCAATGATGAAGTGAAGCAGTAACTTTTATCAACATACTTCACCATTTTTTTCTCTCTTCACGAACACTTTATTGTTAATTTGAATGGTTATTGTGTTATTACTGTCTGGTACGTTGTTTATCATGTTTTATACATTATTATAATTTGAGTTTGATTATATCATTACAGTAATAAAAGATACAGTCGAACCTGGTAGGAATGACACGTCCTCTATATCTTCTGCCATCTTAAGATTTAATTCTGTTTCTTATAAAGCTAAAGCAAAGAATTCGCCTAGGTAAAATACTATTAGTATTACATCTTCGACCGGAAGTTGGTCTGTTTACAAATATTTAACTGGTTTTTAGGCAAGTCGAGCGTGACTTCTTTCGGTCTCTGATTCATAAATCAAATTTCATAAATATTTTGTCTTGCATTCATGATTTAGTGATTGTTAGGAGTCTCTGCTGACACTTTAAGGACACATGCTATAAACAAAAGATTGGTATTTATAGATTTGGAATTATTTGGTCAAGTAAATGATGCATAATGATATGATATATATCAAATGTCCCTCAAATATTTTTAAAGAAATTGTAGATTTGTACGATGTTCTAATTTCTTCCTTTTTGCCATCATCCTTACATGTATCAATCTAATTAATTTTTTTTTATCACTTTAAAGGTCATTATTTAGAAACTTGAATGAAATGCGGCTAAACTTATTCATAGTATACATAAACATACATTTAATTTGTTTGTTATCTTATTTGGAGGGTGGGGGTGTATCATCTATCCTTATCTTAACTTAATTTTGTGTGACGGAGGAGTTTTTATCATTTTCTGGGAAATTAATTTATGCTATGTAAGAGTAGGAATTAAGTATAAATAATCCGTCTTTTACCGAAATGAATTTCAGTGCTGCAGCCCCAAAAACAAAACCTGTATAATTTTACACCTAATCTTCATTCTCTGCATCAATAAAACACCTTTCATCGGGCTAGTTTTACTTCTTTTGGTTAGACACATTTTTTGTCACTGACGAAAACAAATATAGCAATAAACAAAGCATGTATTATATACCCCTTTTTAATATTCTATATTTAGTAACATTCACAGGGTCGTCGCCAGGTCACGGTCGGTCATTGCATCTCAGAAAATCTGGACTAATTTTTGCGCAAAACAAGCTCCCCCCCCCCAAAAAAAGACAAAAAAGTTTAGAAGGGGGGTTATACTCTTCACGTTTTTTGCATCTCAGGGTTTTTATTTTCCTGTTGACTTGGGTCTAATTTCTTCCAATTCCTAAATTTTTAAAATTATTTATGCAAAAATAATGTTTGGGAGTGCAATTCTTTTTTCTGAGGTGCTCTCTAATTTTCAAGTATATTTCACTCAACCCGATCGGTACACCAAAATCACTAGGCGCTGTTTGGTAATAGCATGTATTATTTTAAAGAAAATATTAACTAATTTTTCATCTAAACAACAATAACGACCTAAGTGTGTCATTCACAAACTTAAGAATGTAAGGGAGTATTCGCTTCAGTTCTAGAGGAGAGGGTGTAGAACTTGTACCCCCCCCCCCCCCCCCGAGCCATTTTTTATATATGATTCACCATTTTGAAAAAAAAAATAAATAAAAGTTTAGCCACTTTTCAAAAGAATGGGTTTGTCATATTAGAATTCTATACTGACTTGATAAATTTTGCACAGGTATTTGAAAGGATAAATTGCCCTGTGTGCTTAAAATATTTCACAAATATCCTGCATCCCTGACTGATTTTTCTGCACAGACATCATCTGTTTCAATACCTCCCGTCCCCTTTTCGTTTCAACAAAACACAGTTAAAACCTTACATGCATCAGTAGCCAGATTGGACCCTGTGAAGATGAATTTAAATTTTTAAATATCTTCTCACTGTATATTTTCTTGAGAATGAAAGAAAAAAACGTGGAATGAACTTTCTTAACACCCTTTCAAGAAAACTCTTAGCTACACACATAGAAAATAAGAGACCTCTTAAAATGAAAATGACTATACTTCGCATATACATGTATTTACATTTCTCTAATCTCAACCCTAACTAAAGGAGTGTAAAGTTTAAAAGTTACAAAGGTTAATGGAATTTTAAAGGAAGGAAATTATCCATGGAACTTAATTTGAAAAACTCAAGTGTCCGTTCTGGATCACAGAAAGGACATGTTGTAAGGTCTAAAGCCTCAAACTACAAGTCTTTATTGTGTCAAGACAGCTAAAGTCCCTGTAGTAACCGAATACAAAATCCACCAATGATATATTGTTGCATTCGATTGGAAAACAAAAAAAATGTTACTGATATCATATATATCATTTATACCATACAAGGACTTTTTTCGTTTTTATTATAATTAATGATGCCTTGTCGATCATTTGTGAATATAGCAAAACCATCCATAAATGATGTAATCTGTATAGATAGTGGGGTTTGTATCTGCTGGTTTATTAAGAATATTTAATACAATTATATCATGCAAAGTCATCCACTTGTGCTGCATTGTATCATCATGGGCCATTATTATCGATTCGTTCGTTGATGATGTACACCGTCATATAAAGCTCTTTCTATAACTAATTAAGGATATCAATTGAACTCTCATCTATGTTTTAGCAAAACTGTTTGGCTGTTTTTCAGCACTATTTTTTTCCTCACTGTGCCGAACTATACTGTGGAACTATAATGTTGATATTGCCATAACTTTTGACATCGAGAAGGAAAGGTCAGTTAATTAATATGAAAATAAAAGAAAACTTGATTACCTCAGATTGTGTAGATGTCGTCTGGGGCACAGTTCCTTATTTTCAACACCTTTCTGCCCGTGTCTTCTTGATACGCATCCTATATGCCTTGAATATTTAAACAACAAATCATGCTGATTTATCTGAAACAGCTCCATTTAAAAAACATACTGACACATACATCGACAAAAGACTTACTCAAATGAAACATTTAATCTCTATCTAGCAAAAGTACACCGAAATCAAAATTAGGGGGAAACTACCGAGATTTATTATTTTTATAACTCATATAGTACACTGCTGTATGCAATATTTACTTTTTTAGTAAAAAATAATTATGGATTCGTTTTGTATTTATTTATTTATTTATTACTTTTTTGTGTTTAATTATACAAGGATATTCAAGAATACATGTATAATACCGAACCCAAAACTTTAAATTTCTTTTGTCTCACTATAGTATTTATATTTGGAATGGTTGGGCTTACATACATGTATCTAGCTGTCTATTGAAATTTTAAAGATTTTTGATGGAGCATTGAATCATGTAACTCACCACTGTAAAATGATCAGATAGATGTCTTTAAAAATAAACTCTCTTCAATTACAGATAGCTCTAATTTGCATCTCTATAGTAAATTAAAAACTGGAATTAAAATGGAAGAATACCCATTTTTAGAAGAAAAAAAAAATTACAACCAGACAGATCATTTCAAAATTCAGAGTAAGTAACCATTCTTTAGAAATTGAAAATGGTAGACACAAAAATATTCCAAGAGATCATAGACTTTGTAAAAATTGTAATAAATTGGATGATGAATACCACTTCTTTCTTGACTGTCAAAAAAACTTTTTTCCAAGAAATCAATTATTCTCAATCAATAAAATCAATAATATAAACACTAGTTTTTTAAATAGACAAGCCACTCAGTAAAATGCAACAAATTTTAAATCCAAAATCTGAACTTTTGTCAGCAGTTGAAGACTTTATAAAGCAGTCATTAGAAGTGCGAAAATGAGGTCCATGTCAGTCATTGTACTATAAAAACCATTTTAAAATGTGTAACTGTATGTCACACATGTATTGCTTGACCCATATGGGTATATTATGCAATAAATAAATTATATATATATATATATATATATATATATATATATATATATATATATATATATATATATATATATATATATATATATATATATTGATGAGCACGCTCTTGATTTGTGGTAATTTCCAAATCTCCAGAGGGCTGATTTTCTAGGCATGTTGATGTAGCCAACAGCACTTTGAGTCTTCTCACTGAGACTTCTGGTGGACTCCGGTCTCAAATTTGGCACCAGGATGTCAAATAAATATATGCATATGTACACTGTTCAGTTAAAATAATAAACAGTGCTGACATATATTTTCTACCATTGCTTTCATTCCAGCAATACTTGGCATTTGAATGCTGGCACTAGCGAACTACATGTAGTACTAATTTATGGATGAAAAATAGCCCTCTGTCTGTAATTTAATCTACAGCTGTACTTGCAGTTACTTAAATATCTAATTACATATGTAATTAATTAAGGAATACTGCATACACATGACATTGAAATACATCAAATTTGCCAATGTGAGTACTATTTCTTGTTATATATAGTAACAGACACGGCGAGTAACAGTACCAATTCAGCAGCAGCCGACGTCCCCACTGTCTGAATACCCCGTCTATACATTTTTACCCTGTGCTGAGCCCCTAAGTAATTCGTAGCGCACGTTATAAGTACTTGTAGATTAGATGGCTATCATCTGTTATATATACATGGAACTGACGCGTAGGATCTTCATTTTGCAGAAGTTTGTGCAAACACCACATGGCTTAACACGGTCCGTAGGACGTACATGTAGGTGGTGTAATAGACACCTTTATTTATCGTCAAGGCCCGTGCTACCTCCACAAAGTCAGGTAAGATATTAACAATGTTTTGAGGAAATCTATTTAGCAAGATTATGAATTTGGCACATTTTTAGTTTTTTTTTTTAAATTATGAGCAGTTTCCTGGTGGATAATCATAATGGCTCCACGAGGAAATATTTGGATTGTTTTTGTAAAACATTCATATGGAATTCCGTTACTGACAAAAATAAATAAACGCTCTGTGGATTGATTTTCTTTTGTATACAGTTATAATTATTTGCAGTCCAACATTATTCTCCAAACCTTTTCTGGATAGATGCCATTCTTACACATGCTATCCATTTTATTCAATACCCTAAGAATATACTTTCAAAACATTCATATGGAATTCGTTACTGACAAAAATAAATAAACGCACTGTGGATTGATTTTCTTTTGTTTACATTGTTATAATTATTTGCAGTCCAACATTATCCTCCAAACCTTTTCTGGATAGATGCCATTCTTACTCATGCTATCCATTTTATTCAATACCCTAAGAATATTTTTCCCCAATACCTTTAGTGAACGTTTTCTACATTTCCTTTTAATTTAATATCTGGTCATTACAGATGTATACTGGTTATTACAGATGTATAATATTTAATTGAGATGCTATCAGTGAATTATATATTTGATGAACCAAAACATGCATTCCATCACCTTATTTTTAAAATTCTAAATGAGGAGAGGTGCTTGCTTGAAATAATTAGAATATAATATTGCTATTTTTTTTATGTGTTGCAGATCATCAGATCATATAGTAGCATGGGAAGTTTCATTGCAGAGGGGACACTACTGGGTGTAGGGAACCCCTTGTTGGATATGACCATCACTGGATCTGATGCAGAGTGGTTGCTGAAGGAGTATGATCTTCTACCAAACAATGCCATTATTGCCACAAAGAAACATGAAAGTTTGTTCAAAAAATGTGTAGAGGAGTGCAAGCCTATCTATCTTGCTGGTGGTGCCACACAAAATACCATCAGAGTTGCACAATGGCTCCTCCAGCAACCTCATGCCACTACATTTTTTGGTGGTGCTGGCAATGATATTTATGAAGAAATTTTATTCAAAAAGGCAACAGAGGTTGGCGTGAATGTAAAATATGACATCCATCCTGAAAAATCTACTGGGAAATGCTGTGCTATTATTACTGGTGAAGACAGGTCCTTGGTGACAGATTTAGGGGCTGCCCAACTGTTCAATGTAGAATTCTTGCATAAGCCAGAGAATTGGCATCTAGTAGAGAGGGCCAAGTATTTCTACATTGGTGGCTTTACCTTACCTGAAAGTAAGGCTGCAGCATTAAAAATTCTCAAACATGCTGCTGAAAATGATAAAGTTGTTATCATGAACCTCCATGCGACTTTTCTTTGCTCCCATTTTGCAGACTATGAACTAAATATACTACAGTATGTTGATGTACTCTTTGGGAATGGAGATGAAGCAAGAGAACTCTCTAAAGAAATTGGGTTTGGAACTTCAGACATCAAAGAGATTGCACAAAAAACTGTCAACTACACTAAACTCAATAAACGTCATGGTAGGACAGTAATTTTCACTCAGGGACGATCTCCAACAATTGTAGGAAGACGAACAGAAGTCAAAGAAATTCCAGTTGTTCCTGTAGAAAAGCATTTGATTAAGGACACTAATGGTTGTGGAGACTCTTTTGTTGGGGGATTTCTGTCACAATTTGTTCAGGGAAAACCAACCGAAATCTGCTTAAAATGTGGTACATACGCTGCTAGAGAAGTCATTCAAAACTATGGATGCAACTTTCCAGAAAAGCCTAATTTTGTTGTAGAATGATTGTGTTAGTATTTTGGCTATATTTTATTTTTAAATATTTGTCATTTTAACTAACTGTACTTTAAAAACCTTAATTTTAACGCCTTTTTAAAAAAAATCTGCTGATTTGAGTGGGGCTTTTAGCATTTGGCATACGGTTCAATCTGGTGTTCAATCGTTATGCTATTCCTATTTTTAAACCAGCTGTTCATTCCATATTTTATTTAATAGATACCTCTTATCTTTTCTTGCAGGTACACATTTATGTTTGCTCACAAATTTGATTTCATGATTCCTTATGAAGTTATTATTTATTTAAGTCTATATTATTACAGTTTTTAATGTAACCATACTAATGATAATTATTATATCAAGTTTAAATGAAGATGGCATGTTAATACACATATATGAACTGTTAAGAAAATGTACTAGCAATCTTTCACAATGTTTGCAATACTGCCCAGATGCAGACTATTTGTGAGTATATATATACTAACAGTATTATTTTTTTTAATACAGTTTACTTTTTTGACAATTTTATATGCTGATATAGTTGCTGTTTTCCTTGGTGCTATTTATGTGAACGGCATTATATGTACACTGTATTTCCCATTTATATTGACATTTTATTTGTATTTTTTATTTATCATGTTGACTGAAAATATTGATGTGGCAACTGTGATTAAACAACAGCTGCAATTCATCTTTTAAGTGATGATTATTCCTGGGAAAAGCATTCAAAACATTAATTGTTGATATTATTGACATCTATAATGGAATGTTTCTCTGCATCACAGATACAGGAGACAACTTCTACATGTTGTTATGACTGACGTACCACTTCTAAGAAATTTCTTTTTTTGTAATACTAACAATGAAAATGTATACATGACATTTATATGGTACAGTTATAGCTGTATTTGTGATCATTAACTGCTGATGTAACGAAGATGTACATGTATTTTAACAATGTCACGTGAATAATTCATGTACATGTAATGGTATTTTTCACAGAATAAATTTTGTTTTACTAACTTTAATAACAATTCCAAGCAAGACTCGTGTGTATTTATTAATAATTTATCTTGCGTGAAGGGTACATGTAAATCTATCGCATGTATTTTGTATTTAGTTTAATAATGCACTGAAGTGTCAACAGCATGATATACGTATATACACATATCTTTATTTTTCATAATGCTGATAAAGAAGAAGACCTTAATCTCTTTACCCGGAGTCCTCATTATAAAGACCTTGCAAGGTAGTGAAGATGGTGTAAAAATTATGCAATGTTTGATGTTTGTTTGTTGTTTAATGTCCCTCTCGAGAATTTTCACTCGTATGGAGACGCCACCACTTGCCTGTGGAGGGCTACAAATTTGGACCTATACCTGGCACTCAGGGCCTTTGAGCAGTGAGGGATCTTTTTTCATGCCAGCACCTACTGCGACACGGGACCTCGATTTATACGGTCTTATCTGAAGGACCGGTGTCCACGTCCCGCAGTGGGATTCGAACCCGCGACCTAAGGATCAACTCCTTACTCCATGACTCTAGAGCAGACGCTCTAACCACTGCGCCACGCGGGCGACCGCAATGTTTGAAGAAATGTAAGCGGTGTATGTGTCCTGAAGTGATATGGTTCTGGCTCAATCATCAATGAAAATTCATACAAATAACCGATAACAACCTTTTTCTATCAACGTTAGGAGTAGAAATGCAGATGTATTCTTGTAGTCATGACTATGTAGGATAATATAATTGCAGAGGTGCAAATTTAAACCATTTGGCTAAAATTTCAATAGATGCAGCTAGAATCCATTGCTGCAAAAAACTGTCAACACAGATGCCCCTAATCAATTGTTAATTAATTGATTATTCTATTATGGTAATTCTCAATCACCTTGAATACCTGAAGGTTTTGTCTTGGCTTAAGATAACCCTTCAAAATGGATCCAATTCATCTGTAATCATACATTTCTTAGAGTTTTCCCAACTACATTCAACAAATCGAGAGTTGCATCCGACATAAATTGACACTGCATGCATTTGTGAACATTGTTGATGAGCAGATTTCTTTGAGTCCATGATCTTGCATGAAACTTGAACGCATTAATGGACAGAGGAATTTGTAACAAATATCTTTATCATCAACCCTATATGAAAGACCATGGAGGGGTTAGGCCATTCCAAGTTTTTTCTATGTTAAGCGTCCACGTGCGCCTTGATTTTTGACATTCCATATCACAAAAAAAAACAAACAAACAAACAAAATCATGAGTCCTCAAATTAAATATTCTGGTCAAAATCACTGAATTCTGTCAATTTCTCAATATATTTGTCTACAGTATATCATATTAGGAATATAGTAAGCATTCAATGCTTTGATTTTGCTTAAGAATGGAGTTTTTTTAACGAGGAAAATAGATTAATGAAATCAAATCCTTTGAGTGACGTCATTTTTATGACTATAAAGTCTGTGTTTTACTTTTTGGTTTACAAGTGTGTTTTTTGCGAATAGGTAGGTAAGTTTTTGAAAGATGGGTGGACGCTAAACAGAGAAAAACTTGGAATGGCCTTAGGGATAAAACATCGTGCGAAGTATTGTTTCATCGGAAAATAATTGATAAAAACTTCCTGTTAATCATAATATGCAGACAAGTAATCTCATTGATGTGTATAGTTTACATGTATAGGATTAACATGTTTAAAAAAAAACGTATTTCATGTTTGAAAGCCCAAGAAGGTTTCCATCCAGGCATATATTTCATGAAGAGCGTTAGCGCTTGTATTTTTTAAGGATGTTAACTTGTAATTTCTCTCAGAGGAATTTCAGAGACATAACATATGAAAAAGTATTTTATTTGGGCTTATACACCATGTATATTCTGGTGAAGCAATAATGAACTGCATTACATCATATCCCATTAACATGTGACAGTACTAAATGAAAATTGCAGTTAAAGTCATTATGCATCATAATTTCCTTTAATATTCATACATACTTTATTATTACGTTTTCCAGAGAGAGGTTCAAAAATGCGGATCTCCGAAAAAAAAAATATGTTGACAGAGCGGTCATCATCTCAAGTCACGGTCAGGAGTCCATGTATAGCTCTCTCCTATCAGAATGGGAGGGGATCGAAAATTTTGACCGTGGTTTGCGATGACGCAAAGCGATCTGTCAATATTTTTTTTTTTCGGAAATCGTTTAACAGTTCCACAGCTGAGAGAGGGAAGAGAGAGAAACCCGATAACTACAAGCCGTATCTGAGAAACAGTCCCAAATAAATAAGTAAACTTAGAAATTTAAGTTATAAAATCCCGTGATATTGAAATTTTTAATATAGTATTAAAGAACTCCTGCATGTAAACAAAGTTTGGGCACCCCCTGGGTCACAATCTTGTCCACAAGGGCCCTTATTAATTTATTTGATCAAATGTGACTCCGCGCCATAAACAAAACTCATCTGTATAAATTTCATTTGTCAGCATGTCACTTTATTGTCCTTCAGAAAATTTATAGTACATTCTTTTAAAATATTTTTGAGTGTGATCCAACCCTGCCAAGTCCAAGGGGTTATGATTTCAATAAACTTTAACCTAGCAATATTTGCAAAGCAGTTTAACAAAATATGGTCTTGTTTGTTAAGATTTTTTGGTTTCCATTACTCGACACTCTCCCTCCCCTTTTGTCCAGGGCACCATCTTTTTTTTGTTTTTTTTTTGTTTTTTTTACAAATCTTAAACTTACTCTGAAGATCATGTTTGTGTATTAATATGCTAAATGTTTGCCTCTTTGATATGTTTAAGAGGAAGCATTTCGAATTTACTAATATTCAAATGTAAAACTTTAAAGCCCTGCCGGGGTATTACTAGTTGAGGCTGAAGGCTCTGATTTATAAAAATTGAAAACATTTAATTATAAATTTGAGTTTGATGCTTTTTGTCTTGTTGTTTAGGAGTATTTGAAACCACCTCTCGGTTTCCCTGTTTTGTTAAATCTCTTCTTGGAAGGGGGGCTACTACTTTTTTTGAACAAACTCGAACCTTGTTAATCTGCTAGTACTGAAGCTGTGTGCATGATGGAAAAGAAGTCAAAGATGCACAGTGAATTTTATGACTTCAGCCAGAAAAAGGGAGTTAAAAACTTTCAGTTCCTTTCACAACACTACGGCACCGATTACGAAATTCTCTGATTTTTTCCCTCCTCCGAAAAACTCTTTTTTTTTTCTTTTTCTTTTTTTTTTAGGTTTGATCAATCCCCAGACGCGAAAGCATATAAGCAGTGTTCTTTATGCATTCTTCAGTCTGCACTTGGCGATGTTGATATTCAATTCCGATACAAGTACATGTATAATCTTCGTATCTTGTGATTGGTCATCTACAAAATAACTGTTAAAAATCATTTTGATTCTACACACAGGTACTCTGAAGTTGATATTAAATAAAGATGATCGAGTTCCACATTGGGAACATCTATGTAGTCTTTGGAGATTTTGTCTTCCGCATATCTGTTGGAATTTCGATGGGCGCAAATTGTCCTCGTTTATTAGGCGACCTGTTTTGGTATTTTGATGGAGCAGAAATCATTTTAAAAACTTATCCATGGGAAGAAGGGGGGAAATGCTGTGGCCTTCAATTCGACATTCAGATACTAGTATATCGACGAGTTTTTATCAATTAATAACTGCAATATTCATTTTCATTCAATATAGCTCGATAAATCCCAGTGAAACCGATATAAAAGACACCATAGAGTTTGCCACATCTTTTTCATATTTGATTGTTTTGCTCACTAAAGACGTAAGTGGCAAACTACAGTGTAACAACTAAACACTATATATATAAAAAAAAAAAGGATAACTTCAGCTTTTCCGTCGTCAATTTTCCATATTTATGTTGAAATATTTATTGCTTTTAGTGTTTAGGTCTTCCAACTGAATAACATGTCCAGAGTATGATCATTTTTTAACCGAGTCATACTACTGACAAATAAGCTGATGTTACACGACTTTCAACAGTCTTCTTTGCAAAATTCTATGGTCGTTTTAATGATATTGTTTGCAAATACAACCTTTTGTTGGGTTGAAATTTGACTGACATGTTTCACAATTCTTAGACCAGTGACTATACAGATTTCTCCTTTTATCTGAGCAATACAGAGGGCTCACAGCGGGTGTGACTGATGGACGGGGATACTTACTCCTCCTTGACACCCGATTCCACCTCATGTTTTCAGTAGCCTGTGTCATTGCGCTGTTTCACGATTAGTATTTTTTTTAAAGAGGCTCTAATAGGATTAAATCTCCGACTTTTTCATTTTATAAGACCGAGGCACCAAAAACTTACCATGAACACCCCGTATTGGCTATTGGAATTGCAATATGTAACAGTCGGTCAAGCTAAAACATGTTTGAGTGAAAATTATGAAAATACTGTACTTTTAAATACATACACTCCTTTGTACATATAACTTACTACACAAAGTGCATTCCGTAAATTTCCTTTACACTCCATATGTTTTAACATTAGAATGCGACCAATACTTAGATGCAGAATTCATACTTGGTATATTTCTGTGGCAGTGCTTAACGCTACAAATAAACGCAGGGAATGTCTGTTGAACAAATAATTCGAATTTTACAAGTTAACTTTCAGATTTTTTTTTTAAATTCGATTCATCATTACTTACACTCAATATAGAGTTCACTCATTAAGAAAAAAAACGTATAGCAATATATGTTTGGAATTATTTTCGGCAAATTCTGGAAAAACTTCATAAAACGAAAATAAAATTAAAACCTTGGTTTTGTAATTTAAACGACACGGTCTGTTGACAAGGGTTTTGACCCACTAAATTTGACATCGTCACCATCTTTAACAGTTCACTGCTTACACAAATAAGATGATTGTGTAGTTAAACAATATTTCCCCATAATGTCTGGAATTGTGCGAGTTTCCGAAGCTGTCCAGCGTGAGAATTTCTTCAAAACACATCCAGTGGTTACATGGACGTTTGGTGCAGACGATGAATTGCATGTATTGTCTGATCGTCCAAATCTTACATCCTCGACCTACGAACGGTTATCCACCTCTAGAAGCCAGGAATCTGAAGGTAGTCAAATTATCTATGCAAAACTCTATCCTTGGAATTTAATTAACTCGGAGAAATGTGTGAAACTTCGATCGTGTAAACAATTCTCCTCTGTTTATTATTTGGATAAATACTATCTGCTATGATATTTCGAGAATTTCTTTTTCTGCTTTATTACAGTACCAAAAAAGAAATTGTATGTATTTAAACATAAGATTGAAAAACCTGACAATCTATAGTTATTGTATTAGATAAATTAAAGATTATTTAGTTTTCTATTAAACAATTTTATGCGTACTTTTATGCGTTTTACATTTTGCTCGTTACATAAAGCTAGGAGCAATAAAAGATATTCTTTGAATAAATTAATGCATTATATTAAATAAATATGCACGCAGCATAAATTTTGACACCGTAAGATGAACCATTCAGTTGAACTCTCGACCTGATTTTTATTTTAAGTAAAGGTATAGAAATGCCATGCGTAAAGTGCAATAAATCAACAACGTACATGTAAAACATTGCTAAGTATAAAAGGATATAAAATATTTGAATTATTACACGTACACGTAACAAAAACATAGGGGTTTCACAAATGAAACATACAGGTATTATCTATTAAAATTTTTAAATTGTTATATAGCGAGAAACATTATAACTCTGTATTAAAACTAATTGAAGAGTACAATAATATAATAGATTTTTTAATACATATATTATGGTACATGCCAGGCCTGTGAGAACAGGGGGAAGGGGGGGGGCGTTTCTCCCAATAATTTTGATAGTAGATAATTTACATAGAAAAAAGCTTACTTACAGCTGTTCCCCCTCAATTATTTTGCCAGTATTTACTATACAATAGAAAACAAAGCTACAAGTAATGGCTATACATATACTTTACAATAGAAAAACAAAGCTTATGGTCCCACAAAAATAACGCCCGATGACTTCATACGGGTCTGCATCAAGATTATACATGATAGTAAAATTAAAATATATATATTTACATACGTGTACTGTAAATCACTTTTTATTCGCGAGAACTTTATTTTTGCGTAATTAAGCGAGACAGTGTGCTTGCGAAAAAATTTCATTCTCGCGTATATCAGTATTTCGAAATATTATATAGAACAATAACCACAATTCATGAAAATTTTGTCTCGCTAATAGAGAGTAAATGAGTATCTCGCGAAAATAAGGTTTCGCGAAAATTTAGTGAGCTACAGTATATGCATAGACCTATATAATTGTACAGTGTATTTCAAATTCCACACCATCTCTTGTGTTCTGGATTTTTAGAATACAAACATTCAATACTTTAACTTACAGATAGCGGTGTCAAATCGTCAGTATCTACTTCCCATAACGAGGATGAGGCGCCGGTATCCCCTGCCTCCACAACTTCGGACGACACCAAGAGAAGACGTTCTATACTACGAAAGCTGTCCACCTCCTCCGGCCTGTCCCTCCGCTCCAACCCCTCATCCCCGCTGTTTGACTTCCCCACCTTTGAAGAGCTGTTTGAGGGGAAAGGGAAGTTCAAGTTGTCCACGCATCACAGTAAACCCATTTTTTCCCGCCAACAGTCCTATCCCGGTCCAGCTGTAGCAGTATTAGGTCAGATAATTCTATCACTGTTTTCATGTCCTACCACTTTGAGATCTAGTTTACCCAATTCACTTATATTACCACCCATTACCCAAGAATACAGCATTTGTACGAACTTTTTTCATTATGCCTACAGACACTGAGCATTCGGAGATGAAACTTTAAAATTTAAAATATCGGAAATGAAAACTATAAAATGTCGGAAATGAAAAGTTTAATACTTCAAAAAATTCCGAAAATGATATGCAGCCAAATTTTCAATGTTACTTACCCTCAACTACATGCAGTATATATATAATAGATCTTGTTATATATTTATTCTTAGAGAATAAGATGTGGTTTGTGCATTCTTTTTAAACACGTATATGTACTGACATAGTGAATACCAGGAATGTAAACTAATTCACTAACTTTAATCGTGCATATTGTAAAGGAACCAATACTAGTTTATTCCAATCGTGTGAATCTTTCCAAGAAAAATAATGGTTGCCAGAAGTGCGAGCATTTCTAAAAAAAATAAATTCATGTCCTTTCTTACTATTCACAGTTAATTGATTCTAATATACATGTACACGTTTAGAAAAAAAAAAAAACCCAAACGCATACGTACAAATCAAATAAATTACATGTACATGTAATAAATAAATTTTTAAGATTTATTGGGGGGGGGGGCGAATACAAACCGAATCACTGTCCAAATTATCTGTAATATAAATTTTGGTATATTTTCATAAGTTATAAACGAATAGCACCCATTGGATTAAAATCTGTAAATAGAAGTACAGTAGTCTTGAAACGATTATCCAATTGCCCACTGGCTAAGAAGCCTTGAAATATGTTCACTGGGCCCGTATAATTCATTGCCTTAGGTGAATACATCTCAAAGGTTTTTTTTAAACAAACAAGAATTTATTTCATTGTGCCGGTCAAATGCTTGCTTAATCATTAACTAGTTTTTATGGAGGATAGAAAGAATATGCCAACTAGAAATTGTAAGTTATGAGAACAAAGTCCAATGTTTCCATTTGGGTTTAAAGGAACTTAATTATGGGCCTATGTTATTTTCTGCCTAGGATGGGTCAACTCATTACAATTTCAAGTTACAACCACGCGCTTTTTTCCATAAGATTTTCCACGATTGATTTTCAAATATAATTGCTTACCATTTGATATTTCAAAAAATTATAATGATAATAGAAAGCTCTAAACTCTAATGAATAAAAGGTTTTGTGGATTTTGAGAAAAATGTGTCTTAATAAAGGTGTACATTACATGTATTTTCAACATAGAGTACCTGTCATATCCCCCCAGGAAAAATGTTTAAATACAATGAAGCATTACTGAGCAGAAATAACTGTTGTTGATTTACATTGGGAAACTACATGCACATGCAAATAAAGTATGAACTACTTTATCGAATATAATGTTAAGAATATTTAAATCTTTTTCAAGTGTGTCATTTACTGTAGATATCCGTAAATGCATCGTACATCAAAGGGCAGATCACTCTGACTTCAAAAAATGCCAAGGAATTACATGTAAAACCTTCAGATGGTAGTGTTTAGAGAGCTTCCTCAATCAAATTTTTTGCCATATTTTGTACCTGTATTGTTAAGGTACTGTATATAATACATGTATTTCAGACGAGAATACCGATGACACTGAAATTTCTCTCACAGCAACGGAGGAGAAACCAAAATCAATTAAAAGGCTCGACAGTACTATGTCCCAGAATTTCAGCTCGTTGGTGCACGATAGCTGGAAGGGATCCAAGGGATTCCGAGGGTACCGTCAGCGGTTAGGGAATGCATTACACCACCGTTACTGCATGTGTTAGTTAATATTTATATTTTATCCTAAGCGAACGCACTGATGTAATTATTTATAGAAACAAAGGGCGATTTGGAGGGATATTCAAAATTTAGATCTTTCACATTACAACCAGTTCCAGGAAATGCCGTTTAATATACATTTAATATTTACGGGGGGGGGGGGGGCTGACTCATCTTTAAAAACCTTTGTCTATAGAAGTTCAGGATGTTTGCTTTGTAAAGCGCTCTCAGGAAATTTGCTCATCATAGATTGTATCTATCTATTTCTTATAGTTTCGCTGCAAAAATCAAACACTTTTGATGCACAGATTACATAATAGCTAAACTACAAAGCTCAGATGTTAAATATATCAATTTCTTACAAACCGTTGACAATTGTTATTAATTCTAATAACAATAATTGTTCTAAATTTAACCCTCTCCCTTTTCCAAAAAGAAAGAAAATGTTTAAATCTCATTAATTTGTTTTTGTAGGTTGTAGATTTGAAAGCACCCTCTTCATAGGCCTCTACTGTCTCGTGGGACTCTTCCTTTCCTCCTCGGGTAATTATGATTAATACTATATTTGTATTGAGTTTACCATAGAAATATATTTTAATATAACTATATATATATATTTTTAGCTGCAGTGACCTCGTTGGTTGTATATTTAATTAAATGCACCATGCAGAGTTAGTTTATATTATTTTGGCAACAACTGAAATTATTTAGAATCATCAATAATCCGTATCATTGACAATTTAAGTAAACTGTTTTATAACCTGCTAAAGGTATCGTCTGTTACATAAATTGTTTGGACGAGATTCTGGTCTCCTGCTATCTAACAGTTGATGGGATTTTGTCGGTATTCGTATTTCCTATTTTGGTAATGGGATGGACTAGGCGAGTAGGCGGCTGTGTCGGAGATGAAGAAGATGTAGGTACTGGAACATTCTGGATATCTGTATTGGTCCTCCGAATTCTTTTAACAGCATCAGGTAGATATTATTAAATGTATATTAGATAAATAAACATGCTGGATGTGGTATTCCTATTGATTTCTGGTCGGCATTTTCAGTATTCTGAGTTTTGAAGGGGGCACAAAACATCTGAAGTGAAGGCCTCATATTCTATAATGCAAAGATTATGGATGTATTGTCAGTTGTTCCTACTTTCACTCTTTGGATATGTTAGTAATTGTCCTGCAAATCGACTTTTTATCATTCGCGTGCGAAAAAAATCTGGGAGATTCACGACCTTTTACACACGAATATTTCTCGCCGCGAACTATTTATTTCATTGTGTATTGAATTATCCATCAGTCGCGAACATCAGCCGTCGCAGATAGAATCCAAACTTTCAAATCACGAATAAAATTTGTCACGAATAGAAAATGGTTTATTGTAGTTAAGCATTTCACTAATAATTTGTTAGACTACGTCCCTATATTCAAAACCTTCAACAATGGTTTTAATAGAAAGATTTCACCTTTTTATCACCAGTCCATTTTAAGACCCTTTCACAATTGGCGCACGAGCAGAAGCGACAAAATATTCAAGCGACCGAAAAATTTTGATTTGGATCGTAAACTGTTGCCGAAATAATCGCACATATGAAAAAGTATTCGTACGAATTTCGCACGATCTAAAGGGACTGCTGTGCGATGTAAACGCATTAAATCTTGCGATATATCTTGCGTCTATATGCGACTGTTGTACAATGAAAGCGAGTGTTGTAAGATGATGCAATAGGATCGTGCGAGTGATCAGGTGATGGGACGATTAACCGTGCGTCAATGCGATTGAACGTGCGGCGCTCGTGCGATCATGCGTTCCATGGTACAAATGCTAGTGCGAGTCAGAGGGAGTATATATACCGCCCGTTTCCGACGCTTATCAGCTGACATAGTTGAATGCGAGAGAAGATGCAGCAGCATCCATGGTCAATTGTGGTCTGAAACAGAGATGCTTATACGGGGTATGTATAGTACTAGTGGCAAAGCATAGCAAATTGAAGCTGATAAATCGTGCAATGTTAGTAAAACGTTGCAAGATTACATGAGATACGTTGAGACAGTTTCATGGTCGCAAAACACACGCACAGACCGCTGCAATTCATCTTACGACCTTTAAAAATCGTGCATCACTCTTGCGAGTACACAATACGTTGTAAGACGTTTGTACTAATGTTCGTGCGTTGCATTGCGATAATTTGGATCGCATTCGGTCGCGTCTGAATAGTGTGCATGTCCACTATTTTGAGGAGACTTGAAGCAGCCACTAAAACGCATGCAACGAATGCGAGACATCGTGCAACTTATGCGAGATCTCGTGCGAATCTAAAACATTCCGATCGCAAAGTGTTGTAAAGTGCTCGTGCGCCAATTGTGAAAGGGCCTTTAAGAGACACCGACTTTTTTTCTGCGCCTCGATCTAGCCTACAAATACATGTTACCCTTTAGCTGGGAACTTTGAGACTGGATGCTGAAAATGATTATTCATTTATTTTATTCTTTTCTATTTTAGGAACTTTCGTCTGTATTTATAGATACTGTATGGAGGAACCCGTATGGGAATCAAAAATGTGTCAATTCGAATTTTATGCACTTCTTGGAGGAATTGTGTTCGAATGGATTTTCTGTGTGACTGCGATATTTCTTCCCATGTGTTTTTACTGTGTTCTCTACTGTTTTGCGCCATCATACGGAGCAAAATCAGGCTTATACACTATTAATGTCGATGAACAAAAATGATAAATTTCTCATGATAGACAAAACATTTATTGATCGAGTGGTACACAAAAACAATTGAATAAAAAATTGTTTTTAGCAGGCAACAATATATAAATAATTTCATTTTTCTCAACAATATAGTTAATGTTCAGTTTGCTTTCTGTATTCAAAATACACGTATTAAAGCATTACTGATTTACAAACTTACATAACGTTGTAATGATATCTGCTATCTATCAAAATGCTATACTTTTCTGCCCCCCCCCTTTTTTTTACGTACTTACTGGTATATGACCAAAATTTTGAATTCAAAACCATTTAGTATTACGCCTATGTAATTCTTCTTTGAAAACTTTGGACAACGTAGACCTCTTTGTCTTGAGAAGTCTCGGTAATATGTATGACCAAATTGCGCTCTATATAGTCTCTTAAGTAGCATGTGCATTTCAGAGCCTTTCAGCATTTTACCCTTTCAAATTCCTTGACTTTGTCTAAATGACATTGATCCCGGATCATGCTAAATACTATGGTATACTATGGATAAGATTTATACTTCCAACCAAATGTACCGTTCACGGTAGCTCAGTCGGTAGAGCGCTCACTCCGTGATCGGGAGGTCGTGAGTTCGAATCTCGGCCGCGACTGACCCAAGTCGATAAAAAATGGGTAGCAACTGTTCTTTCGCCATGCGCTCGGCACTTTGAAGTGAAAGTTGTGGGTCCTTCGGATGAGACCTTAAAAACCGAGGCCCCGTGTCATGGCAGGCGTTGGCACGATAAAGATCCCTCACTGCTCAATGGCCGTAAGTGCCGAGTAAAGGTCAAAATTTGAAGCCCTTCACCGGTATATGGTGACGTCTCTATATGAGTGAAAAATTCTCGAATGAGACGTAAAACAACATACAATCAATCAATCAATCCAACCAAATGCCCTTCACCAAAGGAGCATGGTACACAATAAACCGTTTGTTCCAATATATTTCTATGCTTCGTTTCAGAGCGTAAGCGGGTGATGTAATTTTTTTCTGCCGATCGGTCACATCCGCCGTGTACTCCTTGTCATGATCGGGAAAAGCGGAAAAATAATTGCCTAACAATTAGTATGAAAATCGTCAGTCAGCATTCGACTTACGATAGATTGTATTTGCTGACAAGGTCATTGTATCGACCATAGAACTTGCGAAATGATGACTTTAAACGAGACTGTTGATGATCTTATTTCATCAATTTGTTTGCCAATAGCTTGTCTCGTTTTAGAAATTGATCGTACGCAAAGCATGCTCTTGCGTATCGAATCAACTGAGAGATATAAACCCCATATGCAGGTGATACATGTAAGGATTGCTACATAAGTTAGGGGAGTTGACAATTGAAAATTTGAAGTCATCATGTTTATCATTAAGCTTGGTTGTTAGGTTACCATTAATGTCTTTTTCTGGTAAAATACCCAAATATGAAACAGATGTGTCAGACTCTGTGGTATCTTTTATTTCAAGCTCACTGGGATTTATCGAGTCGACAAATGAATGAAAGTAACTATTGTTAATTGATAATACGTCGTCGATACATCTAAATGTCGAGTTGAGGGCCAAAGCAAGTGTTTTTCTTCTTTTCATGTATAAGATTTTGAATAAATTCTGCTTTATATGAATACAAAAATAGGTCTGCCTAATACTGGGGCGCAATTGTAACCCATGGGAATTCCGACAGCTTGTTGGAAGATCTGGTCTCCAAAAACTACAAAGATATCGTCAATCAGAAACTCAAGCATCTTTTTAATATCAACTTCAGAGTACTTGTGTGTACAATCAAAATGTTTGTTAACAAATAATGGTGCAAATGGCCAATGACAAGATAAGTAAATTTACGAGTTCCATTTTATTGAAAAAGCAGCTGTCAATGATGACAAAAAGCTTGGACTTTAATTTGTCGTGGGGAATGGTTGTATAAAACGTTGAAAAGTCGTACGTTTTGATGTTATTGAAATGATAAAATCTGCCATTTCAAATTTTCTTAAAGTTCCTTGGAATTTTTAAGCATCCACATTTGATTTACACCAGTTCTCAAATATATTGTTGTATACAGTATTCCTGAAGTTTCTCCTTCACTGCTATTAATATTTTAGTGAGGAGTATTTGTTTGTTTAACGTCCCTCTCGAGAATTTTTCACTCATATGGAGACACCACCACTTGCCGGTGGAGGGCTGCAAATTTGGACCTATACTCGGCACTCAGGGACATTGAGCAGTGAGGCATCTTTTTCGTGCAAACATCTACTGCGACACGGGACCTCGGTTTATACGGACTCATCCGAAGGACTGAAATCTACGTCCCGCAGTGGGATTCGAACCCGCGACGTTAGGATCAACTCCTTACTTCGCAAGTCTTAGAGCAAACGCTCTCACCACTGCGCCACTTTGTGAGGAGTAAAGAAAGAGGTTTGATGGAACATTTACTGGGACGCGCTATGTATCTTTGTTTGTAAGGATTTTTTTGAAGTTTAGCAATCCAGTATAGGTATGGTAATTCAAATTAATTTTGATTGTTGGGAATATTAAAAATACATCTAAAACTGACATATGATTTTGACAAATTTCCTCCTTAGAAAGGGAGCTATGGGTATAAGTTGGATTACCACTTGCAGAATTAAATCCCAGTTCCTCTGAAATGCAATTAAAATAATGAGCCTTGCAAACAAAGACAATGTTGTTACCTGCTTTGTCAGCAGTAGAAACTAATCGTGTAATCTATCTTATTCTTTTTTCACTAAATTATTAAAGACGAAAGGATAGATGGTTTTCATATTGCCCCTCAATCGCTTAATGTGAGATTTTAACATCCATCTGATACATTTAATCCATTCTGACAAAGTGTCAAGGTCTTCTTTCTCATGTTTGGTCCATCGCCTAGCGCAATCTTCCACATAATTCATAATATTTATGAAATTAAGACGCCAGTTGAAATATCGGGGGTTCCCAAAATTTTGGCCCTTTTAAAATAAGTGATTTAAGGTCCTCATTATTAACTATATTTACGTCACCAGTAATGACGTGTCAAACAGGACTATAGTTGTAGGTGAAGAAAAACATGAACACGTTGTTGGATTATGTTTCAGATGTTCGATATCTGGGCCCTGTAGAATTTTCTTGTAATTAAAAAGTTTGGAAGCAATTGTCGATGTACATGTATAATTGTAAGATATGCAAGGTGTTGACTTCAACTTGAAATATGGTAGAATACAAGACTGGACCCTTTTGTGATTAAGAACATTACTTACATTACAATTCCTTTGTTAGCATATTGAAATTTAAGGAAAAAACGGGTTGTTTTAGCAGTATTTTCTTCCGTAAAACGTGGCGATTTAAAAAGCCTATGATTTGCAATATTGTCTACTGGCAGAACATTAGTAGTGTCAAAAACTTGAATTAAATTCTTAATATACAAAATATAATTCTTCTAAAAAACTTAAATTTTTAGAAAAATGTCGATATTCAGTTAGAAAAGCTTGTCAATAATCTTTTTAAAATCAGCATTTTATGCACCAGAGAAGGAATACCGGTAATTCCCCCATAGTATCAGATGCACATCTAAAATGAACAAATATTCGAATGATAAAAGATTGTTTACTAGAGAATGTAATGCTGTTGCATATTTTTAAAACAAAATAAAGTGATATAAGCATAATGTATTAGTAGTATATTTATTTGAAAATGAACACTTTTGTATACAAAATTATTGTTATCAGTCATCTTATTCCTTTTCATTTGCAATTAATGTGATATTTTGTTATAATTATAAGAATTGTTCTCACTTCCACTCAAGATACAAGATTTCAAAAGCATTATGATCAGTACCTTACTTTTTCTTTACATGTATTTTCAAATTTTTTAATATAACTGATATTAAAACATTTTTAATAGGTTAAAATATTATCAAATCATTAAGAGTATGAACATGAATAAAACAGAAATGAAGATAAATACTTATCATTTACCATTGCCAATGTTTAAAACAAATATCATTTTAAAATCAACTCTAATGATAACATTTTTAATAACATTAATAATAAATATATAATTTTTAAAAAAGTGACACTAAATAATTTAGAATATTTCTTTCATTTAGTAAATTACCATTCATCGCATTATTCTAATTTTATATATTTTAACCTTTTTCTGTGATAATCTAAAACAGACTATAGGTCACCTGTAATTAATTTCTTTTGTTCTCTCCATCCTCTTACCTGTGCAGCATTCCCACCTAGCCAAAACCGTCACATGTAATGATATCAGAATTTTGGCTAAGTAGGAAGACACCGATGGAAAAAAGAGTTTTAAAAAGTGGAAAAGGATGGAAGGGTATGTTTTAATGATGTGTTCCCCGAACTTCTTTTAGCTATAACCAACATCTAATTATCATACTCAATTAATGGGTTCAGGCAGAGTTTACCTATATGAACAAAGTACCTGCATTTAAATGATATTTAAAAAGATAAAAAAAATTATTTAGCATGTCATTTTTCCTTTCAGTACATCCTATAAAGCTACATATCCAGTATTCAATACATGTCACGTCATTAACCTTTTTGGGGAATAAACCATTTTATTATGTTAACATACTTAGTAATAACATACAGTACACATCTTATGAGCAAACACAAATTAATAACCATCAACTAGCTTATTATATCATATCAGTAATTTAAAATCAAATACAAAATTTTTCATAGAGAATGTGAATAAAATAATTGATCTGCTATCATAAGTGAGGATTTTCAAAGTTTTTTTCTACAAAAGGCATGATTATATATATATATATATATATATATATATATAATATTTTATATATATATATATATATATATATATATATATATATATATATATATCCTTATTACATACTTAATAAAATACAGCACATATACAAATACATTGTAAACTTATTATATAAAAGAACAGTTATTTAAAATTAAGAGAATATGATAAAATAGGTGTATTATCATAAGTACTCTTTTTTAAGTATTAATCTTCAAGAGATGTGATATAAATCCGTATTAGCCCTAGAAGCTAATATGTCTATTGTGACCTTAAGCATATTGCATATGCAAAAATCCTGTTTTTATTTCTATGTAATAAATCTATATATTACATGTAAAAGGGACCTATTGCCATGTGTAATACGAGTATTTTGGAGTAAAATTCCTTTCTCCCTCCGTGTGCTCTCCATCTTCTTCGCTTTCTATATTGGTTGGGCCCCAGACTGACTCGCTGAAGGTTGAAGTAGCTACAATGTATATAATTTGAATGTATTTTTCAGTTTTGTAGTGAATAATCTGGGAAGGAATAATCCATGTAGTCAGTGGTAAATTAGTAGCTTAAATTTCGTGCGTAATAGTACAGATATTTTTTTTACACTGTTTTTAAGTGACCACATCGAAAGTAAAAAATATCCGAATACGCCATTCCCATTATAATTTTTTTGAAGGATTCATCTTTTATATTTAAGAGGGTTGGGTACTAGTAGTCGTGTCAATTTTATACTACATGTATATAGGAATTGCATTAAATTTTAAAGCTAGAACATGTGGAGGGTTTTCTTTACCAAAAAATAGTTAATGGCTGGAAAAATTACATTTCATATTTTTAGATGGATTTATTGAATAATAATTAGTTGGCCACCCAGCCACCTTAACGTATATATGAGCTGTACATACGTATCACTGACGGAGTGGAAGGCTCGACCGCTGACTGCAGTGGAATTGTGCCTATGATGATTTCTACTGGGAGATTCAATTCTAACGCTGGTCCAGAGGGACTAATAACAAGCTGCAAAAGAGTTTGAATCAAGAAAAATTAAAAAAAAATATGAAAACTTCAGGGCACTTGTTACTTTAATTGGGAAATGGAACCATGTACCGTTCGTTAATAATTCAAAGCACAAGCATACAATTTGGTGACAGTGAGGGGATCTGAATGTCAGAGTGTCTTCAAACAGATAATACCAAGGTTTCTCTCATCATTTTTTAAAATTAATCATGTAGATATTTAGTCAAGAACTAAATTTTTAGCTCACCTGATACAAAGGCGCAAGTGAGGTTTTTTTTTTTTTTGATCAAATAGTGTCCGTTGTCCTAAACTTTTCACATTTTCATCTTCAAAACCAATATTTCAATTTCAACTAAACTTTGCACAAAGTATCCTACGGTAAAGGGAATTCAAGTTTGTTTTTTTTTTTCAAATGAATGCCACGCCTCCTTCCAGGGGGAATAATTAAGAAAAAAATATAGCGCGGGGTTATATAGAAATCTTCTCAAGAAGCACTGAGCCAGAAACGATGAAGCTTTCGTGGAATCTTACTGACATAGTGAAGATTCAGATTTATTCACAGTTCACACCATGATCCCTTGGTTTAGGGTGGGGCCACAATACGGAATCAAAATTTAATATACATGTAGGAATAAATAGGAAAGTCAAACAAAATTTAAAAAACTTCTCAAGAACAGCAGGGCCATAATTAGTCATAATAATATGAAAACATAATCAGGTAGTGCAAATACAGGTTTCTTCAAATCATGGCCTCTTGGGCTAGGGTTGGGCCACATCTAGGGACCAAATCGTTACACAGAAATATAGGAAAAATTGGCTTCTTTTTAAAATTTGATAGATTTCTTAATATAAAACTCTTTATAAAAGAATGCAGTCTGTGCATCAGCCAAAAATTGTTTGGTGATTGTAAATACATCAATTTGCGCTGTGCTGCTAATATCAGAATTGCCAGCTTTTGCATTTAAAGAGGAGCTTTCAAACCTGTTTTGAAGTTTTCAGAGCATTTTAAAAATGTAACTTAAATAAACAAAGTGATTGAACAATAACCTTCGCAAAGTATTTGACGTCGATCAGATTGCATGTCTTTAGATACGATGGTGCCAAAGGAGGGATCACAAATTTTTCTCCACTCCAAACATCTGAATGACCCGGCGGTATGTCGTCGTGTTGAATACGTTTGATGGATTTTCTTTCTTCTCGTGATTTATCTTTCCTTGCATGGTAACTTATGACCTGAAACAAGTGAATTTCCCTTGTTTAAGCCAAAACATATCTATTAACGATTTGGACATACTTGTATGACAACTGACTATTATATATATTAATTTTGTGCTCCATCCCACTGTATTTACACGGTACTAACTGAATTATGGAATCCGGATAGGGCCACGTGGTTCACTACCGCATCATCAAGCAACGGCTAAAGGGTCGATGGCGTGATGACGATGAAGCGATGATGATGATGCAATTGCGCGACAATGCGATGACGATGGTGCAATAGCACGATGGAGCGATAGTGAACATCGCTTCGTCGTCATCGTGTCATCGCTATCGCACCAGCGCGTCATCGCGCTATCGCTTCGTCGTGCCATCGCATCATCGTCATCACATTGTCGCACCATCGTCATCGCACTATCGACCCAAACCTCGATGGTGAAATGATGCGATAGTGAAATATTCGGATTCAATAATTTTTTTAAAGATTTAAATTCAATTTTTTAATGAAAAGTTTGTTTCATTACATATGTATATATATAATTATTGAGTCAGCAATATCTCAGCCATATTTCGGCTGTCAAATGTTTAGAAAGTATAGAATAAAAATCGTCCCATCATAAGTGTAAATGATCAAAGGTCCAAGCTAGTATCGAGTACAAAAAATGGGTCAATTTTGGAATTGATTTCAAAATATCTCGAAAAGTATATGAAATTTCGGAATGAACATTAGGTAGTGATGTAGATTGTTTATATGTAAATAGATATGAATAGAAAGTATAATTCCTTATCTTTGATTTATGAGTTTTTTACTGGCGAAAGTGGGAACCCTATGTGAGGAGTTCCACCACATTATTATTTTTATTGCCCCCCCCCCCCCCCCCCCATGTTTTATCAGTCAGATTAACGTGATCCAAAGGCCTTGAGCTCAAAGTCATTGTTAACCCTTTTAAACTCACGACATTCTTTAGGTGAAGTATCATCCAATATGGACATTCTTTAGGCGAAATATATGTGTCAATGGAAGAAAAAATATGCTCTGAAAATTATCGGAGAGACGGATAGACGGACGTACCGATCACTCAAGGGTGCCCCATAAAGCAGTTGTACTCAAGGACCAAATTAAAGGAGGGGAGCATTGTTGAACACCCCTGAATCCTTAATGCGCTCTTCCTAATTTTCTTTTAAACCGTTTTAAAACCAAGATAAAAATACTGATATTAAGTTATATATATCAATTATACCATTTCTAGTTCAGCATACATGCTGCACACACGGGTAGTGCTATTCTGAGCACTAGCTTCAAAATAAATGGATTCTCCTGGAACATATCCCATGCGATTAAGTTTCATTGTTCCCGCAATAGGGCCTGATTTACAACATAGGCAACAGAGATATTTGGAATCCTGGATTTCGCCGGCATTCTTTAGAAAGAAAAAAAAAATCAATGATAGAATTTACTGTTGTCATATATGTTACATGTAGAAAAAAATTATGTATATTTACTATGGTAATTATGGTATTTTGTTAATCATGAATGAGAGTAGCTTACTTACACCTTTTGTTCTCGTAAAAACAAATACTAGTACGTCTGCTTAGTGAACATGAGTTGGTGCAAAGTTCAAAGCGTATGTGAATCCCACATATAGGTCTACAATGTCAGGAAATACTTACTAACGCCAATGCTTCCTTATTCAAATCCATAATTTCAAGAACTGTGAAGGATCTGACGGTGTGATAGTCAAACTTCCCAGGTCTTCCTATGGTTCCTTTGACCGTGTATCGGATATAACCATGTGTTCCCTCGAAGGCAGAGGGTAGATGAAGAGGTAGACTGAACCAGAAAGGATAAACGTGCTGCCCTGGGTTAAGAATGTTATCATCATCGCTTCCTAGGACCAAGATGAAGAAGTACAAGTATATTGTTTTAAAATTTCTTCCTTTGTCACAACGTACGATTTATATTTTGAGAAACCCAAGACAACGTTTGATTGGTTGCCGTGACGTCATGGTTATATCAACTACATGTATATATTACATTGTTAAGGTCAAGATCTAGTAAATGAAAAGAGCCTACAGATTTCTCAAACTTGAGAAATAAATTCCTTTTATGATGCTTTATAACTATAGCTCGGTCAAATAAGGTGTATCGGGGCATAATTTGCAAGAAAACAAGACGAAAAACCATCTTGTATACTGTCATTTTCAATGAAAAATTAAGAAAGTCAGTCACGAATATGGAAGTTTTTTTCCATATCAGACGAAGGAAATGTATTCAGATTGCCTACAGTCTCTCAGAAAACGGTAATTTGTATGACTGTTCTTAGCCTCTTCTTTAAAATAATGTAAAATTGAATATAGGTATCGGGATTACTTTTCACATGATTTCAAATTGAATGCCATGAAAATACTTTATTTTCTACATAATTCTATTGGAGCTGTAAAGTACGGGAAAGGGAAAGTTTAAATTGATTATGACGTCATAATGGATCTAGCACCGAAAAGACGGTCTAAAGTCATTTACTAGATCTTGACCTTAAAGTCATATATGGCGTATTTTTGATAAGGTCAGATAACCAAAACTAAAAATATCTTCTATTTGATTTATTACTTTATATAAAGATAGGACTTTTCTGTAAATTGCACAATTTAAATCAACCGCGTTTCAAAGATATCAAAAAAAAAAAATTAAAACAATAACCGATTTATTAACCGACATTTAAATAAAAGACACATTTAAAGTCAATTTAATTATAGAAACGTGGGGTTATTCAGGTTCAAAATCGGTAAAAATTTGAAATTGAACGTAAAAAACATTATTTCATGTATATCTACACTCATTCTCGTATTATATCATTGTTTAGCTCAGATACGTCATATATAGCTTTAATATTTGTTTTGTAAATGATTGTTGCCTTAAAACAATCTTAGAGAACATATGTTTTTACAATTTTTAATTTTTTACCGTTCTTTAACTGTATTTCATAAGAAACAGACAGGCAAAGTTTAATTTATATATTTCTTTATTAATGTTATTTTATACTAAGCCTTCATCATATTACTAAAAGTTATCAACATTTTCACTAAAACTGAGCTTGTCTATACCTCTCCCAAATACAGGTATCGTGTCTTTAAAATATTGCTCCTCTCCAACGCAATGCGCTTTTTTGGTTTCATTTTTCCTTTTCCCACGTTTTGTCTCTTGCTCTGTCCAAGATACATGTGATTTCCCCTCGAATGTTAAATATATTTCTATACAAAAGATGAAAATAGGGGAAAAAACATTATTTTGTGTGAATATTTCCACAGGCACTTGACGTTTTAAACTTTCTCTTTATTGATAAAAATACTCCCATACTATAATAATAACAAGGTACGTCACGGTCGCCATCTTGAATTTTTCAGGTCAACTACATCGCCTCGATTTTTTGTCTACAACATGTTTAAAATCAACAGACACATCCATCAACGTTCATTACTTACTTTAAATATGTCTCAACTCTCGGATTATTCTACTGAAATCACGTAACATCCATCCTATTTATTCAAATATCGCTCCAAACTCAGTCTACTGCTTCCGATTCAGTAAATCTTAGAAAAGGGAGGCCGGAAGTTGATGCTTTTATGTCATAATGCGGGATAGCCCTTTTCTGATTGGTCCTTATAATTATAGGCTTATGAATATTGATTTTGTAATACATATGAACTGAAAAACACGTTTGTATGGGAAAAGAAAGAAAGTTGAGTACATCACACTTATATTTACTTATTATATTGACACATGTTCATATATACTTACAAATTATTGGTTTCAGACTACATGCAGTGTACTTTGTACATTTACATTGGCGTAGTCCCACACTTAAAAAAAGGGGGGGTACAAGGAATAACCGTAATATACTAGAAATAAGATGTTTAGGAGAATCGTTAAAAACATGTAAAAAGTGATTGAATGGTCATAAATCAAAACATAAAAAAGGAAAAGAAGGAAAAAAAATATCAGATGCGGAGCTCAAACATACTTTTGCTCGCCTCTCTTCTGAAATTTATTATAGAGTCGTAATACATATATACAACCTAAAGGAAGGTGGAATGAGGGTGCAGACATCAGCACTAGTTCACCTGACATTAATAATATTAAAATGTCTTTTATACGCTATGCATAAAATTCAGCGGTGGAAAATAAAAAAAAACAAAACATTCCCTTATTAGTATCTTACGCAGATCAAGAAAACATTTTACACTGAAAGACCCATCTTCGCTAGCCAAGGGCTTCTGATACGCTACTCTCCTCATAAGCCTTGGCATACGGTGTTAAAAAAAGTTGGGATTTTTTTCTCAAGTTGTGATTGGAGTTGATCGACATCGTTCGACCAATCAGCAATTGTTTTTTGTAAATGACGATATTTGCGTTCGGGATATGTCTTGACTCTTTAATATCGGTAATGTAAAACGCAAGTAAACAATGATCCGTAGGATAACATGTCATTCTATGAATAGCAATATGGTGTCATCCTATTTCTAAAGCAACGTGCAAAATATGTGATTAAGAATCTATACTGAAGATGTAGATTTGCATTTTTACATGTTTAAATAACAAATTAACATAACTCAACACCTTCTTGTTAATTATTCTTTTAAAACAATTTTTTTTAAATACGCTTTTTATTTCTGTCGATGACGCAATCTATGCGTACCTGGTAAGACGCATGATCACGTGACAAAAACAATCCCGTCTTTTGTCAGCACCGTATGCCAAGGGTTTATGAGGAGAGTAGCGTATCACAAACCCTTGGCTGGCGAAGATGTGAAAGACCATTTACACATCTGACGGAAAAGAATGAAGATATCTAATTAAGGGTCAGACTGTAATATAAGAGCCTGTTTTCAAAAGAAATTGTGACGCGGACCTAATTTTCATCCCCCCCCCCCCCGCCTTTTCTAATGAGATTTCCCCTTTTCTTGCTGTTAATTGGAAACTATCATTCTTACATGTATGCCGACTGCCCCTTTCCATGTTGTAGTTCTGTTAAACCCTCTCACAATAATGAAAAAAAAATATCTGTCCCCCTTCCCAAAACACATTATTTTAAAAATGTGAGTTTTATGAGACTGATTTTTTTTAATTTCTTTTTTAATTTTTTTTTTTTTTTTTTTTTTTTTGCGTGTTTTTCTTATTCTACCCCCTCCCTTTTGAAATAAAATATGCTACGTGCCTCATTCACAGAGCAAAATATATTTGCCTGTTCTTGAGTTATAACCTACAGGTGGTATGTGTTCCAAAAGTCTGCTTTCACGAAATCCTGCAGCTGTCCAACAAATAACAGCATTGGCGGACTGGAACTATAGCGACTGCGCTGTCAACCCACTACCCTTTGTAGATGTTACAATCCTTTTATTTAACCTAACAACAGTCTACCTTCATACGGAATACGATTTTCTAGTACCCGCTAACCAAGTATAATACAACTTTGCCGATCTTCTCTTTAAATAGTTAAAAAAAAAATCAGCATCCCACAGGCACGTAGGATAACCCCCCTCCCCTTATTTATTATCCGGGATCGTCTCTCTTTTCTCTAATACTACTACATTGTCTGCATAACATGTTATCGATAATGAAACCCTTTCTCCTCTGTAAGTTGTATGTCACTTATGACTGATACATGTAGAGTTGAAACAAGCTTTTTACAAAAAATCTCATCGAGGGAGAAAACTTAATAAATAAATATTTATTTAATCACAACATATCAATATGATAAAATGTGTTAATCCTAGATAACAAAAACAATTGCAAGTGGATGGATATCTATGAAAAGCATGTAATAGTTGTTTTGAAAAGCACATGCTGTCTCTGTCTGACTTTTCCCGCGAAATGTCATTTTTCTTTTAACCAATCAAATATGACTGAAGGGTATTCCCATTTACATAATAAAATCAACTTCCGGCCTCCCTTTTCTAAGATTTACTGAATCGGAAGCAGTAGACTGAGTTTGGAGCGATATTTGAATAAATAGGTGGATGTTACGTGATTTCAGTAGAATAATCCGAGAGTTGAGACATATTTAAAGTAAGTAATGAACGTTGATGGATGTGTCTGTTGATTTTAAACATGTTGTAGACAAAAAATCGAGGCGATGTAGTTGACCTGAAAAATTCAAGATGGCGACCGTGACGTACCTTGTTATTATTATAGTATGGGAGTATTTTTATCAATAAAGAGAAAGTTAATAACGTCAAGTGCCTGTGAATATTTCTTATAAATATGAAAACAAACTCATTTTCCATTAAAAAGACCTTACATTGTCCCTTCTGTGAGAGAAAGAACTGACCAGAAATATTTCTTCTACTTGAAACCTGATCATTATTTTATGCAGTTTCGTAATGAGAATGGACAGTACCAGGTATAATTTTGCACCTTGACTATTTGTTCAAAGCTTTGAAGAGGCTTCATTTCCTTTTTTTAAACCAGAAGTCTCTGATGAGACTGTAGCTCTACCGGTTTGTATTTATACTAAAGGAAGAGAAAAGTGGCACTTGCACTTGAAACTTTGCAACAGCAAGAAATACAATAATGGCTCTTGGTTTAGTCTCTTTGTGGCAAGATTTATTGTAATCAGACTAAAGCTGTAGGAGGAGTAGCCTTTTGGAAGTATTTCACAGAAATTTCTATTTTTAATAACCATGGCATGAACGTTCATCAGAATCAAAAACTGATAAATTATGTATAGTCTACTCATGTGCAATGTTATTATATTGAAATCATATCAAAACTGTAGGAGAAGTAGGATTTTAAAATTTTTTAAACAGAAATTTCTTTTTTTAGTAACCATGGAAACAACGCTCACAGAAAATACAAGTCGAAAAAAAGAATTATGTATCTCCGTGTAGTCTACTTGTGTGCCATGTTATACCGAAATCAGACCAAAACTGTAGGAGAAGTAGCATTTGGAAAGTATTTCACATTTCTGTTTTTAGAAAAAATGGCAACACTGCTAAAAAAATCAAAAACCTATGCAAAGAATTATGTATCTAAGTGTAGTCTACTTTGTGCCAATTATATTGAAATCAGACCAAAACTGTAGGAGGAGTAGCATTTGGAAAATATTTTACAGAAATTTCTATTTTTAGTAACCATGGCAACACCATTCCTCAAAACCTAAAACCAATACACTAAATTATGAATCTGAGCGTAGTCTACTTGTGCGCCAAGTTATATTGAAACCAGGCCAAAACTGTAGAAGGAGCAGCATTTTAAAGGAATTTATCAAAATCAAAAACCGATATATCAAATTATGTATCTTAGTGTAGTCTACTTGTATGCCAAGTTATATTGAAATCAGACCAAAACTGTAGGAGGAGTAGCGTTCTGAAAAAATGTTTACAGACAGACAGTTAGACGGACGGACGACGGACACTTTACTGTCGCATAAGCTCTTCTGGTCTCTGACTAGCAGAGCTAAAAACTGACCCAAATAAAAGTAATGAAATAAACAGTTATCTCAAATTTTTTTAACATAACGAACGGAACAAGTTTTGCATGGAAATGGTAAATAAATTTTTAGCAAAGAAAGTTAAGCTAGACTACCCGTCAATACTGTCAATTAAAGCAATATACATGTAAGCTGCAATTTTCTCTGTCTAAATTTCATTGAAATTTTATTGAAAGAAAACATGAAGTGTTTTTAAACCTTTGTTTCTCATATTTGTGCTGGAATACCATGATTTAGAAGCTCTGATTGAAATAAAATTATATAATCGTTGACCTGTACAAAATCGATTTGTTTAAAAATATAACTATTATATATATATATATATATATATATATATATATATATATATATATATATATATATATATATATATATATATATATATATATAGTTTTAGTCTTACCAATAAAAGGTTTAAGTTACACGCAGGACTTTCAATTTTCATGATAACAATTTTTTTTACAGCAACATACAACAAAAAATTCCTCGAAAATACAGCTCATATTGCTTTTAAGCAACGTTTCTGTCATCGGATGGGGAAAAAAACCAAACAAGTTTATCACGATCACTGCAAAGCGGCAATCGAAACTTCTCAGACCTTTCCGACAAGCGGAAGAACAACCTCAAATGTGTTACGTAGGCGTCCATGACACCTCCCCCTTTTCATCAACTTTGACATAAATGTAGGGAGACCTCTTATCTGTAGAGTTTGGAGCTCAACTTTATTGAATGTAAAGATATTACCTAAAATATACTACAGGAGTGACTTTTATCTCTGTCTTTCCAATGCTTAAGTAAATAGGAAGCGACTTCATCTTGTATAAATTTTTTACATCCGGTGATGTTAATACATTCAAGTTTATTTTTCAGACCTCTGTCGGAAAGGCCCGCGATGATGCGATTGTGCAAAACGGAACATTCACTTGCAAGAGTGCAAGTTGATCTCGAAATAAATTATTATTTTGCTTAACTTCCGTTACTCAAGCACTCTCTCAAACGCACACACACACACACACACACACACACAAGCTTCCGTTCCAACTTGTCGCGAGAGGATAATAACCAACACATAACAAACATATTTATGGATGTATTTTTAACGAAATCGATTTTTTGATGATACTTTAGTTCTTAAAAACAAAAATTTTGATTAAAATTGGGCAAATGATAAGTGTTTAACTTACAAACTGATAATTTTGTCAAAGAAAGTCATGATAAGGGAAAATTGAACTTTAAAAAATTAACGAGATTTATTGATGCTAGAACTGACAAAGAACTTATCACAAAATTAAACTGGTTCAATCATCTCAAAGAACGAATGAAAATTGGTGCAAGAAGACATAATTCCTCGGGGAGGGGGTGTATAAATAAATCAAATCAGTAAAATATTGCTGGTTTATGGAATGGGTGATTGCAGAGGAAAGAATACGGACATAAATCATTCTTGATCTTTTGCAACAGTAATAATTCAAAGCTGAAGCTTCATCTTTTATTTTGTAAAAAAGAAGACTGAATTAATTTCTAGTTTGTATGAAAATTTCAACTTTGATTTGTGATTCTTTAATATAATTGATATTGCATCGAAGATTATGATAACATCACAATCATAGTTAAATTTATTGTGGGATGTATTTTCTTCTAGTCTTCTAGAGCTACTTTATTTAATGTTAGGAGAATATAGAATTTTTTTCAAACTCGAGTAGAAACATTACAAATCTATCATTTGTTTCGAATTTCAGAAGGTGCTGACTTGTTAATATACATTTAAGATTATACACCAAGATTTCACACATAACAAGCGCGTTTGCAAGGGAAAATCGGCTAATTACAGTTTCATTGTTTCCTCAAAAGGTTAAGATTACGTCATCTCATTGTTTGTCGGCAACAATCGGTAGAAATGTTCAATTTACGCAATCATATTCATTAAATTTGAGAGAAAGGTTACCTTCCATTTTCATTTTGCTTTCCAGATTAACAATTACTTTTCCGCTAATGGCTTCCCCAGGTGAAAATACACCCTCTTTATTGTCAAATTCTATTTCGAAGGTCTTCAACTTTCCCATTTTCGTACCTTATTAACCTGAAATGCATAGAAAATCGATAATTAATTTTAAATTATAATATTAACATATTAATTCAAAAGTAAAATTTTCATTGTTTACTGCAACACTAATACAAGTATATGCATTGTTACAACGCGAAATATAATAACAACGCAAAATGTAATAAACTGGGATTGATTATTACATTTTCGTTATTACATTTTGCGTTGAAATCAACGCAGAATGTAATAACGCAAAATGTAATTACAAACTTTTTAGGATTATTACATTTTGCGTTATTACATTTTGCGTCGAGATTAACGCAGGATGTAATAAATTAAATATACTTTTTGATTATTACATTTTGCGTTATTTAATTTTTGCGTTGAGGGCAACGCAAAATGTAATAAAATAAAAAGTAACAACACAAAACATAATTATAATTTTTTTGTATTGTGTTCAACGCAAAAACATCATAAAATTGATTTAAACATATCTTTAATATTATAAAATATGAATAGGTATTGTGTCGAGGTGGATGTGTCGGTTAGGAGTATGAAATGCTTTTAAGGTCCTTTATATAATTTTCCTAATTTGCTTATGCATAAATAAAGCTTTGAGATTTTGTTTCCTAGTCAATTTTTGTATTGCACGCTCCTATCATAAATTTGCATATATACTGAATACAAGTGGTACTGAACGCAAAGATAATTTAAAATCGGTGGAACTTAATCAATGATATAATTGGCGAATCAAATTCTAGATACTCAAATATACGTAAACACAAGATAAGGACATGTCCTTTTGCATTTCAAAAAATAAATAAATAAATAAAAAAATGAAATAAAGTAAAAACCAGAAGTTTTTGATGAGACTGTAGCTCTACTGTTTGTACTTATAACAAAGGAAAAGAAAAGTAGCACTTGGACTTGAAACTTTGCAATAAATATAGTAATGATCCTTGGTTTAGTCTCTTTTTGTAGCAAAATTTATTGCAATCAGACTAAAACTGTAGGAAGAGTAACTTTTTAACAGATTTTTTTCCAGAAATTTTGATTTTAGTAACCATTGCAATATCATTCATCAAAATAAAAAAAAAACCTGAAAAATACAATTATGTATTTCAGTGTAGTCTATTTGCATGCCAAATTTTCACCAAAATCAAAAGCCGATGCACTGAATAATGTATCTTAGTGTTGTCTACTTGTGTGCCAAGTTACATTGAAATCAAACCAAACCTGTAGGAGGAGTAGCATTGTCGCGCCATCGCATCATCGTCATCGCGCTATCGCACAATCGCTTTATCGTCACCGCACCATCGCTTCATCGTTATCGCGCCATCGCATTTTCGCGCCATCGACCCTTTAGTCGATGCTCGATTGTGCGATAGTGAACTGTATTGCCCTATCCGGATTCCATAGAGAAGCCACCGTCTCAATATGAGTAAGAAATTTAAGAATGGACGTTAAACAATCAAGCTATCAAAAGTCAAGAAATGTAATGGTATGTATGATTATGTCTTATTAAAGTGAGAACGGGAAAAAATGCAAGGGACATCAGGTATTTGAAAAATATTTTGTTTACGAAATTTGTCCTCTTCTTTTCTGATATCTGCCTAGTTAGAAACTGCCGAAGAAAGGAAAAATAAATATAAATATAATCGCATTTGATTTGTAGGAAAAACGTTTTATTCACCAAATCTTTCCTCTTTTGCATATATAGTGTAAGTCCGAAAGTTAAGTACCTTTGTTCGAAATAAAACACCTACTGTCCGGAATTACCCGCTCTTGCCCGCAATTACATGGTTTCAATTTTACTTTAGTTGTTAGTCCCCTACCGGTGAAACCGGAGGGGACTATAGGTTTCCTCTGAGTCTGTCCGTCCGTCTGTCTGTCTGTCCGTATGTCTGTCTAGCTGTCTGTCTGTCCCTCTGTCTGTCTGTCAGTCTGTCCCACTTGGTTTTCCGCACTTTTTTCCTAAACGCTTGCAGATATTGAGCTGATTTTTGGTATGTGAGTGTATCTTGACGAGTTACAGATCAAGTTTGCATTTCGTTTCGCTTCATTGAGTTTTGACGGAATTACGGCCTTTTCAATTTTTACGGGTTTTCCGCAATTTTCTTCTAAACGCTTGTAGATGTTGAGCTGATTTTTGGTATGTGGCTTTACCATGATTAGTTATAGATCAAGTTTGCATTTCGTCCCGCTTCATTAATTTTTGACGGAATTATGGCATTTTCAATTCTTAACGGGAACGGAACCAGATTACACTTGCCGGTAGGGGACTAGTATTGCTAATGCAATACTCTCAGAATGCTTGTTGCATTAATTATCCAATAAAAACATTGCTGTCAAATGTCTTTTGAAATCTATTAGAAGAATACGAGAGAAGGTTGATCAAATTAAAGGACGATTCGAAATTTAACAGGTTGGGGGGAAACGTAAATTCCGCTATTATAGTGGTATATCACTATTATAGTGAGATTCCGCTATATTTTCAGCCGTAGTTACCCTCGATTTCATCAAATAACATACTTGCTGATTAAAGCGGAAGTTATGATGGGTATAAAAATGGACAATAATTTGAATCCTTGCATTTTATGAATTTTATTTAATTTTCTGCCGATGCGTTAAATAATACGAACACACTTTTTAAAGCGGAAGTTACATTTTTAACATGGCAACCAGTGATTGCGGTAGTATTGAACAAAGACTGACTCTTAATATCTCTCACACATTTGCACAAATTGGTGTTTATAATAACTTTGAACCCACTTTGGAATAGGTTTGTCGAATTTACAGAAGAAAAGGTGATTTTTGCCTGCATAGTTACTGGTAAGGCCCGTTATGACAAATGGAAAAAAAAAAAAGCTCAGCACAATTTCACTTTAATGGAACCGATTTGTGTCACTTTTACATGTAATCTTAGGTACATGTATAATGTTCCCTTTCTTGATGATGAAACCATGAATTAAAATGATTAGTCTTTGCAGAAAAATGGTAAAAGTTGTGAAAATTACCTGTAGATTTGACGTCTTATAAATTCTGCACAATTTATTGCTTGTCTAAATTGCATGAGATTGTATATTTAACTAGGTTATGCACTAAAAAAGAGATCATGAAATACAAGGAGAAACAGAAATATGAAGATAACGAAAAAGCCATTTGAACAATAAAATTTTTCGCAGAGCGAAAAGGTAGGATCAGGTGCTATGGAGGAGTAGGCATCCCCTATCGATCATGGATTTTGCGAAATTCATTTATTAATGGTTATCATGAATTAGTGCATCGTTGTCTGCGCCACAGCCGCTAAAATAAAACCAAGGCCCTTGTTGTTCGTATTGTTAATTTTGTTTAACATTCCCAAAACGAATGTCAAACAATGTGTTTGTAATTACCTGCTGAAATGACATCTTACATCATTGTTTACGATTTATTGCAATTAAACAAAACAAATCGGTTTCACCAGAATAAAGTGAACATGTAATGAGTTTTTTTCGTTTGTCACAACGGGCTTTCATACCCATTAACATGAAGCTTTCCATTATTTAGTTGGTTATCTATTACATCTGTATGTCATTGGCCCTGTGAGTCGAGGATCTCGGGTGTTATGAACGATTTCGACGCAACTGCTTGTACAATATATGATCGTAGTGCTTCATGATGAGGTACACTCGCTCCTGGGATGCACTCTATCTCTCTCTCTGCGGCTTGATTCGTACCGGGTCTGAGGCATAAATCGGCAACAGCTCCTAGCTTTCTGCCTGTACTTGACTGACTGTACACTCTGCTTTATATGATCAAGGTTTTGACCCTTTGGTCGCAGAATATCAGATGCTACAGGTAATGTATTGCATGGCCTCCTTCCCATAATATAGACAGTGACTGGCTTACCAAAGATGGAGTTGAGGAGGTGTGTTTTTAAATTGATTTTAATAATATATAAAAGGAATGTATAAGAAAATAATTGGTAGTCTGTGTCCATATACTTCGGATTCTTACCTTCTAGGAACCGTCACGGTAGCTCAGTCTGTAGAGCGCTCGCTGCGTGATCGGAAGGTCGTGTGTTCGAATCACGGCCGCGACTGACCCAAGTCGATAAAAATAGGTACCAACTGTTCCTTCGCCAAGCGCTCGGCACTTTGAAGTGAAAGTTGCGGGTCTTTCGGATGAGACCTTAAAAACCGAGACCCCGTGTCACGGTAGGCGTTGGAACGATATATAAAGAACCCTCACTGCTCAATGGCCCGAGTATAGCCCTTCACCGGTATATGGTGACGTCTTTATGAGTGAAAAATTCTCGGGACGTAAAACAACATACAATCAATCAATCAGTCTTAACGTCTAGTCCATTTTTTAAGAAGTAGTTCCCACTGAGTTTTTGTCTGAACATACATTACTAGTATGTTATAAACTTAATTGCATGAGGTATAACAGTCACAAGAAATCCACTTTTATCAGTATCCATCAGTACGCATCAATCACAATCGTCATTATTTCAAATTTTAACTAGAAGTACTTTCGATATGACTTCATTTCAATTTTGCTGATAATTATTCAGTAAACGAAATTTTCACTTACTTTATATAGGAGCACCTATTTAGTTTTGCCATTTTTTTTTTTTTCTAAATGCCATTCCCAAATTTTATATAGATGACCTTTTTTGGTTTCTGCTTCAATTCAAAGTTAATGATCGCTAATATAGAGATTTAGCAAACTCATACGCGTACTTGTACGTGAAAATTACAAGTTGGAATTACACGTACACATTTGCATTACTTTTTACTTTTCTTGATTAGCAATGTATAATGTGTACGTATCACAGGCACTTGTTTCGTATAAAACCTTGCTTGTCTTTACCACAAGGTACCTGACTCAGTTTCAGGCATCCCAGCTTCAAGCTCTTATTTTGTTAATATATCAATCATTAACCTACTTTAAAATGACATCGTTCGCTTTGAGAGACTTTTTTCTTGTCAAATAGATCGTTTCAGACGTCTCTGGTCGAGCCTCTTTTAATCTTCATTCTCATTTAATCCTCGAAAATTTCCTCGATACATAATAAGACTTTAGATGGAATTCAAAGCTTCCGGTTGGGGTTGTAATGAAGGATAAAACCAGAGACCCTGGAATGGAATACTCAAAAGGCTCTGGTTTTATCCTTCATTCCTTTGTTTTAATGAATTTCTTTAGCTAATCTTTCCTTTGTTCTGAGGAAGAAAGGGCGTCCCAAAAACTTCTTAAGTTATAGAACAAATGCATACAATAAGTATTTTTAGTGATTCATAGTTAATGATAAATATTTCAGTTTGACGTTGCGTAAATTTCACATAAAACAATCAGTATATGACAGTATAAAAATTACATAAAACAATCAGTATGGAGTAAGACAACCTCCCGCTCTAATTACTGCAAGACATTGTTTCCTCGTTGATACAATGTACCTCTGAATAGAAGGCTGACCTATCTACTGCCATATGTGCTGTATGGATCGTTAAGATGATTGATTTAAACAATATTTATTCAAAATAATGAATAGACTGGGCAACAGGCAATGCCTATAAATACCCTCTCTATACAAGATACAATGGACTGAGTGAATATATATATTACAATGCGGGTAAACACACACAGACACACATACAGACACACACACAGACTCGCACACACACGCAAGCACACACAGACACGGGGTTCGAATCCCACTGTGGGACGTGGAGACCGGTCCTTCGGAAGAGACCGTATAAACCGAGGTCCCGTGTCGCAGTAGGTGCTGGCACGAAAAAGACCCCTCACTGCTCAATGGCCGTAAGTGCCGAGTATAGGACAAAAGTTGCAGCTCTCCACCGGCAAGTGGTGGCGTCTCCATATGAGTGAAAAATTCTCGAGAGGGACGTTAAACAACATACAATCAATCAATCACACAGACATCCACAGATCATTTTAGATCATTGACATTGCATGGATGGGGGAGGGCTTTGGCATTCCTTTTAACTAAGTCCCAAAGTGTTCAACGGGATTCTGGATTCTGTATTCGATCGCCATACATGTACCTAATATATATATATATATATATATATATATATATATATATATATATATATATATATATATATATATATATAGATAGATAGATAGATAGATAGATAGATAGATAGATAGATAGATAGTAGGGATGTCAATTTTGTCAATCATTCATATTCGAATATTCAATGAAAGTATTCGAATATATTCGAATATTCGATAAAATAAATAAGATCTGGTATATTTTAAATACGCGTC